CCAAGCCGGACAATGTTCATAACAACAAGCCAAACTCATCAAAAGAACTCTAAAACAACAGCTTAACGCATTCATGCCATTACACATGCTCAAAAACGTTCAAACTCGCCAAAACAAACACTTTTCATAACAACAAGCCAAACTCATCATAAGACAACTTAAACAACAGCTTAAAGCATTCATGCCATTACACATGCTCAAAAACGTTCAAATTCGCCAAAACAAACACTTTTCATAACAACAAGCCAAACTCATCAAAAGAACACTAAAACAACGGCTTAACACAAGGGATTACTAATTCAACACATTCATGCCATTACACATGCTCAAAAACGTTCAAACTGGCCAAAACGAACAATGTTCATAACAACAAGCCAAACTCATCAAAAGAACACTAAAACAACAGCTTAACGCATTCATGCCATTACACATGCTCAAAAACGTTTATACTCGCCAAAACAAACACTTTTCATAACAACAAGCCAAACTCATGAAAAGAACACTAAAACAACAGCTTAACACAAGGGATTACTAAATCAACACATTCATGCCATTACACATGCTAAAAAACCTTCAAACTGGCCAAAACGAACAATGTTCATAACGACAAGCCAAACTCATCATAAGACAACTTAAACAACAGCTTAAAGCATTCATGCCATTACACATGCTCAAAAACGTTCAAATTCGCAAAAAAACAAACACTTTTCATAACAACAAGCCAAACTCATCAAAAGAACACTAAAACAACGGCTTAACACAAGGGATTACTAATTCAACACATTCATGCCATTACACATGCTCAAAAACGTTCAAACTCGCCAAAACAAACACTTTTCATAACAACAAGCCAAACTCATCAAAAGAACACTAAAACAACAGCTTAACGCATTCATGCCATTACACATGCTCAAAAACGTTCAAATTCGCAAAAAAACAAACACTTTTCATAACAACAAGCCAAACTCATGAAAAGAACACTAAAACAACGGCTTAACACAAGGGATTACTAATTCAACACATTCATGCCATTACACATGCTCAAAAACGTTCAAACTCGCCAAAACAAACACTTTTCATAACAACAAGCCAAACTCATCAAAAGAACACTAAAACAACAGCTTAACGCATTCATGCCATTACATATGCTCAAAAACGTTCAAACTCGCCAAAACAAACACTTTTCATAACAACAAGCCAAACTCATCAAAAGAACACTAAAACAACAGCTTAACACAAGGGATTACTAATTCAACACATTCATGCCATTACACATGCTAAAAAACCTTCAAACTGGCCAAAACGAACAATGTTCATAACGACAAGCCAAACTCATCATAAGACAACTTAAACAACAGCTTAAAGCATTCATGCCATTACACATGCTCAAAAACGTTCAAATTCGCAAAAAAACAAACACTTTTCATAACAACAAGCCAAACTCATCAAAAGAACACTAAAACAACGGCTTAACACAAGGGATTACTAATTCAACACATTCATGCCATTACACATGCTCAAAAACGTTCAAACTGGCCAAAACAAACACCTTTCATAACAACAAGCCAAACTCATCAAAAGAACACTAAAACAACAGCTTAACACAAGGGATTACTAAATCAACACATTCATGCCATTACACATGCTAAAAAACCTTCAAACTGGCCAAAACGAACAATGTTCATAACGACAAGCCAAAATCATCAAACGAACACTAAAACAACAGCTTAACGCATTCATGCGATTACACATGCTCAAAAACGTTCAAACTCGCCAAAACAAACAGTTTTCATAACAACAAGCCAAACTCATCAAAAGAACACTAAAACAACAGCTTAACACAAGGGATTACTAATTCAACACATTCATGCCATTACACATGCGCAAAGACCTTCAAACTGGCCAAAACGAACAATGTTCATAACAACAAGCCAGACTCATCATAAGAACACTAAAACAACAGCTTAACGCATTCATGCCATTACACATGCTCAAAAACGTTCAAACTCGCCAAAAAAAACACTTTTCATAACAACAAGCCAAACTCATGAAAAGAACACTAAAACAACAGCTTAACACAAGGGATTACTAAGTCAACACATTCATGCCATTACACATGCTAAAAAACCTTCAAACTGGCCAAAACGAACAATGTTCATAACAACAAGCCAAACTCATCAAAAGAACACTAAAACAAAAGTTTAACGCAAGGGTTTACTAATTTAACACATTCATGCCATTACACATGCTCAAAAACGTTCACACTCGCCAAAACAAACACTTTTCATAACAACAAGCCAAACTCATTAAAAGAACAATAAAACAACAGCTTAACACAAGGGATTACTAATTCAACACATTCATGCCATTACACATGCTCAAAAACCTTCAAACTGGCCAAAACGAACAATGTTCATAACAACAAGCCAAACTCATCAAAAGAACACTAAAACAACATCTTAAGGCATTCATGCCATTACACATGCTCAAAAACGTTCAAACTCGCCAAAACAAACTTTTCATAACAACAAGCCAAACTCATCAAAAGAACACTAAAACAACGGCTTAACACAAGGGATTACTAATTCAACACATTCATGCCATTACACATGCTAAAAAACCTTCAAACTGGCCAAAACGAACAATGTTCATAACAACAAGCCAAACTCATCAAAAGAACACTAAAACAACAGCTTAACGCATTCATGCGATTACACATGCTCAAAAACGTTCAAACTCGCCAAAACAAACACTTTTCATAACAACAAGCCAAACTCATCAAAAGAACACTTAAACAACATCTTAACACAAGGGATTACTAATTCAACACATTCATGCCATTACACATGCTCAAAAACCTTCAAACTGGCCAAAACGAACAATGTTCATAACAACAAGCCAAACTCATCAAAAGAACACTAAAACAACAGCTTAACGCATTCATGCCATTACACATGCTCAAAAACGTTCAAACTCGCCAAAACAAACACTTTTCATAACAACAAGCCAAACTCATCAAAAGAACACTAAAACAACAGCTTAACGCATTCATGCCATTACACATGCTCAAAAACGTTCAAACTCGCCAAAACAAACACTTTTCATAACAACAAGCCAAACTCATCAAAAGAACACTAAAACAACAGCTTAACGCATTCATGCCATTACACATGCTCAAAAACCTTCAAACTGGCCAAAACGAACAATGTTCATAACAACAAGCCAAACTCATCAAAAGAACACTAAAACAACAGCTTGACGCATTCATGCCATTACACATGCTCAAAAACGTTCAAACTCGCCAAAACAAACACTTTTCATAACAACAAGCCAAACTCATCAAAAGAACACTAAAACAACAGCTTAACACAAGGGATTACTAAGTCAACACATTCATGCCATTACACATGCTAAAAAACCTTCAAACTGGCCAAAACGAACAATGTTCATAACAACAAGCCAAACTCATCAAAAGAACACTAAAACAACAGCTTAACGCATTCATGCCATTACACATGCTCAAAAACGTTCAAACTCGCCAAAACAAACACTTTTCATAAAAACAAGCCAAACTCATCAAAAGAACACTAAAACAACAGCTTAACGCATTCATGCCATTACACATGCTCAAAAACGTTCAAACTTGCCAAAACAAACACTTTTCATAACAACAAGCCAAACTCATCAAACGAACACTAAAACAACAGCTTAACGCATTCATGCCATTACACATGCTCAAAAACGTTCAAACTCGCCAAAACAAACACTTTTCATAACAACAAGCCAAACTCATCAAAAGAACACTAAAACAACAGCTTAATGCATTCATGCCATTACACATGCTCAAAAACGTTCAAACTCGCCAAAACAAACACTTTTCATAACAACAAGCCAAACTCATCAAAAGAACACTAAAACAACGGCTTAACACAAGGGATTACTAAGTCAACACATTCATGCCATTACACATGCTAAAAAACCTTCAAACTGGCCAAAACGAACAATGTTCATAACAACAAGCCAAACTCATCAAAAGAACACTAAAACAAAAGTTTAACGCAAGGGTTTACTAATTTAACACATTCATGCCATTACACATGCTCAAAAACGTTCACACTCGCCAAAACAAACACTTTTCATAACAACAAGCCAAACTCATTAAAAGAACAATAAAACAACAGCTTAACACAAGGGATTACTAATTCAACACATTCATACCATTACACATGCTCAAAAACCTTCAAACTGGCCAAAACGAACAATGTTCATAACAACAAGCCAAACTCATCAAAAGAACACTAAAACAACATCTTAAGGCATTCATGCCATTACACATGCTCAAAAACGTTCAAACTCGCCAAAACAAACTTTTCATAACAACAAGCCAAACTCATCAAAAGAACACTAAAACAACGGCTTAACACAAGGGATTACTAATTCAACACATTCATGCCATTACACATGCTAAAAAACCTTCAAACTGGCCAAAACGAACAATGTTCATAACGACAAGCCAAACTCATCATAAGACAACTTAAACAACAGCTTAAAGCATTCATGCCATTACACATGCTCAAAAACGTTCAAATTCGCCAAAACAAACACTTTTCATAACAACAAGCCAAACTCATCAAAAGAACACTAAAACAACAGCTTGACGCATTCATGCCATTACACATGCTCAAAAACGTTCAAACTCGCAAAAACAAACACTTTCACAACAACAAGCCAAACTCATCAAAAGAACACTAAAACAACAGCTTAACACAAGGGATTACTAATTCAACACATTCATGCCATTACACATGCTAAAAAACCTTCAAACTGGCCAAAACGAACAATGTTCATAACGACAAGCCAAACTCATCATAAGACAACTTAAACAACAGCTTAAAGCATTCATGCCATTACACATGCTCAAAAACGTTCAAATTCGCCAAAACAAACACTTTTCATAACAACAAGCCAAACTCATCAAAAGAACACTAAAACAACAGCTTAACGCATTCATGCCATTACACATGCTCAAAAACGTTCAAACTCGCTGAAACAAACACTTTTCATAACAACAAGCCAAACTCATCAAAAGAACACTAAAACAACGGCTTAACACATGGGATTACTCATTCAACACATTCATGCCATTACACATGCTCAAAAACCTTCAAACTGGCCAAAACGAACAATGTTCATAACAACAAGCCAAACTCATCAAAAGAACACTAAAACAACAGCTTAACGCATTCATGCCATTACACATGCTCAAAAACGTTCAAACTCGCCAAAACAAACACTTTTCATAACAACAAGCCAAACTCATCAAAAGAACACTAAAACAACAGCTTAACACAAGGGATTACTAAGTCAACACATTCATGCCATTACACATGCTAAAAAACCTTCAAACTGGCCAAAACGAACAATGTTCATAACAACAAGCCAAACTCATCAAAAGAACACTAAAACAACAGCTTAACGCATTCATGCCATTACACATGCTCAAAAACGTTCAAACTCGCCAAAACAAACACTTTTCATAACAACAAGCCAAACTCATTAAAAGAACACTAAAACAACAGCTTAACACAAGGGATTACTAATTCAACACATTCATGCCATTACACATGCTCAAAAACCTTCAAAGTGGCCAAAACGAACAATGTTCATAACAACAAGCCAAACTCATCAAAAGAACACTAAAACAACAGCTTAACGCATTCATGCCATTACACATGCTCAAAAACGTTCAAACTCGCCAAAACAAACACTTTTCAAAACAACAAGCCAAACTCATCAAAAGAACACTTAAACAACTTTTCATAACAAGCAAAAATCATCAAAAGAACACTAAAACAACGGCTTAACACAAGGGATTACTAATTCATCACATTCATGCCATTACACATGCTAAAAAATCTTCAAACTGGCCAAAACGAACAATGTTCATAACAACAAGCCAAACTCATCAAAAGAACACTAAAACAACATCTTAACGCATTCATGCCATTACACATGCTCAAAAACGTTCAAACTCGCCAAAACAAACACTTTTCATAACAACAAGCCAAACTCATCAAAAGAACACTAAAACAAAAGTTTAACGCAAGGGTTTACTAATTCAACACATTCATACCATTACACATGCTCAAAAACGTTCACACTCGCCAAAACAAACACTTTTCATAACAACAAGCCAAACTCATTAAAAGAACACTAAAACAACAGCTTAACACAAGGGATTACTTATTCAACACATTCATGCCATTACACATGCTCAAAAACCTTCAAACTGGCCAAAACGAACAATGTTCATAACAACAAGCCAAACTCATCAAAAGAACACTAAAACAACATCTTAAGGCATTCATGCCATTACACATGCTCAAAAACGTTCAAACTCGCCAAAACAAACTTTTCATAACAACAAGCCAAACTCATCAAAAGAACACTAAAACAACGGCTTAACACAAGGGATTACTAATTCAACACATTTATGCCTTACACATGCAAAAAACCTTCAAACTGGCCAAAACGAACAATGTTCATAACAACAAGCCAAACTCATCAAAGAACACTAAAACAACAGCTTAACGCATTCATGCGATTGCACATGCTCAAAAACGTTCAAACTCGCCAAAACAAACACTTTTCATAACAACAAGCCAAACTCATCAAAAGAACACTAAAACAACATCTTAACACAAGGGATTACTAATTCAACACATTCATGCCATTACACATGCTCAAAAACCTTCAAACTGGCCAAAACGAACAATGTTCATAACAACAAGCAAAACTCATCAAAAGAACACTAAAACAACAGCTTAACGCGTTCATGCCATTACACATGCTCAAAAACGTTCAAACTCGCCAAAACAAACACTTTTCATAACAACAAGCCAAACTCATCAAAAGAACACTAAAACAACAGCTTAACGCATTCATGCCATTACACATGCTCAAAAACGTTGAAACTCGCCAAAACAAACACTTTTCATAACAACAAGCCAAACTCATCAAAAGAACACTAAAACAACAGCTTAACGCATTCATGCCATTACACATGCTCAAAAACGTTTATACTCGCCAAAACAAACACTTTTCATAACAACAAGCCAAACTCATCAAAAGAACACTAAAACAACATCTTAAGGCATTCATGCCATTACACATGCTCAAAAACGTTCAAACTCGCCAAAACAAACTTTTCATAACAACAAGCCAAACTCATCAAAAGAACACTGAAACAACGGCTTAACACAAGGGATTACTAATTCAACACATTCATGCCATTACACATGCTAAAAAACCTTCAAACTGGCCAAAACGAACAATGTTCATAACAACAAGCCAAACTCATCAAAAGAACACTAAAACAACAGCTTAACGCATTCATGCGATTACACATGCTCAAAAACGTTCAAACTCGCCAAAACAAACACTTTTCATAACAACAAGCCAAACTCATCAAAAGAACACTAAAACAACAGCTTAACACAAGGGATTACTAAGTCAACACATTCATGCCATTACACATGCTAAAAAACCTTCAAACTGGCCAAAACCAACAATGTTCATAACAACAAGCCAAACTCATCAAAAGAACACTAAAACAACAGCTTAACGCATTCATGCCATTACTCATGCTCAAAAACGTTCAAACTCGCCAAAACAAACACTTTTCATAACAACAAGCCAAACTCATGAAAAGAACACTAAAACAACAGCTTAACACAAGGGATTACTAATTCAACATATTCATGCCATTACACATGCTCAAAAACCTTCAAACTGGCCAAAACGAACAATGTTCATAACAACAAGCCAAACTCATCAAAAGAACACTAAAACAACAGCTTAACGCATTCATGCCATTACACATGCTCAAAAACGTTCAAACTCGCCAAGACAAACACTTTTCATAACAACAAGCCAAACTCATCAAAAGAACACTAAAACAACATCTTAACGCAAGGGTTTACTAATTCAACACATTCATGCCATTACACATGCTCAAAAACGTTCACACTCGCCAAAACAAACACTTTTCATAACAACAAGCCAAACTCATTAAAAGAACACTAAAACAACAGCTTAACACAAGGGATTACTAATTCAACACATTCATGCCATTACACATGCTCAAAAACCTTCAAACTGGCCAAAACGAACAATGTTCATAACAACAAGCCAAACTCATCAAAAGAACACTAAAACAACAGCTTAACGCATTCATGCCATTACACATGCTCAAAAACGTTCAAACTCGCCAAAACAAACACTTTTCATAACAACAAGCCAAACTCATCAAAAGAACACTAAAACAACTTTTCATAACAAGCCAAAATCATCAAAAGAACACTAAAACAACGGCTTAACACAAGGGATTACTAATTCATCACATTCATGCCATTACACATGCTAAAAAACCTTCAAACTGGCCAAAACGAACAATGTTCATAACAACAAGCCAAACTCATCAAAAGAACACTAAAACAACAGCTTAACGCATTCATGCCATTACACATGCTCAAAAACGTTCAAACTCGCCAAAACAAACACTTTTCATAACAACAAGCCAAACTCATCAAAAGAACACTAAAACAAAAGCTTAACGCAAGGGTTTACTAATTCAACACATTCATGCCATTACACATGCTCAAAAACGTTCACACTCGCCGAAACAAACACTTTTCATAACAACAAGCCAAACTCATCAAAAGAACACTAAAACAACAGCTTAACGCATTCATGCCATTACACATGCTCAAAAACGTTCAAACTCGCCAAAACAAACACTTTTCATAACAACAAGCCAAACTCATCAAAAGAACACTTAAACAACTTTTCATAACAAGCCAAAATCATCAAAAGAACACTAAAACAACGGCTTAACACAAGGGATTACTAATTCATCACATTCATGCCATTACACATGCTAAAAAATCTTCAAACTGGCCAAAACGAACAATGTTCATAACAACAAGCCAAACTCATCAAAAGAACACTAAAACAACAGCTTAACGCATTCATGCCATTACACATGCTCAAAAACGTTCAAACTCGCCAAAACAAACACTTTTCATAACAACAAGCCAAACTCATCAAAAGAACACTAAAACAAAAGCTTAACGCAAGGGTTTACTAATTCAACACATTCATGCCATTACACATGCTCAAAAACGTTCAAACTCGCCAAAACAAACACTTTTCATAACAACAAGCCAAACTCATCAAAAGAACACTAAAACAACAGCTTAACACAAGGGATTACTAATTCAACACATTCATGCCATTACACATGCTCAAAAACCTTCAAACTGGCCAAAACGAACAATGTTCATAACAACAAGCCAAACTCATCAAAAGAACACTAAAACAACAGCTTAACGCATTCATGCCATTACACATGCTCAAAAACGTTCAAACTCGCCAAAACAAACACTTTTCATAACAACAAGCCAAACTCATCAAAAGAACACTTAAACAACAGTTAAACACAAGGGGTAACCAACTTAACAGATGCATGCCATAACACATGCTCACATACCTTCAATCTCGCCAAAACAAACTATGAACCCAACAAGCCAACACATCAAAACAACACATAAACAACAGCTTAACCCAAGGGGTAACCAGTTCTAGAGATAAACATATCAACTGCTTGTGATAACACTGGCTCACTTAACCTTAATCTCGCCAAAACAAACTATAATCATAACAACAAGCCAACACATCAAAACAACACTTTAACAACAGTTAAACAGAAGGGATAACCAACTCAACAGATGCATGCCATAACACATACTCACAAACCTTCAAACTCGCCAAAACAAACTATGATCATAACAACAAGCCAACACATCAAAAGAACACTTAAACAACGGCTAAAAACAAGGGGTAACCAGTTCAACAGATAAACATATCAACTGCATGTGATAACACTAGCTCACTTAATTTCAATTCCCAAAAAAACTATCAAAACAACAAGCCAACACATCAAAACAACACTTAAACAACAACTCAACAGATGTGTGCCATAAAACATGCTCATATACCTTCAATCTCGCCAAAACAAACTATGATCATAACAACTAACCCTAACCCCTAACCCTACCCCTCACCCGAACCCTACCCCTAACCATAACCCTAATCCCTCACCCTTTCCCTAACCCCTAAGCCTAACCCGAACCCCCTAACCCTAATCCCTAACCCTAACCCCCTAACCTTAACCCTAACCCTAACTCTAACCACCAAACCCTAACCACTAACCCCTAATCCCTAGCCCTAAACTAACACCTAACTAGGTATCTAACCCTAACCCTAACCATCTAACCCTAGCCCTAACCCCTCTAACCCTAACCCTAACCCTAACCCTAACCCTAACCTCTCTGACCCTTGCCCTGACCCCTAACCCTAACCTTTAAAAAACTAATAATTTATTTTAATTAATTCATTTGAATTCATTTTTAATTATTAAATTTCATAGCAGGCTAAAAATAGTAATAATTTCACATTAAAACCAAAAGTATTACAAATGTATATCTAATCTAAAATCTAAAAAGGGAATTAAGGGCTAAAATAAAACTATCTTTAAAATTCAAACGCATTACAATTCTAATTGACAATTATGGATTTAAAATATAAAAGTTAAAATTGGGCATTAAAATTACAATTAATTAAATTTAATCAGTTAAAAAGAGGGTAAAAAAATTTTAATTGGGCATTAAAAGTACAATTCATTAATCAGCTTCAGCATTCCAATTGACCATCAACATTCATTTCATTTAAATTCAGTAGGCATTTAGTGGTTCATACACACACAGACTGCCGGAGCCTCTCCATGACTCATCAGAGTGCAGCTGCATTCTTTGCTCTTCCCGCCTCTATAAATAGAACACACACACAAACCTTGGCTCCTCTCATTCTGGCTGAGTCTGCTGAAGGGAGAACATCTCACACCCTGAATCAACAAGCCCAGACATATTTCTCACAGTGCCCAGAGCCTGAAGAAGACCCACAGCGGTCGAAACGTTGCGCAACTGGGCACTTTTCCCCCACACCTTTTCTTCAATTCTTCATTTAAATAGACATTTTATTTTGTTATTTTACTTTTATTTCATTTTTATTTTAGAAAAAAAAAGCATAAAAAAATAAAGAACATTTCATTTATTTTGTTATTTTCATATACAGCTTTTGTTTTGAATACCTTGATTTGAATACACAAATAAATGAATAAATAGTTTGAGAAATACACCACATTAATAAATAGTAATAAATAATTAAAAAGGATAAAAACAGTCATGGCCTACGATCAATGGACTGAGGTGCAATACAGGAGGAGGGGTGGTCGCCTCAAGTACCGTGACACCAATCCACAAAATCTCAGGATGGTTCGACCTTGGTAAAGGCAATGAACCGCCATGTCAAAAGTGGCTCAAACCCCTATATCCCCGAACCTAACACAAAAAGCATAAAAAAATTTAAAACCATTCATTTATTTTGTTATTTTTACATATAGCTTTTATTTTGAATATCTTGATTCGAATAAATTAATAAATAGATAGATAAATAAATAAATACATAGTTTAATAAATACACCACATTAATAAATAATTAAAAACGAAAAAACAATCATTAGATACGATCAACAACAATGGACTGAGACAACATTCTCAGCATTGTTCAGGATTGTTATCCTTTTTCTGTTGGTACAGCAGGTTATGAGTAAGGCTCATTGTGAGGTCCACCATTATACTCAGAAACAGATGGAATCAGCAACATGACAGGAATGCAGAAATATACTTCTGAAAATTAAGTTAAGGTCCTTTTTAACAATAACGGTAATTTTGTTGACATGAGGAAATACATCCCCTTTAATGTAAACAAACTCTACAAAAACATGTTCGAAGAACTTGACAAAAGCCAGGAATGGGTGCTCTAGGGTTCCCAACCGTACCGTAAAAAACGGGATCATACCGTATCTGAAAACAAAAAGACATGTCGCGTAATGAACTAAAACGGGATGCTCCTTCTCCCGTACTTTCTGAAAGCGTCTCTCTCTGCCTAACACATGCATCTGTTGAGTTGGTTACCCCTTCTGTGTAGCTGTTATTTGATGTGTTGGCTTGTTATGATCATAGTTTGTTTTGGCGAGATTGAAGTTAAGTGAGCTAGTGTTCCTGCATGCAGTTGATGGGCTCTATTTTCGTGCGCGCCGGTGAGGCGGCGGAGGGCGGCGAGCCCCGCGCAGTTGTATTTTCGTCTGGCGGAGCCTGGCGTAAGTCCAGTTTGGTATTTTTGTAGACTGAGCCTCACGGAGGCGAGCCGAGATCCGCCAAGCTGGGCGTGGTGGCGTGGCAGGGGGAGGTGTCGACAGAATCAGCAGGCGCAGTGACATTTTCGTGCTCGCCACCGGCGTGTAAAGTGCGCTGAAAGCTCGCCGATTCAAACCTGGTCAGCTTTCAGCGCATGGCGGAGCGCAGCTGGTCTAGTAGTATTTTGGTAGACCGGCGGCGTATCGACATACGTCACTGATGCCCTGCAATAAATAATCATCATCAACTATTAATCTGAGTCAGCACATACATTTAGATCTATATTGATATATTCTGATCTATATGTGATCTGATGAGTGCGTTTGGCACGCGTTTGGACACACAACCTGACCGAATCAACACAGCTAAAACCGCATCAAATTAAATTAAATATCTAGTAAATAAACACACATGATGAAGTTAACAAGATATGTAATTTGTCTCCCTCCTTTTCTATCTTCCTCTTCCTCTTATTTCTCACACAGCTGGACCTGGACACGTCTCTGTGTCCTCTGTCCTTCTTGCTGCTGCTGCGGCTGAACAGATGATTTGTTTCAGTGCTCAGATGTGTTATCTACTTTAAGCCTACATGCGAATATTATAATATTCAGTTTTGTGAGGCAAATTTATTTTATATGCCAACATCTATGAAAGAAAGAGCCAGGTCACGGAGCGCGATGCGTCATTTACGCACAGATGGTTCCATTTTTAATGCCAGTTTATGTTGTGATCTGTGCGCTCAACCCACCTTTGTCACGTGAGGTTTGAATATATGCAACTTTATGTGAGTGTCTTTATTTGTGGAAAAGGGTGTTTGTCTTACCAGTGGGTCCAACATTACACACACCAAATCCATCTGTGCTCATATGAGAGAGTGTGGAGGACACTTGTTGAGGAGCTGCCCTCTGTCGTCATCTTGTGGCATTACTGTCTTAAGACATCTCTTGATCTCTTTGACTACTTCATGAAAATAGTAATACGCCTCGCCTGTGGCGGATTTAAAGGCAAGGAGAGGAGCTTATGTGATTGGTGAAAACAGGTCTCGGCTGTGTTAAATCCACTCCACGCCCTTTCTCCTCCCTGTCTACGACTTATGCTGCTGGGAGGAGCTGAGTTAGGGAGGGGGGATACTTACGCCGGGCTGCGCGGCTCACCAAAATACCAAAATGTGCTTGGGAACGCCTTGTCAGCGCGGCGGATCTGACTGACGCTGCACTTGCGGCACGTCTCCGGCGAGGCACCAAAATAGAGCCCGATATGTTTATCTGTTGAACTGGTTACCCCTTGTGTTAAGCTGTTGTTTTTGTTCGTTTAGGCAAGATTGAAGGTTTGTGAGCATGTGTTTTGGCATGCATCTGTTGAGTTGGTTACCCCTTGTGATTAGCTGTTGTTTAAGTGTTGTTTTGATGTGTTGGCTTGTTGTTATGATCATAGTTTGTTTTGGCGAGATTGAAGTTAAGTGAGTCATTTTTGTGTATTTTTGTACCATAGCAGTGGCGTTATGTTTTGAATGGACTCTCAAAGGCTCAAAAAATTGTTTTTAGGTAAAAAATTTACTATTTTTGATCAGGGCAGAAATTAATTGAGAGATGTGTGAAAAAAAATCTGGAAAACATATGAACCCAATATGTTATTACAGCAGTCAATGTCAGTGGCTTCTTTTAGCCACTGAGCGTTAACAACTGATGTAAATCTAACGGTTACACAAGGGTTAACTAATCTCTGTTTATTGACAACACTCATACAATTTTTTTTTTAAGGTTATTGAAAATGTCAGCATGTAAAACACTTCTCCAACTGCTGCTTTTCTACAACTTCATGTATGTTTAACTGCAGCTATGCTAAAATTTCTACATAATTTCTTCTTGTTCTCCACCTCTTCAAGACATTTAACATTTATACTTTTCTTCTTTCGTAGCAGTTCTGCATGGCTGTTTTATCATTCAGCATTTCCATGCATTTTCTGCAAGGAAACGCAGTTTTTCAAGTTGTAATTGATAATCCTGTCGGCCGTTTTTTCTTCTAACACCAATATTTGTTACTTTTTCTCTCCTTCCCACTTTGTGCTATTTTAACCATTCAAACTTGATAGTAATGCACTCCCTAAGGACATGATAAGTATTACTTTTCACCTTTCTACCATTTATACTCTTTGCAATATTTCACTTTTTCTGTACAATTAGAAATGATCATGAAAGTGCCAGAATTCTTAAGATGGTCTTATTTTCATTTTCTTCATCACAGGGTGATGAGCTTCATTTACAATAATGGAATAACAGCACCAACAGCACCACAGTCTCTTTATTTAGGGTTGTCCCTGGTTACACAATGGTACTAAAGGATGGGGAAAAAATATGTGCACCAATGTTAGCATTCTCATAAAACATAATTATGAACAACAGAACATATGTGAGGGTCAAGGCAACACTTTTGACATTAAACAAGCTCCTTCTGATAGGAGCGGATCCTCCTCATTACTTCCCACGATTCACAGTGGAGGATACATCACACACACACCTGCTAATAGGAGAAACAAGGTCACAGAGAAGATAAGAAACATTTTTGTGCTGTGTAATAAAGCTATTGGAGAGAGAAGTTAGAAAACACTCTTATACACTGTGTGCACAATTATTAGGCAAGTGAGTATTTTGATCATATCATCATTTTTATGCATATTTTCCAACTCTAAGCTGTATAAACTTGAATGCTTATTGGATATAAGCATATCAGGTAATGTGTATTGAGGGAGGCTGGGGCCTAAGGAGATCAAAACCCTATATCAAGGTGTGCATAATTATAAGGCAGCTTCTTTTCCTCAGGTAAAATGGGCCAAAAAAGAGATTTAAGTGACTAGATATTTGGGCGTGATCACAGAACCATCAAACATTTTGATGCAAATAGTCAACAGGGTCGCAAGAAATGTGTTAAGAAAAAAAGACGCGAATTAACTGCCAAAGATTTGAGAAGACTCAAACGTAAAGCTACCAGGAACCCAATATCCTCCAGTGCTGTCATATTCCAGAACTGCAACCTACCTGGAGTGCCCAGAAGTACAAGGTGTTCAGTGCTCAGAGACATGGCCAAGGTAAGGAAGGCTGAAATCTGACCACCACTGAACAAGACACAAGTCGAAATGTCAAGACTGGGCCAAGAAATATCTGAAGAGAGACTTTTCAAAGGTTTTATGGACTGATGGGATGAGAGTGACTCTTGATGGACCAGATGGATGGACCCGTGGCTGGATCAGTAATGGGCACAGGGCTCCACTTCGAATCAGACACCAGCAAGGTGGAGGCTGGGTACTGGTATGGGCTGGTATTATTAAAGATGAGCTAGCTGGACCTTTTCGAGATGAAGATGGACTTAAAATCAACTCCCAAATCCAATGCCAGTTTTGAGAAGACACTTTCTTCAAGCAGTGGTACAGGCAAAAGTCTGCATCTTTCAAGAAAACCATAATTTTTATGCAGGACAATGCTCCATTGCATGCAATGAAGTACTCCACTATATGGCTCGCCAGTAAAGGCCTTAAAAACAAAAGAATAATGACATGGCCTCCTTCTTCACCTGACCTAAACCCTGTTGAGAACTTGTGAGCCCTTCTTAAACGGGAAATTTTCAGTGAAGGAAGACAGTACACCTCTCTGAACAGTGTCTGGAACAGTGTCTGGAAGGCTTTGGTTACTGCAACACAAAAAGTTGATCGTCAACAGATCAAGAAACTGAAAGACTCCATAAATGGAAGGCTTATGACTGTTATTGAGAAGAAGGGTAGTAACATTAGTCACAGATTTTTTATTTTTATTTCAATTTTTATTTGTAAATTGAGTTGTTTGTTTATCATTCTCACTTTAACCAGTGAAAATAAACAAATGAGATGGAAAATTTTTCATTTTCAATTTAGTTGCATAATAATTCTGCACACTAATAGCTGCCCCCAATAAGTGTGCACACATAGATATTCTCCTAAGGAAGCCAAAATCTCACTTTTACTCCCTTAAATATTCAGGTTTGAGGTTAATTAAAATTTTGGATTGACCAAGAGCACTGCAGTTGTTGAAAAATAAAGTTTATCCTCAAAAATACAACTTGCCTAATAATTCTGCACACAGTGTATGATGTGTAACAAGAGGTTAAAACAGTTCATACTTATAGCAAACTCTTACATAAGAATTTGAGTAAGATGATAACTTCTATATATATTTATACACATTATTCTGACAGTAACCATAGTAATTTTTGATTATGGTATGACAGCACCATCTAGTGGTGTGTACTTTTCACCTTTCTACCATTTATACTTTTTGCAATATTTCACTTTTTTTCTGTACATTTAGAAATGATCATGAGAGTGCCAGAATTCTTAAGATGGTCTTATTTTCATGATACCACTTAGAAAAACTGCGCCAGGTAAAGAAGTTCAGACGGTATCCACTTCACCCATGGTGGAGCACTTCTCATGTGTTGTGTGCTTGTCGATTTCCTTCACACCCTGTCCACACGCACTACTCCATCTTGCGGTGCGCTTCAGCTTGGTAAGTTAGTAACTGAAGCACACTATAGGGTAGTGTTGTGCCGCTACCAGTGACTATGGTTACATGCTGCTGACTGCAAACCTCTTTTGAATATTTCAACATTTCATGGGGAGTTTGTAATGTATAAATCTCTAGGCACTTGTCGTTCCAAAGCACCTAGACTGAGCTTTATTTATTTTTATTCACAAAAGTCTTACAACTTTTTCTTCACTTGAGCATTTTTTACATTCATAAAAGTATTTAAAATTCTGCTCTCTATACTTTTAAGATTAATACCACTTCTTCATACTTTCAGAATTTTACATTCATATGCCTTTTTTATACCACAGCTCTGTAACAATTTCTATATTGACAAATATTGACAAGTCTTACAACTTTGTCTTCACGTGAGCATTTTTTACATTCATACAAGTTTTTAAACTTCTGCTCTTAATACTTTTGAGATTAATACCATCTATTTAGCAACTTTAATAATTTTGCATTTATACAGCTTTTTTAGCTACAGCTCTGTAACACTCTTTATATTAACATGTAGGGCAGCAACTAAAGCTCACCACTAGATTTGGCTGTCATACCATAATCAAATATTTCTATGATGATGTGCCGACTGCAAACATCTTTTTTATGTAGGGCAGTGACAGAAGCACACCACCAGATGGTGCTGTTTTTCCATTATTACAAATCACTACGGTTTCATACTGCTGACTGCAAACATCTTTTCAGTATTCACACATGGAGCGGGGCCATAGTTTTGTTTAGGCATTAGCCGTTTTGTTTTGAATGGACTCTCAAAGGCTTAAAAAATTGTTTTTTGGATAAAAAATGTACTATTTTTGATCAGGGCAGAAGTTATTTGAGAGATGTGTGAAAAAAAATCTGGAAAAAATATGAATCCAATATGTTTTTACAGCAGTCGATGTCAGTGGCTTTTTTTAGCAACTGAGCGTTAACAAAGAATATTTTTTGGAAATCTGATCCTACAAAAAAAACTTCAAAGGCATCAAAGTCAATGATATTACCAATCCTTTACAAATTCAAGACTATAAAACCCTGCAAGAGATATCCAGTTTCAGGTTATGTTTTCGAATAAAAATCAGTCTCTCTTCTTAAGATGGTCTTATTTTCATGATACCACTTATAACAATAGGTCAATGAACTGACAGGTCATCATAACAACAGGTCACCATAACATTCAACACCATCCAACCGATCATACTCAAAGACAAACCCACAGAGATGGGCGTGGATCCTACCTGTGTTTCCTGGATCACAAATTGCCTGACAGGAATCACACAGTTCTTCATGCTGGGGAACTGTGTTTCTGGGCCTTATTGGGAAGTACAGGGGTTCCACAACGGACGGTCCTGGCTCCATTCCTATTGACAGGGTATACACCAGACTTCAAATACAGCACTGAGTCCTGAAATTTTTGTAGAGGGCGCTATGACCACATTTTTGTTGGAAATCCATTTTGACAGTGGAAAACTTTTTGTTTAACTTTGAGTCCAACGTAGGTGTCATTGAATCCCTCGGTTTAGGTCAAACACAGGAGCTGAACTTACATTTTGAAATTTTGTAGAGGGAGAAATGAAGGAATTTTTTGATGGGTCCCCAATTTTTACATTGGCAACCATTTCTTTTCCTCTTGGGGTTCAAGATAAGTGTCATTGAATCCACTTGTCTGGACCGCAGGAGCGGGTTTACGTTTTGAAATTTTGAAGGGGGCGCTATGGGGCCTTTTTATGATGGATATCCATTATGACAGTTAAACCCTTTTTGTTCATCTTGAGGTCAAACATAAGTGTCATCAATTTCATAGGTTTCGGTCAAACACAGGAGCGTGGTTCACACTGAAGAAATTTGAAGGTGGCGCCATAGAGCCATGTTTTGATGGATCTCCATTTTGATATTCAAACTGTTTTTGTTCGTGTTAAGGTTCAACTTCAGTGTCACTAATTCCACAGGTTTTGGACGCGCACCAGAGCAGGGCTTTCATTTAGAAATGTTGTAGAGAACGCAGTCGTGCCATTTTCAGTTGGATCCAAGATAAGTGTCTGTTAGTCCATTGGTCTGAGTCACTCAAAGAAGCAGGGGTTTCATTTTGAAATTATGAAGGGGGTGCTATGTAGTTATTTCTTGAAGGACCTCAATTTTGACATTGAACCCATTTTTCTTTGTCTTGAGGTCAAACATAAGTGACATCAATTCCAAAGGTTTTGGTCAAACACAGGAGTGGGGCTTACTTTTTTTTTTTAATTTGAAGCTGGCACTCTGGAGCTATTTGAAGTTGATTCTCCATTTTGATGCTGGAGCCCTGTATGTTCAACTTTCGGTTTGTCATAATTGTACTTTATTTCAAAAGTTTGGTTCGTACACAGAAAAAGGGCTTTTATTTTTCAATTGGGTAGGGGGCAATATGTGACCATTGATGGTTGGTTCTCCATCTTGACATTTTCTTCATCACAGGGTGATGAGACTCATTTGTAATAATGGAAAAACAGCACCATCTAGTGGTGTGCTTCAGTGACTTCCCCACATAAAAATGTAGAAAATATTACAGAGCTGAAGCTAAAATACTTGGATGAAGGTAAAAATAAAAAAAATTGCTAAAATTGTATGTCTTATGTGCATTACAAGGAAAAATGATCAGTCGAGGTGCTTCGGATAGACAAATGCCTAAAAATGTATGTATTACAACCTCCCCGTGGAATGTGGAAGTACTCAAAAGAAGTTTACAGTCAGAATGTAACCATAGTAATTTTTGATTATGGTATGACAGCACCATCTAGTGGGGTGAACTTTTCACCTTTCTACCATTTATACTTTTTGCAATATTTCACTTTTTCCTGTACAATTAGAAGTGATCATGAGAGTGCCAGTTGTTTTTTGTTAATCTGATCCTACAAAAAAAACTTAAATGGTTTCAAAGTCAATGATATTACCAATCCTTTACATATTCAAGACTATAAAACCCTGCAAGAGATATCCAGTTTCAGGTTATGTTTTCGAATAAAAATCAGTCTCTCTTCTTAAGATGGTCTTATTTTCATGATACCACTTATAACAATAGGTCAATGAACTGACAGGTCATCATAACAACAGGTCACCATAACATTCAACACCATCCAACCGATCATACTCAAAGACAAACCCACAGAGATGGGCGTGGATCCTACCTGTGTTTCCTGGATCACAAATTGCCTGACAGGAATCACACAGTTCTTCATGCTGGGGAACTGTGTTTCTGGGCCTTATTGGGAAGTACAGGGGTTCCACAACGGACGGTCCTGGCTCCATTCCTATTGACAGGGTATACACCAGACTTCAAATACAGCACTGAGTCCTGAAATTTTTGTAGAGGGCGCTATGACCACATTTTTGTTGGAAATCCATTTTGACAGTGGAAAACTTTTTGTTTAACTTTGAGTCCAACGTAGGTGTCATTGAATCCCTCGGTTTAGGTCAAACACAGGAGCTGAACTTACATTTTGAAATTTTGTAGAGGGAGAAATGAAGGAATTTTTTGATGGGTCCCCAATTTTTACATTGGCAACCATTTCTTTTCCTCTTGGGGTTCAAGATAAGTGTCATTGAATCCACTTGTCTGGACCGCAGGAGCGGGTTTACGTTTTGAAATTTTGAAGGGGGCGCTATGGGGCCTTTTTATGATGGATATCCATTATGACAGTTAAACCCTTTTTGTTCATCTTGAGGTCAAACATAAGTGTCATCAATTTCATAGGTTTCGGTCAAACACAGGAGCGTGGTTCACACTGAAGAAATTTGAAGGTGGCGCCATAGAGCCATGTTTTGATGGATCTCCATTTTGATATTCAAACTGTTTTTGTTCGTGTTAAGGTTCAACTTCAGTGTCACTAATTCCACAGGTTTTGGACGCGCACCAGAGCAGGGCTTTCATTTAGAAATGTTGTAGAGAACGCAGTCGTGCCATTTTCAGTTGGATCCAAGATAAGTGTCTGTTAGTCCATTGGTCTGAGTCACTCAAAGAAGCAGGGGTTTCATTTTGAAATTATGAAGGGGGTGCTATGTAGTTATTTCTTGAAGGACCTCAATTTTGACATTGAACCCATTTTTCTTTGTCTTGAGGTCAAACATAAGTGACATCAATTCCAAAGGTTTTGGTCAAACACAGGAGTGGGGCTTACTTTTTTTTTTTTTTTATTTGAAGCTGGCACTCTGGAGCTATTTGAAGTTGATTCTCCATTTTGATGCTGGAGCCCTGTATGTTCAACTTTCGGTTTGTCATAATTGTTCTTTATTTCAAAAGTTTGGTTCGTACACAGAAAAAGGGCTTTTATTTTTCAATTGGGTAGGGGGCAATATGTGACCATTGATGGTTGGTTCTCCATCTTGACATTTTCTTCATCACAGGGTGATGAGACTCATTTGTAATAATGGAAAAACAGCACCATCTAGTGGTGTGCTTCAGTGACTTCCCCACATAAAAATGTAGAAAATATTACAGAGCTGAAGCTAAAATACTTGGATGAAGGTAAAAATAAAAAAAAAATTGCTAAAATTGTATGTCTTATGTGCATTACAAGGAAAAATGATCAGTCGAGGTGCTTCGGATAGACAAATGCCTAAAAATGTATGTATTACAACCTCCCCGTGGAATGTGGAAGTACTCAAAAGAAGTTTACAGTCAGAATGTAACCATAGTAATTTTTGATTATGGTATGACAGCACCATCTAGTGGGGTGAACTTTTCACCTTTCTACCATTTATACTTTTTGCAATATTTCACTTTTTCCTGTACAATTAGAAGTGATCATGAGAGTGCCAGTTGTTTTTTGTTAATCTGATCCTACAAAAAAAACTTAAATGGTTTCAAAGTCAATGATATTACGAATCCTTTACATATTCAAGACTATAAAACCCTGCAAGAGATATCCAGTTTCAGGTTATGTTTTCTAATAAAAATCAGTCTCTCTTCTTGAGATGGTCTTATTTTTTTATGATACCACTTATAACAATAGGTCAATGAACTGACAGGTCATCATAACAACAGGTCACCATAACGTTCAACACCATCCAACCGATCATACTAAAAGACAAGCCCACAGAGATGGGCGTGGATCCTACCTGTGTTTCCTGGATCACAAATTGCCTGACAGGAATCACACAGTTCTTCACGCTGGGGAACTGTGTTTCTGGGCCTTATTGAGAAGTACAGGGGTTCCACAACGGACGGTCCTGGCTCCATTCCTATTGACAGGGTATACACCAGACTTCAAATACAGCACTGAGTCCTGAAATTTTTGTAGAGGGCGCTATGACCACATTTTTGTTGGAAATCCATTTTGACAGTGGAAAACTTTTTGTTTAACTTTGAGTCCAACGTAGGTGTCATTGAATCCCTCGGTTTAGGTCAAACACAGGAGCTGAACTTACATTTTGAAATTTTGTAGAGGGAGAAATGAAGGAATTTTTTGATGGGTCCCCAATTTTTACATTGGCACCCATTTCTTTTCCTCTTGGGGTTCAAGATAAGTGTCATTGAATCCACCTGTCTGGACCGCAGGAGCGGGTTTACGTTTTGAAATTTTGAAGGGGGCGCTATGGGGCCTTTTTATGATGGACATCCATTATGACAGTTAAACCCTTTTTGTTCATCTTAAGGTCAAACATAAGTGTCATCAATTTCATAGGTTTAGGTCAAACACAGGAGCGTGGTTCACACTGAAGAAATTTGAAGGTGGCGCCATAGAGCCATGTTTTGATGGATCTCCATTTTGATATTCAAACTGTTTTTGTTCGTGTTAAGGTTCAACTTCAGTGTCACTAATTCCACAGGTTTTGGATGCGCACCAGAGCAGGGCTTTCATTTAGAAATGTTGTAGAGAATGCAGTCGTGCCTTTTTCAGTTGGATCCAAGATAAGTCTCTGTTAGTCCATTGGTCTGAGTCACTCAAAGAAGCAGGAGTTTCATTTTGAAATTATGAAGGGGGTGCTATGTAGCTATTTCTTGAAGGACCTCAATTTTGACATTGAACCCATTTTTGTTTGTCTTGAGGTCAAACATAAGTGACATCAATTCCAAAGGTTTTGGTCAAACACAGGAGCGGGGCTTACTTTTTTTTTTTTTTAATTTGAAGCTGGCACTCTGGAGCTATTTGAAGTTGATTCTCCATTTTGATGCTGGAGCCCTGTATGTTCAACTTTCGGTTTGTCATAATTGTACTTTATTTCAAAAGTTTGGTTCGTACACAGAAAAAGGGCTTTTATTTTTCAATTGGGTAGGGGGCAATATGTGACCATTGATGGTTGGTTCTCCATCTTGACATTTTCTTCATCACAGGGTGATGAGACTCATTTGTAATAATGGAAAAACAGCACCATCTAGTGGTGTGCTTCAGTGACTTCCCCACATAAAAATGTAGAAAATATTACAGAGCTGAAGCTAAAATACTTGGATGAAGGTAAAAATAAAAAAAAAATTGCTAAAATTGTATGTCTTATGTGCATTACAAGGAAAAATGATCAGTCGAGGTGCTTCGGATAGACAAATGCCTAAAAATGTATGTATTACAACCTCCCCGTGGAATGTGGAAGTACTCAAAAGAAGTTTACAGTCAGAATGTAACCATAGTAATTTTTGATTATGGTATGACAGCACCATCTAGTGGGGTGAACTTTTCACCTTTCTACCATTTATACTTTTTGCAATATTTCACTTTTTCCTGTACAATTAGAAGTGATCATGAGAGTGCCAGTTGTTTTTTGTTAATCTGATCCTACAAAAAAAACTTAAATGGTTTCAAAGTCAATGATATTACGAATCCTTTACATATTCAAGACTATAAAACCCTGCAAGAGATATTCAGTTTCAGGTTATGTTTTCTAATAAAAATCAGTCTCTCTTCTTAAGATGGTCTTATTTTTTTATGATACCACTTATAACAATAGGTCAATGAACTGACAGGTCATCATAACAACAGGTCACCATAACGTTCAACACCATCCAACCGATCATACTCAAAGACAAGCCCACAGAGATGGGCGTGGATCCTACCTGTGCTTCCTGGATCACAAATTGCCTGACAGGAATCACACAGTTCTTCACGCTGGGGAACTGTGTTTCTGGGCCTTATTGAGAAGTACAGGGGTTCCACAACGGACGGTCCTGGCTCCATTCCTATTGACAGGGTATACACCAGACTTCAAATACAGCACTGAGTCCTGAAATTTTTGTAGAGGGCGCTATGACCACATTTTTGTTGGAAATCCATTTTGACAGTGGAAAACTTTTTGTTTAACTTTGAGTCCAACGTAGGTGTCATTGAATCCCTCGGTTTAGGTCAAACACAGGAGCTGAACTTACATTTTGAAATTTTGTAGAGGGAGAAATGAAGGAATTTTTTGATGGGTCCCCAATTTTTACATTGGCACCCATTTCTTTTCCTCTTGGGGTTCAAGATAAGTGTCATTGAATCCACTTGTCTGGACCGCAGGAGCGGGTTTACGTTTTGAAATTTTGAAGGGGGCGCTATGGGGCCTTTTTATGATGGATATCCATTATGACAGTTAAACCCTTTTTGTTCATCTTAAGGTCAAACATAAGTGTCATCAATTTCATAGGTTTAGGTCAAACACAGGAGCGTGGTTCACACTGAAGAAATTTGAAGGTGGCGCCATAGAGCCATGTTTTGATGGATCTCCATTTTGATATTCAAACTGTTTTTGTTCGTGTTAAGGTTCAACTTCAGTGTCACTAATTCCACAGGTTTTGGATGCGCACCAGAGCAGGGCTTTCATTTAGAAATGTTGTAGAGAATGCAGTCGTGCCATTTTCAGTTGGATCCAAGATAAGTCTCTGTTAGTCCATTGGTCTGAGTCACTCAAAGAAGCAGGAGTTTCATTTTGAAATTATGAAGGGGGTGCTATGTAGCTATTTCTTGAAGGACCTCAATTTTGACATTGAACCCATTTTTGTTTGTCTTGAGGTCAAACATAAGTGACATCAATTCCAAAGGTTTTGGTCAAACACAGGAGCGGGGCTTACTTTTTTTTTAAACTTGAAGCTGGCACTCTGGAGCTATTTGAAGTTGATTCTCCATTTTGATGCTGGAGCCCTTTATGTTCAACTTTCGGTTTGTCATAATTGTACTTTATTTCAAAAGTTTGGTTCGTACACAGAAAAAGGGCTTTTATTTTTCAATTGGGTAGGGGGCAATATGTGACCATTGATGGTTACATATTGCCATTTTGACATTTTCTTCATCACAGGGTGATGAGACTCATTTGTAATAATGGAAAAACAGCACCATCTAGTGGTGTGCTTCAGTGACTTCCCCACATAAAAATGTAGAAAATATTACAGAGCTGAAGCTAAAATACTTGGATGAAGGTAAAAATAAAAAAAATTGCTAAAATTGTATGTCTTCTGTGAATTACAAAGAAAAATGATCAGTTGAGGTGCTTCGGATAGCCAAATGCATAAAATTGTATGTATTACAACCTCCCTGTGAAATGTGGAAGTACTCAAAAGAAGTTTACAGTCAGAATGTAACCATAGTAATTTTTGATTATGGTATGACAGCACCATCTAGTGGGGTGTAATTTTCACCTTTCTACCATTTATACTTTTTGCAATATTTCACTTTTTCTGTACAATTAGAAGTGATCATGAGAGTGCCAGAATTCTTAAGATGGTCTTATTTTCATGATACCACTTGGAAAAACTGCGTCAGGTAAAGAAGTTCAGATGGTATCCACTTCACCCATGGTGGAGCACTTCTCATGTGTTGTGTGCTTGTCGATTTCCTACACACTCTGTCCGCACGCACTACTCCATCTTGCGGTGCGCTTCAGCTTGGTAAGTTAGTAACTGAAGCACACTATAGGGTAGTGTTGTGCCGCTACCAGTGACTATGGTTACATGCTGCTGACTGCAAACCTCTTTTGAATATTTCAACATTTCATGGGGAGTTTGTAATATATAAATCTCTAGGCACTTGTCTTTCCAAAGCACCTAGACTGATCTTTATTTATTTTTATTCACAAAAGTCTTACAACTTTTTCTTCACTTGAGCATTTTTTACATTCATAAAAGTATTTAAAATTCTGCGCTCTATACTTTTAAGATTAATACCACTTCTTCATACTTTCATAATTTTACATTCATATGCCTTTTTTATACCACAGCTCTGTAACAATTCTATATTGACAAATATTGACAGGTCTTACAACTTTGTCTTCACGTGAGCATTTTTTACATTCATACAAGTTTTTAAACTTCTGCTCTTAATACTTTTGAGATCAATACCACCTATTTAGCACTTTAATAATTTTGCATTTATACAGCTTTTAGCTACAGCTCTGTAACACTCTTTATATTTATATGTAGGGCAGCAACTGAAGCTCACCACTAGATGCGGCTGTCATACCATAATCAAATATTTCTATGGTGATGTGCTGACTGCAAACATCTTTTTTATGTAGGGCAGTGACAGAAGCACACCACCAGATGGTGCTGTTTTTCCATTATTACAAATCACTACAGTTACATGCTGCTGACTGCAAACATCTTTTCAGTATTCACACATGGAGCGGGGCCATTGTTTTGTTTAGGCATTAGCCGTTTTGTTTTGAATGGACTCTCAAAGGCTTAAAAAATTGTTTTTTGGATAAAAAAATGTACTATTTTTGATCAGGGCAGAAGTTAATTGAGAGATGTGTGAAAAAAAATCTGGAAAAAATATGAATCCAATATGATTTTACAGCAGTCGATGTCAGAGGCTTTTTTTAGCCACTGAGCATTAACAAAGGATGTTTTTTGTTAATCTGATCCTACAAAAAAAACTTAAAAGGTTTCATAGTCAATGATATTACTAATCCTTTACATATTCAAGACTATAAAACCCTACAAGAGATATCCAGTTTCAGGTCATGTTTTCTAATAAAAATCAGTCTCTCTTCTTAAGATGGTCTTATTTTCATGATACCACTTATAACAATAGGTCAATGAACTGACAGGTCATCATAACAACAGGTCACCATAACATTCAACACCATCCAACCGATCATACTCAAAGACAAGCCCACAGAGATGGGCGTGGATCCTACCTGTGTTTCCTGGATCACAAATTGCCTGACAGGAATCACACAGTTCTTCACGCTGGGGAACTGTGTTTCTGGGCCTTATTGAGAAGTACAGGGGTTCCACAACGGACGGTCCTGGCTCCATTCCTATTGACAGGGTATACACCAGACTTCAAATACAGCACTGAGTCCTGAAATTTTTGTAGAGGGCGCTATGACCACATTTTTGTTGGAAATCCATTTTGACAGTGGAAAACTTTTTGTTTAACTTTGAGTCCAACGTAGGTGTCATTGAATCCCTCGGTTTAGGTCAAACACAGGAGCTGAACTTACATTTTGAAATTTTGTAGAGGGAGAAATGAAGGAATTTTTTGATGGGTGCCCAATTTTTACATTGGCACCCATTTCTTTTCCTCTTGGCGTTCAAGACAAGTGTCATTGAATCCACTTGTCTGGACCACAGGAGCGGGGTTTAAGTTTTGAAATTTTGAAGGGGGCGCTATGGGGCCTTTTTATGATGGATATCCATTATGACAGTTAAACCCTTTTTGTTCGTCTCAAGGTCAAACATAAGTGTCATCAATTTCATAGGTTTAGGTCAAACACAGGAGCGTGGTTCACATTGAAGAAATTTGAAGGTGGCGCCATAGAGCCAGTGTTTTGATGGATCTCCATTTTGATATTTAAACTGTTTTTGTTCGTGTAAAGGTTCAACTTCAGTGTCACTAATTCCACAGGTTTTGGACGCGCACCAGAGCAGGGCTTTCATTTAGAAATGTTGTAGAGAACGCAGTCGTGCCATTTTCAGTTGGATCCAAGATAAGTGTCTGTTAGTCCATTGGTCTGAGTCACTCAAAGGAGCAGGGGTTTCATTTTGAAATTATGAAGGGGGTGCTATGTAGCTATTTCTTAAAGAGACTACATTTTTGACATTGAACCCATTTTTCTTTGTCTTGAGGTCAAACATAAGTGACATCAATTCCAAAGGTTTTGGTCAAACACAGGAGCTGGGCTTAATTTTTTTTTTTTTTAATTTGAAGGTGGCACTCTGGAGCTATTTGAAGTTGATTCTCCATTTTGATGCTGGAGCCCTGTATGTTCAACTTTCGGTTTGTCATAATTGTTCTTTATTTCAAAAGTTTGGTTCGTACACAGAAAAAGGGCTTTTATTTTTCAATTGGGTAGGGGGCAATATGTGACCATTGATGGTTGGTTCTCCATCTTGACATTTTCTTCATCACAGGGTGATGAGACTCATTTGTAATAATGGAAAAACAGCACCATCTAGTGGTGTGCTTCAGTGACTTCCCCACATAAAAATGTAGAAAATATTACAGAGCTGAAGCTAAAATACTTGGATGAAGGTAAAAATAAAAAAAAAATTGCTAAAATTGTATGTCTTATGTGCATTACAAGGAAAAATGATCAGTCGAGGTGCTTCGGATAGACAAATGCCTAAAAATGTATGTATTACAACCTCCCCGTGGAATGTGGAAGTACTCAAAAGAAGTTTACAGTCAGAATGTAACCATAGTAATTTTTGATTATGGTATGACAGCACCATCTAGTGGGGTGAACTTTTCACCTTTCTACCATTTATACTTTTTGCAATATTTCACTTTTTCCTGTACAATTAGAAGTGATCATGAGAGTGCCAGTTGTTTTTTGTTAATCTGATCCTACAAAAAAAACTTAAATGGTTTCAAAGTCAATGATATTACCAATCCTTTACATATTCAAGACTATAAAACCCTGCAAGAGATATTCAGTTTCAGGTTATGTTTTCTAATAAAAATCAGTCTCTCTTCTTAAGATGGTCTTATTTTTTTATGATACCACTTATAACAATAGGTCAATGAACTGACAGGTCATCATAACAACAGGTCACCATAACGTTCAACACCATCCAACCGATCATACTAAAAGACAAGCCCACAGAGATGGGCGTGGATCCTACCTGTGCTTCCTGGATCACAAATTGCCTGACAGGAATCACACAGTTCTTCACGCTGGGGAACTGTGTTTCTGGGCCTTATTGAGAAGTACAGGGGTTCCACAACGGACGGTCCTGGCTCCATTCCTATTGACAGGGTATACACCAGACTTCAAATACAGCACTGAGTCCTGAAATTTTTGTAGAGGGCGCTATGACCACATTTTTGTTGGAAATCCATTTTGACAGTGGAAAACTTTTGTTTAACTTTGAGTCCAACGTAGGTGTCATTGAATCCCTCGGTTTAGGTCAAACACAGGAGCTGAACTTACATTTTGAAATTTTGTAGAGGGAGAAATGAAGGAATTTTTTGATGGGTCCCCAATTTTTACATTGGCACCCATTTCTTTTCCTCTTGGGGTTCAAGATAAGTGTCATTGAATCCACCTGTCTGGACCGCAGGAGCGGGTTTACGTTTTGAAATTTTGAAGGGGGCGCTATGGGGCCTTTTTATGATGGACATCCATTATGACAGTTAAACCCTTTTTGTTCATCTTAAGGTCAAACATAAGTGTCATCAATTTCATAGGTTTAGGTCAAACACAGGAGCGTGGTTCACACTGAAGAAATTTGAAGGTGGCGCCATAGAGCCATGTTTTGATGGATCTCCATTTTGATATTCAAACTGTTTTTGTTCGTGTTAAGGTTCAACTTCAGTGTCACTAATTCCACAGGTTTTGGATGCGCACCAGAGCAGGGCTTTCATTTAGAAATGTTGTAGAGAATGCAGTCGTGCCTTTTTCAGTTGGATCCAAGATAAGTCTCTGTTAGTCCATTGGTCTGAGTCACTCAAAGAAGCAGGAGTTTCATTTTGAAATTATGAAGGGGGTGCTATGTAGCTATTTCTTGAAGGACCTCAATTTTGACATTGAACCCATTTTTGTTTGTCTTGAGGTCAAACATAAGTGACATCAATTCCAAAGGTTTTGGTCAAACACAGGAGCGGGGCTTACTTTTTTTTTTTTTTTAAATTTGAAGCTGGCACTCTGGAGCTATTTGAAGTTGATTCTCCATTTTGATGCTGGAGCCCTGTATGTTCAACTTTCGGTTTGTCATAATTGTTCTTTATTTCAAAAGTTTGGTTCGTACACAGAAAAAGGGCTTTTATTTTTCAATTGGGTAGGGGGCAATATGTGACCATTGATGGTTGGTTCTCCATCTTGACATTTTCTTCATCACAGGGTGATGAGACTCATTTGTAATAATGGAAAAACAGCACCATCTAGTGGTGTGCTTCAGTGACTTCCCCACATAAAAATGTAGAAAATATTACAGAGCTGAAGCTAAAATACTTGGATGAAGGTAAAAATAAAAAAAAAATTGCTAAAATTGTATGTCTTATGTGCATTACAAGGAAAAATGATCAGTCGAGGTGCTTCGGATAGACAAATGCCTAAAAATGTATGTATTACAACCTCCCCGTGGAATGTGGAAGTACTCAAAAGAAGTTTACAGTCAGAATGTAACCATAGTAATTTTTGATTATGGTATGACAGCACCATCTAGTGGGGTGAACTTTTCACCTTTCTACCATTTATACTTTTTGCAATATTTCACTTTTTCCTGTACAATTAGAAGTGATCATGAGAGTGCCAGTTGTTTTTTGTTAATCTGATCCTACAAAAAAAACTTAAATGGTTTCAAAGTCAATGATATTACGAATCCTTTACATATTCAAGACTATAAAACCCTGCAAGAGATATTCAGTTTCAGGTCATGTTTTCTAATAAAAATCAGTCTCTCTTCTTAAGATGGTCTTATTTTTTTATGATACCACTTATAACAATAGGTCAATGAACTGACAGGTCATCATAACAACAGGTCACCATAACGTTCAACACCATCCAACCGATCATACTCAAAGACAAGCCCACAGAGATGGGCGTGGATCCTACCTGTGCTTCCTGGATCACAAATTGCCTGACAGGAATCACACAGTTCTTCACGCTGGGGAACTGTGTTTCTGGGCCTTATTGAGAAGTACAGGGGTTCCACAACGGACGGTCCTGGCTCCATTCCTATTGACAGGGTATACACCAGACTTCAAATACAGCACTGAGTCCTGAAATTTTTGTAGAGGGCGCTATGACCACATTTTTGTTGGAAATCCATTTTGACAGTGGAAAACTTTTTGTTTAACTTTGAGTCCAACGTAGGTGTCATTGAATCCCTCGGTTTAGGTCAAACACAGGAGCTGAACTTACATTTTGAAATTTTGTAGAGGGAGAAATGAAGGAATTTTTTGATGGGTCCCCAATTTTTACATTGGCAACCATTTCTTTTCCTCTTGGGGTTCAAGATAAGTGTCATTGAATCCACTTGTCTGGACCGCAGGAGCGGGTTTACGTTTTGAAATTTTGAAGGGGGCGCTATGGGGCCTTTTTATGATGGATATCCATTATGACAGTTAAACCCTTTTTGTTCGTCTTGAGGTCAAACATAAGTGTCATCAATTTCATAGGTTTAGGTCAAACACAGGAGCGTGGTTCACATTGAAGAAATTTGAAGGTGGCGCCATAGAGCCATGTTTTGATGGATCTCCATTTTGATATTCAAACTGTTTTTGTTCGTGTTAAGGTTCAACTTCAGTGTCACTAATTCCACAGGTTTTGGACGCACACCAGAGCAGGGCTTTCATTTAGAAATGTTGTAGAGAACGCAGTCGTGCCATTTTCAGTTGGATCCAAGATAAGTGTCTGTTAGTCCATTGGTCTGAGTCACTCAAAGAAGCAGGAGTTTCATTTTGAAATTATGAAGGGGGTGCTATGTAGCTATTTCTTGAAGGACCTCAATTTTGACATTGAACCCATTTTTGTTTGTCTTGAGGTCAAACATAAGTGACATCAATTCCAAAGGTTTTGGTCAAACACAGGAGCGGGGCTTACTTTTTTTTTTAATTTGAAGCTGGCACTCTGGAGCTATTTGAAGTTGATTCTCCATTTTGATGCTGGAGCCCTTTATGTTCAACTTTCGGTTTGTCATAATTGTACTTTATTTCAAAAGTTTGGTTCGTACACAGAAAAAGGGCTTTTATTTTTCAATTGGGTAGGGGGCAATATGTGACCATTGATGGTTGGTTCTCCATCTTGACATTTTCTTCATCACAGGGTGATGAGACTCATTTGTAATAATGGAAAAACAGCACCATCTAGTGGTGTGCTTCAGTGACTTCCCCACATAAAAATGTAGAAAATATTACAGAGCTGAAGCTAAAATACTTGGATGAAGGTAAAAATAAAAAAAATTGCTAAAATTGTATGTCTTATGTGAATTACAAAGAAAAATGATCAGTCGAGGTGCTTCGGATAGCCAAATGCCTAAAATTGTATGTATTACAACCTCCCCGTGAAATGTGGAAGTACTCAAAAGAAGTTTACAGTCAGAATGTAACCATAGTAATTTTTGATTATGGTATGACAGCACCATCTAGTGGGGTGTACTTTTCACCTTTCTACCATTTATACTTTTTGCAATATTTCACTTTTTCTGTACAATTAGAAGTGATCATGAGAGTGCCAGAATTCTTAAGATGGTCTTATTTTCATGATACCACTTGGAAAAACTGCGTCAGGTAAAGAAGTTCAGACGGTATCCACTTCACCCATGGTGGAGCACTTCTCATGTGTTGTGTGCTTGTCGATTTCCTACACACTCTGTCCGCACGCACTACTCCATCTTGCGGTGCGCTTCAGCTTGGTAAGTTAGTAACTGAAGCACACTATAGGGTAGTGTTGTGCCGCTACCAGTGACTATGGTTACATGCTGCTGACTGCAAACCTCTTTTGAATATTTCAACATTTCATGGGGAGTTTGTAATATATAAATCTCTAGGCACTTGTCTTTCCAAAGCACCTAGACTGATCTTTATTTATTTTTATTCACAAAAGTCTTACAACTTTTTCTTCACTTGAGCATTTTTTACATTCATAAAAGTATTTAAAATTCTGCTCTCTATACTTTTAAGATTAATACCACTTCTTCATACTTTCATAATTTTACATTCATATGCCTTTTTTATACCACAGCTCTGTAACAATTCTATATTGACAAATATTGACAGGTCTTACAACTTTGTCTTCACGTGAGCATTTTTTACATTCATACAAGTTTTTAAACTTCTGCTCTTAATACTTTTGAGATCAATACCACCTATTTAGCACTTTAATAATTTTGCATTTATACAGCTTTTAGCTACAGCTCTGTAACACTCTTTATATTTATATGTAGGGCAGCAACTGAAGCTCACCACTAGATGCGGCTGTCATACCATAATCAAATATTTCTATGGTGATGTGCTGACTGCAAACATCTTTTTTATGTAGGGCAGTGACAGAAGCACACCACCAGATGGTGCTGTTTTTCCATTATTACAAATCACTACAGTTACATGCTGCTGACTGCAAACATCTTTTCAGTATTCACACATGGAGCGGGGCCATTGTTTTGTTTAGGCATTAGCCGTTTTGTTTTGAATGGACTCTCAAAGGCTTAAAAAATTGTTTTTTGGATAAAAAAATGTACTATTTTTGATCAGGGCAGAAGTTAATTGAGAGATGTGTGAAAAAAAATCTGGAAAAAATATGAATCCAATATGATTTTACAGCAGTCGATGTCAGAGGCTTTTTTTAGCCACTGAGCATTAACAAAGGATGTTTTTTGTTAATCTGATCCTACAAAAAAAACTTAAAAGGTTTCATAGTCAATGATATTACTAATCCTTTACATATTCAAGACTATAAAACCCTGCAAGAGATATCCAGTTTCAGGTCATGTTTTCTAATAAAAATCAGTCTCTCTTCTTAAGATGGTCTTATTTTCATGATACCACTTATAACAATAGGTCAATGAACTGACAGGTCATCATAACAACAGGTCACCATAACATTCAACACCATCCAACCGATCATACTCAAAGACAAGCCCACAGAGATGGGCGTGGATCCTACCTGTGTTTCCTGGATCACAAATTGCCTGACAGGAATCACACAGTTCTTCACGCTGGGGAACTGTGTTTCTGGGCCTTATTGAGAAGTACAGGGGTTCCACAACGGACGGTCCTGGCTCCATTCCTATTGACAGGGTATACACCAGACTTCAAATACAGCACTGAGTCCTGAAATTTTTGTAGAGGGCGCTATGACCACATTTTTGTTGGAAATCCATTTTGACAGTGGAAAACTTTTTGTTTAACTTTGAGTCCAACGTAGGTGTCATTGAATCCCTCGGTTTAGGTCAAACACCGGAGCTGAACTTACATTTTGAAATTTTGTAGAGGGAGAAATGAAGGAATTTTTTGATGGGTGCCCAATTTTTACATTGGCACCCATTTCTTTTCCTCTTGGCGTTCAAGACAAGTGTCATTGAATCCACTTGTCTGGACCACAGGAGCGGGGTTTAAGTTTTGAAATTTTGAAGGGGGCGCTATGGGGCCTTTTTATGATGGATATCCATTATGACAGTTAAACCCTTTTTGTTCGTCTCAAGGTCAAACATAAGTGTCATCAATTTTATAGGTTTAGGTCAAACACAGGAGCGTGGTTCACATTGAAGAAATTTGAAGGTGGCGCCATAGAGCCAGTGTTTTGATGGATCTCCATTTTGATATTTAAACTGTTTTTGTTCGTGTTAAGGTTCAACTTCAGTGTCACTAATTCCACAGGTTTTGGACGCACACCAGAGCAGGGCTTTCATTTAGAAATGTTGTAGAGAACGCAGTCGTGCCATTTTCAGTTGGATCCAAGATAAGTGTCTGTTAGTCCATTGGTCTGAGTCACTCAAAGAAGCAGGAGTTTCATTTTGAAATTATGAAGGGGGTGCTATGTAGCTATTTCTTGAAGGACCTCAATTTTGACATTGAACCCATTTTTGTTTGTCTTGAGGTCAAACATAAGTGACATCAATTCCAAAGGTTTTGGTCAAACACAGGAGCGGGGCTTACTTTTTTTTTTAATTTGAAGCTGGCACTCTGGAGCTATTTGAAGTTGATTCTCCATTTTGATGCTGGAGCCCTTTATGTTCAACTTTCGGTTTGTCATAATTGTACTTTATTTCAAAAGTTTGGTTCGTACACAGAAAAAGGGCTTTTATTTTTCAATTGGGTAGGGGGCAATATGTGACCATTGATGGTTGGTTCTCCATTTTGACATTTTCTTCATCACAGGGTGATGAGACTCATTTGTAATAATGGAAAAACAGCACCATCTAGTGGTGTGCTTCAGTGACTTCCCCACATAAAAATGTAGAAAATATTACAGAGCTGAAGCTAAAATACTTGGATGAAGGTAAAAATAAAAAAAATTGCTAAAATTGTATGTCTTCTGTGAATTACAAAGAAAAATGATCAGTTGAGGTGCTTCGGATAGCCAAATGCCTAAAATTGTATGTATTACAACCTACCCGTGAAATGTGGAAGTACTCAAAAGAAGTTTACAGTCAGAATGTAACCATAGTAATTTTTGATTATGGTATGACAGCACCATCTAGTGGGGTGTAATTTTCACCTTTCTACCATTTATACTTTTTGCAATATTTCACTTTTTCTGTACAATTAGAAGTGATCATGAGAGTGCCAGAATTCTTAAGATGGTCTTATTTTCATGATACCACTTGGAAAAACTGCGTCAGGTAAAGAAGTTCAGACGGTATCCACTTCACCCATGGTGGAGCACTTCTCATGTGTTGTGTGCTTGTCGATTTCCTACACACTCTGTCCGCACGCACTACTCCATCTTGCGGTGCGCTTCAGCTTGGTAAGTTAGTAACTGAAGCACACTATAGGGTAGTGTTGTGCCGCTACCAGTGACTATGGTTACATGCTGCTGACTGCAAACCTCTTTTGAATATTTCAACATTTCATGGGGAGTTTGTAATATATAAATCTCTAGGCACTTGTCTTTCCAAAGCACCTAGACTGATCTTTATTTATTTTTATTCACAAAAGTCTTACAACTTTTTCTTCACTTGAGCATTTTTTACATTCATAAAAGTATTTAAAATTCTGCTCTCTATACTTTTAAGATTAATACCACTTCTTCATACTTTCATAATTTTACATTCATATGCCTTTTTTATACCACAGCTCTGTAACAATTCTATATTGACAAATATTGACAGGTCTTACAACTTTGTCTTCACGTGAGCATTTTTTACATTCATACAAGTTTTTAAACTTCTGCTCTTAATACTTTTGAGATCAATACCACCTATTTAGCACTTTAATAATTTTGCATTTATACAGCTTTTAGCTACAGCTCTGTAACACTCTTTATATTTATATGTAGGGCAGCAACTGAAGCTCACCACTAGATGCGGCTGTCATACCATAATCAAATATTTCTATGGTGATGTGCTGACTGCAAACATCTTTTTTATGTAGGGCAGTGACAGAAGCACACCACCAGATGGTGCTGTTTTTCCATTATTACAAATCACTACAGTTACATGCTGCTGACTGCAAACATCTTTTCAGTATTCACACATGGAGCGGGGCCATTGTTTTGTTTAGGCATTAGCCGTTTTGTTTTGAATGGACTCTCAAAGGCTTAAAAAAATGTTTTTTGGATAAAAAAATGTACTATTTTTGATCAGGGCAGAAGTTAATTGAGAGATGTGTGAAAAAAAATCTGGAAAAAATATGAATCCAATATGATTTTACAGCAGTCGATGTCAGAGGCTTTTTTTAGCCACTGAGCATTAACAAAGGATGTTTTTTGTTAATCTGATCCTACAAAAAAAACTTAAAAGGTTTCATAGTCAATGATATTACTAATCCTTTACATATTCAAGACTATAAAACCCTGCAAGAGATATCCAGTTTCAGGTCATGTTTTCTAATAAAAATCAGTCTCTCTTCTTAAGATGGTCTTATTTTCATGATACCACTTATAACAATAGGTCAATGAACTGACAGGTCATCATAACAACAGGTCACCATAACATTCAACACCATCCAACCGATCATACTCAAAGACAAGCCCACAGAGATGGGCGTGGATCCTACCTGTGTTTCCTGGATCACAAATTGCCTGACAGGAATCACACAGTTCTTCACGCTGGGGAACTGTGTTTCTGGGCCTTATTGAGAAGTACAGGGGTTCCACAACGGACGGTCCTGGCTCCATTCCTATTGACAGGGTATACACCAGACTTCAAATACAGCACTGAGTCCTGAAATTTTTGTAGAGGGCGCTATGACCACATTTTTGTTGGAAATCCATTTAGACAGTGGAAAACTTTTTGTTTAACTTTGAGTCCAACGTAGGTGTCATTGAATCCCTCGGTTTAGGTCAAACACAGGAGCTGAACTTACATTTTGAAATTTTGTAGAGGGAGAAATGAAGGAATTTTTTGATGGGTGCCCAATTTTTACATTGGCACCCATTTCTTTTCCTCTTGGGCGTTCAAGACAAGTGTCATTGAATCCACTTGTCTGGACCGCAGGAGCGGGTTTACGTTTTGAAATTTTGAAGGGGGCGCTATGGGGCCTTTTTATGATGGATATCCATTATGACAGTTAAACCCTTTTTGTTCGTCTTGAGGTCAAACATAAGTGTCATCAATTTCATAGGTTTAGGTCAAACACAGGAGCGTGGTTCACATTGAAGAAATTTGAAGGTGGCGCCATAGAGCCATGTTTTGATGGATCTCCATTTTGATATTCAAACTGTTTTTGTTCGTGTTAAGGTTCAACTTCAGTGTCACTAATTCCACAGGTTTTGGACGCGCACCAGAGCAGGGCTTTCATTTAGAAATGTTGTAGAGAACGCAGTCGTGCCATTTTCAGTTGGATCCAAGATAAGTGTCTGTTAGTCCATTGGTCTGAGTCACTCAAAGGAGCAGGGGTTTCATTTTGAAATTATGAAGGGGGTGCTATGTAGCTATTTCTTAAAGAGACTACATTTTTGACATTGAACCCATTTTTCTTTGTCTTGAGGTCAAACATAAGTGACATCAATTCCAAAGGTTTTGGTCAAACACAGGAGCTGGGCTTAATTTTTTTTTTTTTTAATTTGAAGGTGGCACTCTGGAGCTATTTGAAGTTGATTCTCCATTTTGATGCTGGAGCCCTGTATGTTCAACTTTCGGTTTGTCATAATTGTTCTTTATTTCAAAAGTTTGGTTCGTACACAGAAAAAGGGCTTTTATTTTTCAATTGGGTAGGGGGCAATATGTGACCATTGATGGTTGGTTCTCCATCTTGACATTTTCTTCATCACAGGGTGATGAGACTCATTTGTAATAATGGAAAAACAGCACCATCTAGTGGTGTGCTTCAGTGACTTCCCCACATAAAAATGTAGAAAATATTACAGAGCTGAAGCTAAAATACTTGGATGAAGGTAAAGATAAAAAAAAAATTGCTAAAATTGTATGTCTTATGTGCATTACAAGGAAAAATGATCAGTCGAGGTGCTTCGGATAGACAAATGCCTAAAAATGTATGTATTACAACCTCCCCGTGGAATGTGGAAGTACTCAAAAGAAGTTTACAGTCAGAATGTAACCATAATAATTTTTGATTATGGTATGACAGCACCATCTAGTGGGGTGAACTTTTCACCTTTCTACCATTTATACTTTTTGCAATATTTCACTTTTTCCTGTACAATTAGAAGTGATCATGAGAGTGCCAGTTGTTTTTTGTTAATCTGATCCTACAAAAAAAACTTAAATGGTTTCAAAGTCAATGATATTACGAATCCTTTACATATTCAAGACTATAAAACCCTGCAAGAGATATCCAGTTTCAGGTCATGTTTTCTAATAAAAATCAGTCTCTCTTCTTAAGATGGTCTTATTTTCATGATACCACTTATAACAATAGGTCAATGAACTGACAGGTCATCATAACAACAGGTCACCATAACATTCAACACCATCCAACCGATCATACTCAAAGACAAGCCCACAGAGATGGGCGTGGATCCTACCTGTGTTTCCTGGATCACAAATTGCCTGACAGGAATCACACAGTTCTTCACGCTGGGGAACTGTGTTTCTGGGCCTTATTGAGAAGTACAGGGGTTCCACAACGGACGGTCCTGGCTCCATTCCTATTGACAGGGTATACACCAGACTTCAAATACAGCACTGAGTCCTGAAATTTTTGTAGAGGGCGCTATGACCACATTTTTGTTGGAAATCCATTTTGACAGTGGAAAACTTTTTGTTTAACTTTGAGTCCAACGTAGGTGTCATTGAATCCCTCGGTTTAGGTCAAACACAGGAGCTGAACTTACATTTTGAAATTTTGTAGAGGGAGAAATGAAGGAATTTTTTGATGGGTCCCCAATTTTTACATTGGAACCCATTTCTTTTCCTCTTGGGGTTCAAGATAAGTGTCATTGAATCCACTTGTCTGGACCACAGGAGTGGGTTTACGTTTTGAAATTTTGAAGGGGGCGCTATGGGGCCTTTTTATGATGGATATCCATTATGACAGTTAAACCCTTTTTGTTCGTCTTGAGGTCAAACATAAGTGTCATCAATTTCATAGGTTTAGGTCAAACACAGGAGCGTGGTTCACACTGAAGAAATTTGAAGGTGGCGCCATAGAGCCATGTTTTGATGGATCTCCATTTTGATATTCAAACTGTTTTTGTTCGTGTTAAGGTTCAACTTCAGTGTCACTAATTCCACAGGTTTTGGACGCACACCAGAGCAGGGCTTTCATTTAGAAATGTTGTAGAGAACGCAGTCGTGCCATTTTCAGTTGGATCCAAGATAAGTGTCTGTTAGTCCATTGGTCTGAGTCACTCAAAGAAGCAGGAGTTTCATTTTGAAATTATGAAGGGGGTGCTATGTAGCTAGTTCTTGAAGGACCTCAATTTTGACATTGAACCCATTTTTGTTTGTCTTGAGGTCAAACATAAGTGACATCAATTCCAAAGGTTTTGGTCAAACACAGGAGCGGGGCTTACTTTTTTTTTTTTTTAATTTGAAGCTGGCACTCTGGAGCTATTTGAAGTTGATTCTCCATTTTGATGCTGGAGCCCTTTATGTTCAACTTTCGGTTTGTCATAATTGTACTTTATTTCAAAAGTTTGGTTCGTACACAGAAAAAGGGCTTTTATTTTTCAATTGGGTAGGGGGCAATATGTGACCATTGATGGTTGGTTCTCCATTTTGACATTTTCTTCATCACAGGGTGATGAGACTCATTTGTAATAATGGAAAAACAGCACCATCTAGTGGTGTGCTTCAGTGACTTCCCCACATAAAAATGTAGAAAATATTACAGAGCTGAAGCTAAAATACTTGGATGAAGGTAAAAATAAAAAAAATTGCTAAAATTGTATGTCTTCTGTGAATTACAAGGAAAAATGATCAGTCGAGGTGCTTCGGATAGCCAAATGCCTAAAAATGTATGTATTACAACCTCCCCGTGAAATGTGGAAGTACTCAAAAGAAGTTTACAGTCAGAATGTAACCATAGTAATTTTTGATTATGGTATGACAGCACCATCTAGTGGGGTGTAATTTTCACCTTTCTACCATTTATACTTTTTGCAATATTTCACTTTTTCTGTACAATTAGAAGTGATCATGAGAGTGCCAGAATTCTTAAGATGGTCTTATTTTCATGATACCACTTGGAAAAACTGCGTCAGGTAAAGAAGTTCAGACGGTATCCACTTCACCCATGGTGGAGCACTTCTCATGTGTTGTGTGCTTGTCGATTTCCTACACACTCTGTCCGCACGCACTACTCCATCTTGCGGTGCGCTTCAGCTTGGTAAGTTAGTAACTGAAGCACACTATAGGGTAGTGTTGTGCCGCTACCAGTGACTATGGTTACATGCTGCTGACTGCAAACCTCTTTTGAATATTTCAACATTTCATGGGGAGTTTGTAATATATAAATCTCTAGGCACTTGTCTTTCCAAAGCACCTAGACTGATCTTTATTTATTTTTATTCACAAAAGTCTTACAACTTTTTCTTCACTTGAGCATTTTTTACATTCATAAAAGTATTTAAAATTCTGCTCTCTATACTTTTAAGATTAATACCACTTCTTCATACTTTCATAATTTTACATTCATATGCCTTTTTTATACCACAGCTCTGTAACAATTCTATATTGACAAATATTGACAGGTCTTACAACTTTGTCTTCACGTGAGCATTTTTTACATTCATACAAGTTTTTAAACTTCTGCTCTTAATACTTTTGAGATCAATACCACCTATTTAGCACTTTAATAATTTTGCATTTATACAGCTTTTAGCTACAGCTCTGTAACACTCTTTATATTTATATGTAGGGCAGCAACTGAAGCTCACCACTAGATGCGGCTGTCATACCATAATCAAATATTTCTATGGTGATGTGCTGACTGCAAACATCTTTTTTATGTAGGGCAGTGACAGAAGCACACCACCAGATGGTGCTGTTTTTCCATTATTACAAATCACTACAGTTACATGCTGCTGACTGCAAACATCTTTTCAGTATTCACACATGGAGCGGGGCCATTGTTTTGTTTAGGCATTAGCCGTTTTGTTTTGAATGGACTCTCAAAGGCTTAAAAAATTGTTTTTTGGATAAAAAAATGTACTATTTTTGATCAGGGCAGAAGTTAATTGAGAGATGTGTGAAAAAAAATCTGGAAAAAATATGAATCCAATATGATTTTACAGCAGTCGATGTCAGAGGCTTTTTTTAGCCACTGAGCATTAACAAAGGATGTTTTTTGTTAATCTGATCCTACAAAAAAAACTTAAAAGGTTTCATAGTCAATGATATTACTAATCCTTTACATATTCAAGACTATAAAACCCTGCAAGAGATATCCAGTTTCAGGTCATGTTTTCTAATAAAAATCAGTCTCTCTTCTTAAGATGGTCTTATTTTCATGATACCACTTATAACAATAGGTCAATGAACTGACAGGTCATCATAACAACAGGTCACCATAACATTCAACACCATCCAACCGATCATACTCAAAGACAAGCCCACAGAGATGGGCGTGGATCCTACCTGTGTTTCCTGGATCACAAATTGCCTGACAGGAATCACACAGTTCTTCACGCTGGGGAACTGTGTTTCTGGGCCTTATTGAGAAGTACAGGGGTTCCACAACGGACGGTCCTGGCTCCATTCCTATTGACAGGGTATACACCAGACTTCAAATACAGCACTGAGTCCTGAAATTTTTGTAGAGGGCGCTATGACCACATTTTTGTTGGAAATCCATTTTGACAGTGAAAAACTTTTTGTTTAACTTTGAGTCCAACGTAGGTGTCATTGAATCCCTCGGTTTAGGTCAAACACAGGAGCTGAACTTACATTTTGAAATTTTGTAGAGGGAGAAATGAAGGAATTTTTTGATGGGTGCCCAATTTTTACATTGGCACCCATTTCTTTTCCTCTTGGCGTTCAAGACAAGTGTCATTGAATCCACTTGTCTGGACCACAGGAGCGGGGTTTAAGTTTTGAAATTTTGAAGGGGGCGCTATGGGGCCTTTTTATGATGGATATCCATTATGACAGTTAAACCCTTTTTGTTCGTCTTGAGGTCAAACATAAGTGTCATCAATTTCATAGGTTTAGGTCAAACACAGGAGCGTGGTTCACATTAAAGAAATTTGAAGGTGGCGCCATAGAGCCATGTTTTGATGGATCTCCATTTTGATATTCAAACTGTTTTTGTTCGTGTTAAGGTTCAACTTCAGTGTCACTAATTCCACAGGTTTTGGACGCACACCAGAGCAGGGCTTTCATTTAGAAATGTTGTAGAGAACGCAGTCGTGCCATTTTCAGTTGGATCCAAGATAAGTGTCTGTTAGTCCATTGGTCTGAGTCACTCAAAGAAGCAGGAGTTTCATTTTGAAATTATGAAGGGGGTGCTATGTAGCTATTTCTTGAAGGACCTCAATTTTGACATTGAACCCATTTTTGTTTGTCTTGAGGTCAAACATAAGTGACATCAATTCCAAAGGTTTTGGTCAAACACAGGAGCGGGGCTTACTTTTTTTTTTAAATTTGAAGCTGGCACTCTGGAGCTATTTGAAGTTGATTCTCCATTTTGATGCTGGAGCCCTTTATGTTCAACTTTCGGTTTGTCATAATTGTACTTTATTTCAAAAGTTTGGTTCGTACACAGAAAAAGGGCTTTTATTTTTCAATTGGGTAGGGGGCAATATGTGACCATTGATGGTTGGTTCTCCATTTTGACATTTTCTTCATCACAGGGTGATGAGACTCATTTGTAATAATGGAAAAACAGCACCATCTAGTGGTGTGCTTCAGTGACTTCCCCACATAAAAATGTAGAAAATATTACAGAGCTGAAGCTAAAATACTTGGATGAAGGTAAAAATAAAAAAAAATTGCTAAAATTGTATGTCTTCTGTGAATTACAAAGAAAAATGATCAGTCGAGGTGCTTCGGATAGCCAAATGCCTAAAAATGTATGTATTACAACCTCCCCGTGAAATGTGGAAGTACTCAAAAGAAGTTTACAGTCAGAATGTAACCATAGTAATTTTTGATTATGGTATGACAGCACCATCTAGTGGGGTGTACTTTTCACCTTTCTACCATTTATACTTTTTGCAATATTTCACTTTTTCTGTACAATTAGAAGTGATCATGAGAGTGCCAGAATTCTTAAGATGGTCTTATTTTCATGATACCACTTGGAAAAACTGCGTCAGGTAAAGAAGTTCAGACGGTATCCACTTCACCCATGGTGGAGCACTTCTCATGTGTTGTGTGCTTGTCGATTTCCTACACACTCTGTCCGCACGCACTACTCCATCTTGCGGTGCGCTTCAGCTTGGTAAGTTAGTAACTGAAGCACACTATAGGGTAGTGTTGTGCCGCTACCAGTGACTATGGTTACATGCTGCTGACTGCAAACCTCTTTTGAATATTTCAACATTTCATGGGGAGTTTGTAATATATAAATCTCTAGGCACTTGTCTTTCCAAAGCACCTAGACTGATCTTTATTTATTTTTATTCACAAAAGTCTTACAAATTTTTCTTCACTTGAGCATTTTTTACATTCATAAAAGTATTTAAAATTCTGCTCTCTATACTTTTAAGATTAATACCACTTCTTCATACTTTCAGAATTTTACATTCATATACCTTTTTTATACCACAGCTCTGTAACAATTCTATATCGACAAATATTGACAGGTCTTACAACTTTGTCTTCACGTGAGCATTTTTTACATTCATACAAGTTTTTAAACTTCTGCTCTTAATACTTTTGAGATCAATACCACCTATTTAGCACTTTAATAATTTTGCATTTATACAGCTTTTAGCTACAGCTCTGTAACACTCTTTATATTTATATGTAGGGCAGCAACTGAAGCTCACCACTAGATGCGGCTGTCATACCATAATCAAATATTTCTATGGTGATGTGCCGACTGCAAACATCTTTTTTATGTAGGGCAGTGACAGAAGCACACCACCAGATGGTGCTGTTTTTCCATTATTACAAATCACTACGGTTACATGCTGCTGACTGCAAACATCTTATCAGTGTTCACACATGGAGCGGGGCCATTGTTTTGTTTAGGCATTAGCCGTTTTGTTTTGAATGGACTCTCAAAGGCTTAAAAAATTGTTTTTTGGATAAAAAAATGTACTATTTTTGATCAGGGCAGAAGTTAATTGAGAGATGTGTGAAAAAAAATCTGGAAAAAATATGAATCCAATATGTTTTTACAGCAGTCGATGTCAGAGGCTTTTTTTAGCCACTGAGCATTAACAAAGGATGTTTTTTGTTAATCTAATCCTACAAAAAAACTTAAAAGGTTTCAAAGTCAATGATATTACTAATCCTTTACATATTCAAGACTATAAAACCCTGCAAGAGATATCCAGTTTCAGGTCATGTTTTCTAATAAAAATCAGTCTCTCTTCTTAAGATGGTCTTATTTTCATGATACCACTTATAACAATAGGTCAATGAACTGACAGGTCATCATAACAACAGGTCACCATAACATTCAACACCATCCAACCGATCATACTCAAAGACAAGCCCACAGAGATGGGCGTGGATCCTACCTGTGTTTCCTGGATCACAAATTGCCTGACAGGAATCACACAGTTCTTCACGCTGGGGAACTGTGTTTCTGGGCCTTATTGAGAAGTACAGGGGTTCCACAACGGACGGTCCTGGCTCCATTCCTATTGACAGGGTATACACCAGACTTCAAATACAGCACTGAGTCCTGAAATTTTTGTAGAGGGCGCTATGACCACATTTTTGTTGGAAATCCATTTTGACAGTGGAAAACTTTTTGTTTAACTTTGAGTCCAACGTAGGTGTCATTGAATCCCTCGGTTTAGGTCAAACACAGGAGCTGAACTTACATTTTGAAATTTTGTAGAGGGAGAAATGAAGGAATTTTTTGATGGGTGCCCAATTTTTACATTGGCACCCATTTCTTTTCCTCTTGGCGTTCAAGACAAGTGTCATTGAATCCACTTGTCTGGACCACAGGAGCGGGGTTTAAGTTTTGAAATTTTGAAGGGGGCGCTATGGGGCCTTTTTATGATGGATATCCATTATGACAGTTAAACCCTTTTTGTTCGTCTTGAGGTCAAACATAAGTGTCATCAATTTCATAGGTTTAGGTCAAACACAGGAGCGTGGTTCACATTGAAGAAATTTGAAGGTGGCGCCATAGAGCCATGTTTTGATGGATCTCCATTTTGATATTCAAACTGTTTTTGTTCGTGTTAAGGTTCAACTTCAGTGTCACTAATTCCACAGGTTTTGGACGCGCACCAGAGCAGGGCTTTCATTTAGAAATGTTGTAGAGAACGCAGTCGTGCCATTTTCAGTTGGATCCAAGATAAGTGTCTGTTAGTCCATTGGTCTGAGTCACTCAAAGGAGCAGGGGTTTCATTTTGAAATTATGAAGGGGGTGCTATGTAGCTATTTCTTAAAGAGACTACATTTTTGACATTGAACCCATTTTTGTTTGTCTTGAGGTCAAACATAAGTGACATCAATTCCAAAGGTTTTGGTCAAACACAGGAGTTGGGCTTAATTTTTTTTTTTTTTTAAATTTGAAGGTGGCACTCTGGAGCTATTTGAAGTTGATTCTCCATTTTGATGCTGGAGCCCTGTATGTTCAACTTTCGGTTTGTCATAATTGTACTTTATTTCAAAAGTTTGGTTCGTACACAGAAAAAGGGCTTTTATTTTTCAATTGGGTAGGGGGCAATATGTGACCATTGATGGTTGGTTCTCCATTTTGACATTTTCTTCATCACAGGGTGATGAGACTCATTTGTAATAATGGAAAAACAGCACCATCTCGTGGTGTGCTTCAGTGACTTCCCCACATAAAAATGTAGAAAATATTACAGAGCTGAAGCTAAAATACTTGGATGAAGGTAAAGATAAAAAAAATTGCTAAAATTGTATGTCTTCTGTGAATTACAAGGAAAAATGATCAGTCGAGGTGCTTCGGATAGACAAATGCCTAAAAATGTATGTATTACAACCTCCCCGTGGAATGTGGAAGTACTCAAAAGAAGTTTACAGTCAGAATGTAACCATAGTAATTTTTGATTATGGTATGACAGCACCATCTAGTGGGGTGTAATTTTCACCTTTCTACCATTTATACTTTTTGCAATATTTCACTTTTTCTGTACAATTAGAAGTGATCATGAGAGTGCCAGAATTCTTAAGATGGTCTTATTTTCATGATACCACTTGGAAAAACTGCGTCAGGTAAAGAAGTTCAGACGGTATCCACTTCACCCATGGTGGAGCACTTCTCATGTGTTGTGTGCTTGTCGATTTCCTACACACTCTGTCCGCACGCACGGTGCGCTTCAGCTTGGTAAGTTAGTAACTGAAGCACACTATAGGGTAGTGTTGTGCCGCTACCAGTGACTATGGTTACATGCTGCTGACTGCAAACCTCTTTTGAATATTTCAACATTTCATGGGGAGTTTGTAATATATAAATCTCTAGGCACTTGTCTTTCCAAAGCACCTAGACTGATCTTTATTTATTTTTATTCACAAAAGTCTTACAACTTTTTCTTCACTTGAGCATTTTTTACATTCATAAAAGTATTTAAAATTCTGCTCTCTATACTTTTAAGATTAATACCACTTCTTCATACTTTCATAATTTTACATTCATATGCCTTTTTTATACCACAGCTCTGTAACAATTCTATATTGACAAATATTGACAGGTCTTACAACTTTGTCTTCACGTGAGCATTTTTTACATTCATACAAGTTTTTAAACTTCTGCTCTTAATACTTTTGAGATCAATACCACCTATTTAGCACTTTAATAATTTTGCATTTATACAGCTTTTAGCTACAGCTCTGTAACACTCTTTATATTTATATGTAGGGCAGCAACTGAAGCTCACCACTAGATGCGGCTGTCATACCATAATCAAATATTTCTATGGTGATGTGCTGACTGCAAACAGCTTTTTTATGTAGGGCAGTGACAGAAGCACACCACCAGATGGTGCTGTTTTTCCATTATTACAAATCACTACAGTTATATGCTGCTGACTGCAAACATCTTTTCAGTATTCACACATGGAGCGGGGCCATTGTTTTGTTTAGGCATTAGCCGTTTTGTTTTGAATGGACTCTCAAAGGCTTAAAAAATTGTTTTTTGGATAAAAAAATGTACTATTTTTGATCAGGGCATAAGTTAATTGAGAGATGTGTGAAAAAAAATCTGGAAAAAATATGAATCCAATATGATTTTACAGCAGTCGATGTCAGAGGCTTTTTTTAGCCACTGAGCATTAACAAAGGATGTTTTTTGTTAATCTGATCCTACAAAAAAAACTTAAAAGGTTTCATAGTCAATGATATTACTAATCCTTTACATATTCAAGACTATAAAACCCTGCAAGAGATATCCAGTTTCAGGTCATGTTTTCTAATAAAAATCAGTCTCTCTTCTTAAGATGGTCTTATTTTCATGATACCACTTATAACAATAGGTCAATGAACTGACAGGTCATCATAACAACAGGTCACCATAACATTCAACACCATCCAACCGATCATACTCAAAGACAAGCCCACAGAGATGGGCGTGGATCCTACCTGTGTTTCCTGGATCACAAATTGCCTGACAGGAATCACACAGTTCTTCACGCTGGGGAACTGTGTTTCTGGGCCTTATTGAGAAGTACAGGGGTTCCACAACGGACGGTCCTGGCTCCATTCCTATTGACAGGGTATACACCAGACTTCAAATACAGCACTGAGTCCTGAAATTTTTGTAGAGGGAGAAATGAAGGAATTTTTTGATGGGTGCCCAATTTTTACATTGACACCCATTTCTTTTCCTCTTGGCGTTCAAGACAAGTGTCATTGAATCCACTTGTCTGGACCACAGGAGCGGGGTTTAAGTTTTGAAATTTTGAAGGGGGCGCTATGGGGCCTTTTTATGATGGATATCCATTATGACAGTTAAACCCTTTTTGTTCGTCTTGAGGTCAAACATAAGTGTCATCAATTTCATAGGTTTAGGTCAAACACAGGAGCGTGGTTCACATTAAAGAAATTTGAAGGTGGCGCCATAGAGCCATGTTTTGATGGATCTCCATTTTGATATTCAAACTGTTTTTGTTCGTGTTAAGGTTCAACTTCAGTGTCACTAATTCCACAGGTTTTGGACGCACACCAGAGCAGGGCTTTCATTTAGAAATGTTGTAGAGAACGCAGTCGTGCCATTTTCAGTTGGATCCAAGATAAGTGTCTGTTAGTCCATTGGTCTGAGTCACTCAAAGAAGCAGGAGTTTCATTTTGAAATTATGAAGGGGGTGCTATGTAGCTATTTCTTGAAGGACCTCAATTTTGACATTGAACCCATTTTTGTTTGTCTTGAGGTCAAACATAAGTGACATCAATTACAATTACTTTTTTTTTAAATTTGAAGGTGGCACTCTGGAGCTATTTGAAGTTGATTCTCCATTTTGATGCTGGAGCCCTTTATGTTCAACTTTCGGTTTGTCATAATTGTACTTTATTTCAAAAGTTTGGTTCGTACACAGAAAAAGGGCTTTTATTTTTCAATTGGGTAGGGGGCAATATGTGACCATTGATGGTTGGTTCTCCATTTTGACATTTTCTTCATCACAGGGTGATGAGACTCATTTGTAATAATGGAAAAACAGCACCATCTAGTGGTGTGCTTCAGTGACTTCCCCACATAAAAATGTAGAAAATATTACAGAGCTGAAGCTTAAATACTTGGATGAAGGTAAAAATAAAAAAAATTGCTAAAATTGTATGTCTTATGTGAATTAAAAGGAAAAATGATCAGTCGAGGTGCTTACAACCTCGCCGTAAAATGTGGAAGTACTCAAAAGAAGTTTGCAGTCAGAATGTAACCATAGTAATTTTTGATTTTGGTATGACAGCACCATCTAGTGGGGTGTACTTTTCACCTTTCTACCATTTATACTTTTTGCAATATTTCACTTTTTCTGTACAATTAGAAGTGATCATGAGAGTGCCAGAATTCCTAAGATGGTCTTATTTTCATAATACCACTTAAAAAAACTGCGCCAGGTAAAGAAGTTCAGACGGTATCCACTTCACCCATGGTGGAGCACTTCTCATGTGTTGTGTGCTTGTCGATTTCCTACACACCCTGTCTGCACGCACTACTCCATCTTGCGGTGTGCTTCAGCTTGGTAAGTTAGTAACTGAAGCACACTATAGGGTAGTGTTGTGCCGCTACCAGTGACTATGGTTACACGCTGCTGACTGCAAACCTCTTTTGAATATTTCAACATTTCATGGGGAGTTTGTAATAAATAAATCTCTAGGCACTTGTCTTTCCAAAGCACCTAGACTGATCTTTATTTATTTTTATTCACAAAAGTCTTACAATTTTTTCTTCACTTGAGCCTTTTTTACATTCATAAAAGTATTAAAATTTGTACCCTTTATACTTTTGAGATTAATACCACTTCTTCATACTTTCATAATTTTACATTCAAATGCCTTTTTTTTGCTTCAGCTCTGTAACAATTTCTATATCTATATGTAGGGCAGTCATTGAAGCACACCACTAGATGATGCTGTCATACTATAATCAAAAATTACTATGGTTACACACTGACTGCAAACATTTTTTGAGTACTTCCATTTTACATGGGGAATACCTTTTTTTGCTACAGCTCTGTAACACTTTCCTAATGTAAATGTAGGGCAGTCACTGAAACACATGTTTAGCACTTTTCATTATTTTCTTTCACATGTCTTTCTCAGCTGCAGCTCTCTCACACTTTGTATATTTATATGTAGGGCAGTCACTGAAGCACACCACTAGATGGTGCTGTCATACCATAATCAAAAATTACTTTGGTTACATGCTGACTGCAAATATCTTTTGAGTACTTCCACATTTGATAGGGAGTTTGTATTACACACATTTTTAGGCACTTGTCTTTCCAAAGCACCTACACTGATCATTATTTCTGTTTATTCACATAAGTCATACAACTTTTTCTTCACTTGAGCATTTTTAACATTCATACAAGTAGTTAACTTTGAGCTTTTAATACTTTGACATTAATACCACTTACTCAGCACTTTAATAATTTTACATTTTTACACCTTTCTTTAATTTCAGATCTGGAACACTTTCTATATTTAAATGTAGGGCAGTCACTGGAGCACAGCACTAGATGGTGCTGTCATACCATAATGAAAAATTACGATGGCAACATGCTGACTGCAAACATCTTTCGAGTATTTCCACATTTCTTGGGGAGTTTGTTATACATAACTTTTTCGGTACTTGTCTTTCCAAAGCACCTAAACTGATTATTACTTATGTTCATTTACATAAGACACACAATTTTAGCATTTTCCACATTCATAAAAGTATATTAAATGTAGCTCTTTAATACTTTGACAACACCACTTATTCAGCGCTTATAATTTTACATTCATACGCCTTTTTTAACTGCAGCTTTTTTCAGTTTTCACACATTGAGCAGGGCAATTGTTATACATTTAATTTTTGGCATTGATTTTTTCAATGCACTTCTACTAATAATCATTTCTGTAAATTAACAATACTCATCTGACTCTTTTTTAACTTAAGGTTACCAAAAATTTCAGCATGTATAACACTGCTCTAATTGCTGCTTTCCTACAATTTCATGCATGTTTAACTGCTGCTATGCCAAAATTTCTACAAACATACAAGTTCTTCTTCTCCACCTCTTCAACAGTTTTTCCATTCATAGTTTTCTTCTTTTGTAGCAGTTCTGCGTGGCTGTCTCAGCACTCAGCACGTCCATGCATCTTTTTGCAATTAAATGCAATTTTTCTTGTTTCAAAATGTTAGCAAAATGTGTGACTTAAACTAAAAGTAGATTGATAGCGCCCTCTACAAATCGTCAAAAGGAATGCTCTGCCCCCTTGTGTGACCCAAACCGATAGAATTAATCACAACTATTTTGAACCCATTCAGGAACAAAAAGGGTCCGTATGTCGAAAAGGAGATCCAACTAAGAATCGCTCCATAGCGCCCTGCTCCTGTGTATGAACCAAACTTATGAAATCAATGACACTTTTGTTGGACCTTAAGCTGAACAAAATGGGCTCCTGTGACAAAATGGACCTCATCAAAAATGGCTCCATAGCAACCCGTGACAAAATGTCAATTCCTCTCTTCGTATTTCAATGCATTTTACGGCAGTCTGTGTAGTCCGCATGTTGCACCACCCATTCTACCTACCCGATCTGTCTTGCGCATGTGCAAATATACGTTACCTTAAAAAAACTTTAAACAAACAGCCAATTGATTTCGGACATCAGCTGACTAGCTAGCAGAAGGCTCCAAGGCCAATATCAGTGCATTCGCTACAGCTCCTGCCCAGGATTGTGAAACCTTTTGAAACAGAGAGCACCACCTGACCAAAATCCTGGATCTCTGACTCATCAAAGTATCGAGAGGGGATGCTCTGGAAGTATGTGGCTGCACATGGTGCACCCTCCCTCAGCCTCAGAGAGCGCCATCACACAGTCAAAATCCTGGATCTCTGACTTTTCAATGTATTGAGGGGGGATGCTCCAGAGATATGTGGCCACTCGAAGGGCAGCCACACACTTCCAGAGGATTTTATGTAGTGTGTGATCTAGGGCTGCACGATATGAGATTTTGGTCATATCCTGATATAGCTCATTTTATATCCCGATACGATATACATCACGATATAGTACATTTTTTGTAAATTCAATTGATGCATAGTTTATATAAAATTGCTGCGTGGAAATGTAGTTTAAATGATATATTAAACAAGGTACGTTGATAAACAGGACTTCTTTTATTTAGAGCCCTCTGAAAAATATTGAAAACACTTTTCAATAATTCAACATTTGTGTAAACAACAATTAGTTACACAAGGTTTAATAATGAAACGAACATCCATACATTACATAGGCTAGCTCATTCACATGACATCAGCATGTAATGTAGAACGGATTTTGAGTAACTAAATATTTGAGTGAGGGAGGAGAGAGCACGTGGAGGGGTTTAACACAGCCGAGACCTGTATTGACCAATAACATAAGCTCCTCTCCTCGCCTTTACATCCACCACCGTCGAGGCGTATTGCAATGTTCGTGAAGTAGTCAAAGAGATCAAGAGATGTCTGAAGACAGCAATGCCACTCGATGGCTAGAGAAGGCAGCTCCTCAATTAAGGTCGCTGCAGAGGGCGTCCTTCACACTCTCAAATAAGATGGATATGGTGTGTGTAAGGTTGTACCCACTGGTAAGACAAACACCCTTTTCCACAAATAAAGAAACTCATGTAAAGTTGCACATATTCAAACCTCACGTGACAAAGGTGGGTTGTGCACACAGATCACAACATAAATACCAATAATGGCATTAAAATCGGAACCATCTGTGCGTAATGACGCATCGTGCTCCGTGGCCTGGCTCTTTCTTTCATAGATGTTGGCATATAAAATAAATTTGGCTCACAAAACTGAATATTATAATATTCGTATGTAGGCTCAAAGTAAACTAGGACCCCGTTGGGGCACTGGCGGGCCCGAGCTGTGTCGCGTCCCCCCCCCAACGCGCTGCCTCCCCGTCCCATTTGTGTCCTCTGGCCATCGCCCTCTCTGGTAACGCCCATCACTGCAAAGACCCTTTTCCTTCATCGGCGTTTGCTGTTCTTCCTGCCAGTGCGTGTTGCTTTCACTTACACTTGCCACAGCCAGCCTCTTGAGTGCCTAGCCTATTGGATATCACTGTCACCTACTCAGGACAGTCATTACCTTTCTATTAATACTTTGTTTTTTAATTTCACATTAATTTCCATATTGTATAAACAACTGGAAAAAACTTGAGCCCCTGCCCCTGTATAATCATGTGCACGTCTCTGTTCTAGCTGTAAGGTGAATCTTCACTGCTCATGTTCTCCTCAGAAGCAGTCACCTCACTCCCCTCAGGTTACTGTACACATGCACCAACTGCCTGCTTCAGGTTTGGATGGAGCTTCATGGTTGTCTTTTGGAGAAATGACCAGTCAAGTTGTGTTTGAAATTTGATTTTTTTCAGGGGCAAAAGGAGCCTCTGCATTCTTGTCAAATATGTAAATAGCATGTTTTTGCAGGTGCTAAAAACCAGACTCTGAGTGTGTGTGTGCGTGTGTGTGTGTGTCTGTGTGTGTGTGTGTGTGTGTGTGCGTTCAAGTCACATGACATATTTAACCGGATGTAGCTGCAAGACGGAGCCTCGTTGACTCCGTTTCAACTTATCTCAAAAGTGAGGACCTCAACCTATATACCAGTTTTTAAATTGTGTTGATAGGCCAAATAAAACCAGAGTTATGATAAATTATGTCCGCGATACTTGTTTTCTGCTTATTTTGATCACGTTCGGCGCTCGATCGCGCTGTATGAGACAGGAAAACATAGCATGCAGACATTAGCGACAGGTCTTACAGGCGGAAAAGGCTTGCCAAAGGAAAAAAAAAACACACCACAACATCTCTCCTATTGGTGGAAAACTTCACCACAACAACCAATCCAAAATTATATGGTGACTGATTGACAAGGGGCGGGCGCTTACGTTCTTCCTGCAATATGAGAAGGGAGGGAGGGACTCTCAGCAGGGATGCAGTCTGGGACACGTAGTTGCAAACCTAGCGACTTTGTTGTTAGATTCAATGACTTTTCAGACCCCCTAACGACTTTTTTTTAGAAAGAAAGTGACTTTTATCGACTTCTTCTGGAGTTTAGAGACTCTGACATGAAGCAGGCTTTCCTTACTGAGGAGTTAGCAACGCCGCTAAGGGTGCAGAGCCACACATGCGCTCCGAGCTCTGCATGGGAGACTGAAGCTGACAGAGCTGCAGCAGTTAGCAGGTTTCACCCTCAGAGACCACCAGGGGTTCATGTTGAGGCATTTTCAGTTTTTTGTTTTTTTTTTGCCATAGACACTGTCAGCACAATCTGCAGTTACACTAACAAAAATGCTGCAAAAAACAAAGAATTATGGAAAAATTACACATGGACTAACATAGAGGAGGATCTACACAAGTTTTTTACATCATGTTTTACATCATGCATCATTTACATCATGTTTTTTTGTAGTGGCATAAATAAAAAGTGACATTTGTGAGACTATACAGTGTTTTGTAAATAATTTTACAAAGAACACCTGGGCCATTGCCTGCATTTTGATATAAATAGAGGTAAATTACTATGTTCTTTGTTAAAAATTTGCATATGTTTTGAAGTTTACAATTTTTATTTGAAGTTAAAGTTTTAAAAACAGTTCATCACACATATTTGTGGTTTTCACAGTAAAAACGTTACTTTTTTCCACTCGGATTTTATGTTTTGTGTGTGAATTTGGGTCCAATGTGTAAATATAGTATGTCAAAATGATAAAATAACTGTAAATTGACACAGGTGAGGTTGTGCTGAAAAAAATGATACCAGGCAAGGCAAGGTAAAAATTTTGTAAGAGGAAATATAAAGGTAAAATCTAAAGTAGTCAAAAACGGCCAATAGTGACTCACAGACTCCACAGTCCCTTTGGCGCCACTCAGTGGGCAAAACTACTTTGTCTACTGTAATGTATATTTGGGTCATCTTTGGCGCCCCCTAAAACGTAAACCGTGGGGTGCAGCGTCATGATTTTTACAACTTTGAATGGCCATGGAGTGTAGATTGGCCTGAGCAAATTTGGTGTCAGTGGGACGAAAGCCTTAGGAGGAGTTAGCGAAATTCCAATGTGTGCGAATCGGCAAAAAATGCAAAATAGCCCTTTTACCGTACATTATACAGATACGCGCTCTTTGACTTTTTCGTAGATCTAATTGAGATACACATGATTGTCAATTTTTGTGTCATTTTGCCAAAGCGTACAGGCGTGACACTCAACAATGTGTATTTTCACCTTAGGGGACAAGAAAAAATGGACTTTTTTCTCCTGCCATGGGGGGGCGCTCGTTTAGGGAGTAAAAATTCCTTCACAAGTGTGTTGATGGCTGGACATTGCATCATCCTAGAGAACTTGGAGGCCAGTGAGGACAAAAATAAAAAGTTATAAGACTTTTAAGACTGTGGATTTTTGGGTTATCTTTGGCGCCCCCTAGAACCTAAACCGTGGGGTGCAGCGTCATGATTTGTACAACTTTGAATGGCCATGGGTTGTAGATTGGCCTGAGCAACTATGGTGTCAGTGGGACGAAAGCCTTCGGAGGAGTTAGCGAAATTCCAATGTGTGCGAATCGGCAAAAAATGCAAAATAGCCCTTTTACCGTACATTATACAGATACGCGCTCTTTGACTTTTTCGTAGATCTAATTGAGATACACATGATTGTCAATATTTGTGTCAATATGACAAAGAGTTCAGGCGTGACACTCAACAATGTGTATTTTCACCTTAGGGGACAAGAAAAAATTGACTTTTTTCTCCTACCATGGGGGGGCGCTCTTTTGGGGAGTAAAAATTCCTTCACAAATGTATTGATGGCTGGACATTGCATCATCCTAGAAAACTTGGAGGCCAGTGAGGACAAAAATAAAAAGTTATAAGACTTTTAAATATTTGGATTTTAGGGTTATCTTTGGCGCCCCCTAAAACCTAAACCGTGGGGTGCAGCGTCATGATTTTTACAACTTTTAATGGCCATGGGGTGTAGATTGGCCTGAGCAAATTTGGTGCCGGTGGAACGAAAGCCTTCGGAGGAGTTAGCGAAATTCCAATGTGTGCGGATCGGCAAAAAATGCAAAATAACCCTTTAACCGTACATTTGACAGATACGCGCGCATTGACTTTTTCGTAGATCTTATTGAGATACACGTGCGTGTCAATTTTTGTGTCAATATGACAAAGCGTTTAGGCGTGACACTCAACAATGTGTATTTTCATGTTAGGGGACAAGAAAAACTTGACTTTTTTCTTCTGCCATGGGGGGGCGCTCTTTTGGGGAGTAAAAATTCCTTCACACATGTGTTGATGGCTGGACATAGCATCATCCTAGAAAACTTGGAGGCCAGTGAGGACAAAAATAAAAAGTTATAAGACTTTTAAGAATGTGGACTTTTGGGTTATCTTTGGCGCCCCCTAGAACATAAACCGTGGGGTGCAGCGTCATGATTTGTACAACTTTTAATGGCCATGGGGTGTAGATTGGCCTGAGCAAATTTGGTGCCGGTGGAACGAAAGCCTTCGGAGGAGTTAGCGAAATTCCAATGTGTGCGGATCGGCAAAAAATGCGAAATAGCCCTTTAACCGTACATTTGACAGATACGCCCGCACTGACTTTTTTGTAGATCTTATTGAGATACACATGTGTGTCAAATTTTGTGTCATTTTGACAAAGCGTACAGGCGTCAGGTGAGTTTTCACCATAGGGGGCGCTATGGAGCCATTTTTCATTTTTTTGTTTGGGCGACTTCAGAATATCAAATTTTTCACCAGGCCCGGTCGTCCTGCCAAATTTCCTGAGTTTTCGCCAGTGGGAAGTGGGCCATTTTCCAGTTTAAAGCGGAGGAAAAATAACGAAAGAAGAATCCATCAGGACCAAGAGGGCTCTCGCAGCTGCTTAGCAGCTACGCTCGGGCCCTAAAAAGTTATAAGACTTTTAAAAATGTGGATTTTTGGGTTATCTTTGGTGCCCCCTAGAATGTAAACCGTGGGGTGCAGCGTCATGATTTGAATAACTTTTAATGGCCATGGGGTGTAGATTGGCCTGAGCAAATGTGGTGCCGGTGGAACGAAAGCCTTCGGAGGAGTTAGCGAAATTCCAATGTGTGCGAATCGGCAAAAAATGCGGAATAACCCTTTAACCGTACATTTGACAGATACGCGCGCACTAACTTTTTTGTAGATCTTATTGAGATACATGTGTGTGTCAATTTTTGTGTCATTTTGACAAAGCGTACAGGCGTGACACTCAACAATGTGTATTTTCACCTTAGGGGACAAGAAAAAATGGACTTTTTTCTCCTGCCATGGGGGGGCGCTCTTTTGGGGAGTAAAAATTCCTTCACAAATGTGTTGATGGCTGGACATTGCATCATCCTAGAAAACTTGGAGGCCAGTGAGGGCAAAAATCAAAAGTTATAAGACTTTTAAAAATGTGGATTTTAGGGTTATCTTTGGCGCCCCCTAGAACGTAAACCGTGGGGTGCAGCGTCATGATTTGAATAACTTTTAATGGCCATGGGGTGTAGATTGGCCTGAGCAAATGTGGTGCCGGTGGAATGAAAGCCTTCGGAGGAGTTAGCGAAATTCCAATGTGTGCGGATCGGCAAAAAATGCGAAATAGCCCTTTAACCGTACATTTGACAGATACGCCCGCACTGACTTTTTTGTAGATCTTATTGAGATACATGTGTGTGTCAATTTTTGTGTCATTTTGACAAAGCGTACAGGCGTGAAAGTCAATAGTGTGAATTTTCACCTTAGGGGGCGCTATGGAGCCATTTTGCATTTTCTTGTTTGGGCGACTTCGGAATATCAAATTTTTCACCAGGCCCGGTCGTCCTGCCAAATTTCATGAGTTTTCGCCAGTGGGAAGTGGGCCATTTTCCAGTTCAAAGGGGAGGAAAAAGAAACTAGGGCCCCGTTGGGGCACTGGCGGGCCCGAGCTGTGTCGCGCCCCCCCCCCAACGCGCTGCCTCCCCGTCCCATTCGCGTCCTCTGGCCATCGTCCTCTCTGGTAACGCCCATCACTGCAAAGACCCTTTTCCTTCATCGGCGTTTGCTGTTCTTCCTGCCAGTGCGTGTTGCTTTCACTTACACTTGCCACAGCCAGCCTCGTGAGTGCCTAGCCTATTGGATATTACTGTCACCTACACAGGACAGTCATTACCTTTCTATTAATACTTTGTTTTTTAATTTCACATTAATTTCCATATTGTATAAACGACTGGAAAAAACTTGAGCCCCTGCCCCTGTATAATCATGTGCACGTCCCTGTTCTCGCTCCAAGGTGAATCTTCACTGCTCATGTTCTCCTCAGAAGCAGTCACCTCACTCCCCTCAGGTTACTGTACACATGCACCAACTGCCTGCTTCAGGTTTGGATGGAGCTTCATGGTTGTCATTTGGAGAAATGAACAGTCAAGTTGTGTTTGAAATTTGATTTTTTTCGGGGCAAAAGGAAGCCTCTGCATTCTTGTCAAATATGTAAACAGCATGTTTTTGCAGGTGCTAAAAAACAGACTCTGAGTGTGTGTGTGTGTGTGTGTGTGTGTGTGTGTGTGTGTGTGTGTGTATGTGTGTGTATCTTGCAGTACTCTGTACTCCTGCAGTGACCAAAAAGACTTTTAAGAATGTGGATTTTTGGGTCATCTTTGGCGCCCCCTAGAACGTAAACCGTGGGGTGCAGCGTCATGATTTTGACAACTTTGAATGGCCATGGGGTGTAGATTGCCCTGAGCAAATTTGGTATCAGTGGGACGAAAGCCTTAGGAGGAGATAGCCACATTCCAATGTGTGCGAATCGGCAAAAAATGCAAAATAGCCCTTTAACCGTACATTTGACAGATACGTGCCTATTGACTTTTTTGTAGATCTTATTGAGATACACGTGATTGTCAAATTGTGTGTCAATATGACAAAGTGTATAGGCGTGACACTCAACAATGTGTATTTTTACCTTAGGAGACAAGAAAAAATGGACTTTTTTCTCCTGCCATGGGGGGGCGCTCTTTTGGGGAGTAAAAATTCCTTCACAAATGTGTTTATGGCTGGACATTGCATCATCCTAGAAACCTTGGAGGCCAGTGAGGACAAAAATAAAAAGTTATAAGACTTTTAAGAATGTGGATTTTTGGGTTATCTTTGGCGCCGCCTAGAACCTAAACCGTGGGGTGCAGCGTCATGATTTGTACAACTTTTAATGGCCATGGGGTGTAGATTGGCCTGAGCAAATTTGGTGCCGGTGGAACGAAAGCCTTTGGAGGAGTTAGCGAAATTCCAATGTGTGCGGATCGGCAAAAAAAGCGAAATAGCCCTTTAACCGTACATTTGACAGATACGCCCACACTGACTTTTTCGTAGATCTTATTGAGATACACATGTGTGTCAAATTTTGTGTCATTTTGACAAAGCGTACAGGCATCAGGTGAGTTTTCACCATAGGGGGCGCTATGGAGCCATTTTTCCTTTTTTTGTTTGGACAACTTCAGAATATCAAATTTTTCACCAGGCCCGGTCATCCTGCCAAATTTCCTGAGTTTTCGCCAGTGGGAAGTGGGCCATTTTCCAGTTTAAAGCGGAGGAAAAATAACGAAAGAAGAATCCATCAGGAACAAGAGGGCTCTCGCAGCTGCTTAGCAGCTACCCTCGGGCCCTAAAAAGAAACAAAGAAAAACCACTTGGGGAATAATAGGGCTCTCGCAGCTGCTTAGCAGCTACGCTCGGGCCCTAATAACTCATCTGATCACTGAAACAAATCATCTGTTCAGCCGCCACAACAGCAGCAGGTGCAGCAGGACGGAGAGAGGACACAAAGACACGTCAGGTGTTGTGCCATAGAATGCAACCCTGCCGTCAAAGCCCCCCCTGACAGGAGCGCGATTGAAAGTACACAACAAGGCGGAATAATCCAAGTTTTTCTTACCATTGGACTGATTCTAGAGCGTGTGCCTTTAATGATTTCATTCTGGCTATTCAGATATGCCAAAAACAATCGCCCTCTGATTCGAAATATTTGCTGCCCCGCAAATATGTTCTCTACCTACACAGCATAGTTTAAATACCCAAGTACACCTCTGTATGTGCATTTTTTAAATACCTACAAACAGAACGAAAGTTTGCTGCTCCATTTGACATGTTGTCATGATCCAATACTCGTGTTTTTTTTAAATATGAGATAATTTTTTCCACTTTAAGAAGCTAATGAGTCGATGGGATTCAGGGGTGCATGCTACGGCATAACACCTGTCAAGCTGCGCAAGGAAGAAGGAGGATAAGCGGGGAGAAGAATTAAGTATCTTGTTAACTTCATCATGTGTGACTGTTTACTGGATATTTAATTTAATGCGGTTTCAGCTGTGTTAATTCGGTCAGGTGGAGTGTCCAAACCCGTGCCAAACACGCTTATCAGATCAGATATACATCATAATATATCGATATATATCTACATGTACTGACTCAGAATAAAACTACAGCGGTCTGCTCCGTGTCGCTTCTTTTAAAACCAAACCAAGACCACACAACCGACGTTGCCCCCGTTTCGGCAGCAGCTCCTCCATCTGCGTTGGCTCGTCTGCATTAGATGCATGAGAATTGTCGTCTCTTGCGCCACAATCACCCGGCCCCTCCATGCTTGTGTTTTTCACATTGGCAGTAGCGCGTGTGGGCATGCCATATATGGAGCGTCACAACGTAAAACACTGCCGTAAAGCGTGTTTTTGCGACACTGCGATAGAAATGATAGAGCTCATGTATCCCGATAGAAATTTTCTATCGTTTAGAGGAAACATACTGTTATATCGTGAAGCCTTAGTGTGATCTTTCTATCTATCTATCTATACCTGTAATGTGTTATGATCAGCTTAAAATTGCAATGTGCTGAGGACATGACACAGGATTGATTGCAAAAAATATTTACAAAACATAAAAAGAAATAAACAACGGACTCTGAAATAAACAACAGACTGCTGGGCAACAAAAAAAAATAGTAACATTCATTCAAGCCTTTCACGTTACAATTTTAAAATTAAGTTAGTGGTGGAAACTTTGTAGAAACTGTGAGCCATTCTGCTTCAGTTGGGGGAAGCACTCCAATCAGGAGAAAGGCCTGTAGCTGTTGATAAATTGACGCCTCCATTCTGAAGCGGGCTCGCTGATGCTGCCAAAATAGTGTCAAAGCTGTCGCAAACTGCTAGGAGCAAATAATTGCTGAGCTGTCGCAAAGATGGCTAGCAGAGGAAGTGACGTCTGTTTTGCACATGCGCAAGATGGCAGCATGTGTGGTGTCTCTGTTCAGTCTCTGCTCAGTGTTTGTCTGTTTTTAATGTTTCCTTTTGGATTTTATAATACTTAGATAGTATTTTTCCATTGTGGACTATTCAGTGTTCTAGTTTACTTAAAGATTGCATCAAGGTTGTGGATTTTGGCATTTTCCTTTGGGAAACAACTCTGCTCTACTTTGTTTGGCTACTCCATAGGCCACCTGTTAGCCTTTAAAACCTACTCAAGACTATGGGAGCTGCTAAAGTGTGGCTAGATTGCAGCCAAGATCTGCAGCAGTACCCACAACAAGAAAAGCTCAGTAGCCTGAGGCCTACCTCATCCACCCTGCTCTGCAGCCTGAGGCCGACCTCATCCAACCAGCCCTGCAGCCTGAAGCCTACCTCATCCACCCTGCTCTGCAGCCTTAGGCCAACCTCATCCATCTAGCCCTGCAGCCTGAGGCCTACCTCATCCACCCTGCTCTGCAGCCTGAGGCCTACCTCATCCACCCTGCTCTGCAGCCTGAGGCCTACCTCATCCACCCAGCCCTGCAGCCTGAGGCCTACTACCCAGCTCTGCAGCTGAGGCCTATTTCACCCATCCTGCCTTGCAGCTGAGTTAACGTCAAGCTGGGTGAATCCAAGATGGCGCCGCCCATGGCTGCTATGGTATCGACGTGTGTTGTGTTCTGTCTGTGTATTGTTTACGTGTCTTCTTACACTAAAGAAGAGCTACTGCACATTGGGTGTTCTACCCCACCGGACATCTTACCAACATTACTCACCCGTTCCACGGATATATTGGATATTCTGGTGAGAGGGACAGCGGTCTTTGCCAGTGCGTTGGACCAGAAGACAACGGGGGAAGAGAGGAGGATCGCGTCCATCACTCCCGGGTATATTCCTGTGTAACGTGAATTCCCTGCCTAATAAAATGAAGGAACTCCGGCTACTAGTCTCGAGGGATAATGACTTCAAATCCACCGCTGTTTTCGCGTTCGTGGAGACACATCTGAAGCCGACAGACCCGGACGGGGCAGTTGGAAGGCTTCTCTGCGTGACGTGCTGACAGAGACTTCGAGGCGGTAGGAAAGTTCTTTGTGAACGATCGCTGGTGTTCTGACGTGACAGTGTTGCAACAACACTGTTCTATTAACATTGAATCGCTCTTCATTCTCTGTCGCCCATTCTATTCCCCCCGTGAGTTCCATGCGTTCATCCTCGTGTGTGTTTACATTCCTCCGGATGCTGACGTCACTGCAGCAGTGGACACACTGGCCGAACAGCTGTCGGGGGCGGAACATAAACACCCGGACAGTTTTCCTGTGGTGCTTGGGGACTTCAACCAGGCGCACCTTAGCCGGGCTCTCCACAAATACAGACAGCAAGTCACATGTGCTACTAGGGGTGGGAACACTCTTGACCACTGCTATTACACTACTCGGCAAGCATATCATTCTTTCCCCCGTGCTGCGCTGGGCAAAGGAGATCACCATCTCATCCATCTGATCCCTTGCTACAGGCAGAGATTAAAATTATCAAAACCTGTAGTGCGGAGCTTCAGAGTGTGGTCCAGTGAGGCAAAGGAGAGACTTTGTGCCTGGCTGGAGAATGCAGGCTGTGACTAGGACTTCGTTGAGTGGGCGGGGCCTGAGGCTGGAAACAGCCTGGATGAACACACGGACACTGTGACATCATTCATTAGCCTCAGTTAAGAGGGTGTGTGCTCCTCTGCGCTCCAGGAAGATCTTCAACAACGACAAGCCCTGGTTTTCAGCCCATCTTAGGAGGCTCAGGTCCGAGAAGGAGGTGGCAAGGCGCAGTGGAGACGTGGCTCTGTTCAGGAAAGCCAAGTACAGGTTTGCCAAAACGGTGAGGGAGGCGAGACATCGCTTCTCAGAGAAACTAAAGCAGCAGCTCTCTGAGGGGAACTCCTCCTCAGTCTGGAAGGGCCTTAGGTCCATCACCAACTACAAGCCGAAGTCGCCACAAGCGTCTGACAACCTCCCCCTTGCGAACGAGCTCAATGAGTTCTACTGCAGATTTGAGAGAGAGGTCCCCCTCGCCCCCTCCCTCCAACCCCCCGGCCACAATCACTATGCCCGTATCTAAGTGGGCCCCCCTCCTCGCCCCCTCCACCCCCTCTTTCTGTCACAGTGAGAGAGGTGAATCTGCTGCTCAGGAGCCAGAACCCCCGGAAGGCGCCCGGACCGGATTCTGTCTCCCCCTCTGTCCTGAAGCACTGTGCTGACCAGCTCGCCCCGGTGTTCACCAACATCTTCGACACCTCTCTGGAGCTGTGTCATGTCCCAGCATGTTTTAAGGCCTCAACTATCATCCCCATCCCCAAGAAGGCCAAGGTCACAGGCCTCAATGACTATAGACCTGTCGCCCTGACCTCTGTGGTCATGAAGGTCATGGAGCGCCTTGTCCTGGCTCACCTGAAGCGCATCACTAATCCTGTGCTTGACCCGTTGCAGTTTGCGTACAGAGCCAATAGATCCACAGAGGACACCGTGAACATGGCTCTGCACTTCATCTTAAACCATCTGGACACTGCCGGCAACTATGCCAGGATCCTGTTCGTCGACTTCAGTTCAGCCTTCAACACCATCCTACCATCCATCCTGGAGCACCAGCTGTCCCTGCTGCAAGTGCCTGCCTCCACCTGCAAGTGGATTACAGACTTTCTGACCAACAGGTCTCAGCGGGTGAAGCTGGGGAAAAGCATTTCCAGCTCCAGGTCCACCAGCACCGGTTCCCCGCAGGGCTGTGTCCTGTCCCCGCTACTGTTCTCCCTGTACACCAACACCTGTGTCTCTCTCCACCCGTCGGTCAAGCTCCTCAAGTTTGCCGATGACACTACCTTGGTGGGCCTCATCTCCAAGGGGGACGAGTCGGCCTACAGGAGGGAGATCGAGCGGCTGCGCAGTTGGTGCAGTAGCAACAACCTGGACCTTAATCCCCAAAAGACAGTGGAGATGGTGGTGAATTTCCACAAGAACACAGCCCCTCCCCCTCCCATCACGCTGGGAGGCACCCTGGTAAACTCTGTGTAGTCCTTTAAGCTCCTGGGCGTCACCATCTCCCGGGACCTGAAGTGGGAAATTAACATCATGTCCCTTTTGAAAAAGGCCCAGCAGAGACTGTTTTTCCTAAGGCAGCTGAGGAAGTACAGACTATCAAGGACCATGATGACTCAGTTTTACACGGCCATCATTGAGTCCATCCTCACCCACTCCATCATCACCTGGTTCCCTGCTGCAGCTGCAAGAGACCTTATCAAGCTGCAGAGGGTGATTCGTTCAGCGGAGAGGGTGATTGGCCGCCCGCTGCCCTCCCTCAAGTCCCTGCACAACTCCAGGGCGCTGAGGAGGGCAAGAAAAATCATGGCCAACCCCTCCCACCCTGGCCACAGTCTCCTCTCCCTGCTTCCCTCTGGGAGAAGGATGCAGCTGCAGAAGGCCACCACAGCACGCCATAGACTCAGTTTTTTCCCCTCTGCTGCCAGGCTGCTCAATGAGTCTGGCTTCCCTCCTCACCCCGCCCACTAGGGACTTTGACACTGAACTACATCTGCACTATTGATCCTACTGCACTTTATATTTATCTATTTTTCGTGTTGTTTGTGTTTTATGTTATCTGTGAAAAAACATCCGAACACTCTCATGCTATTGCCAAAGCAAATTCCTATGTGTTTTACACAATGGCTAATAAAGGAATCTGAATCTGAATCTGAATCATGGCGAGTATAATTCTCGCCCTCCTGCCTGTGCTTTCTTTGTATGTCATCACGGTCAAAGGTTACTAGCTGGGCGCAGGACTTTGATATCAATCAAGGGTGCTCGATGCTTGAAATGAGCCAGGTTTCAAAGCATATAAACTTTAATTATCTTTTAAGCCTTCTTCTCCTAAAGGACTGCTTTATCCCATCAAATGACTCTCAGCCTGTTACGATGAATGATGTCTGTAAGAAAATCAAGAAGCATTTTCATGAAACACATATGTTGAAATGTATGATCATGCTTGTTGATATCGAGGAATGTTCAGCCTAACCCAGGCCCTGTGTCTGATGTGTTATCACTACAAACCCCTGCTGAATTTTTGAATAGGTCTGGTATTGGTTTTGTATATGAATGTGAGAAGTCTTTTGCCCAAAATTGATATGGCTAGAATTTGGGCCAAATCAACAAGTGCTGACATTATGTTTTTATCTGAGACATGGCTGAGTAGATCTACGCCTGATAGTCATATTTATTTGGATGCTGATCGCTGTGCCAAAGGTGGAGGTGTAGCAATTTATGTTAAAAATACATTTCAGGCAACAGTACAATTATCCAAGTCTGTGCCTAAACAATTTGAATTGCTTGTCTTGAAAGTTGAATTTACGAAGAGCTGTGTTATGACAGTAGGGGGATGTTATAGACCTCCTTCTGCCTTAAAGGATACACTACTCTCATTGTCTGACTGCTTATCAACTATTAACTACAATGATCTGCTTTTAATGGGGGATTTAAATTGGGATTGGTTAACCCCTGCTTCTGATTCTTTTAAATGTTTCTGTGACTCAGCCCTTTTGGCTCAAATTATTGACTCACCAACTAGGCCAAACCCTAAACGCCCTGAGAAGTCGACACTCCTTGACTTGATTTTAACCAATTTTCCCCAAAAATACCAGGCTACCGCTGTGTTTGCAAATGATGTTAGTGATCACTGCATTATTGCTTGTGTGAGAGACACAAAGTTATCAAAGTGTATCATAATTAGGCGTAATTTTAAGTCATTTTCCGAACAAGCCTTTTTAAATGACATATATCTATGTGATTGGACCAGGGTAAATTTGATTCCAGATGCTGAGACAGCTTTACAGTATTTTAATTCCTTATTTTTGGACATTATAGACAAACATGCTCCTCTCAGAAAATACAAGATTAAAGGTCGTGATAATCCATGGTTTTCAGAGCAACTGTCTGATCTAATTCATAAACAAGATCTTGCCAGGGCAACTGCAAGAATATCCAAAAAAGCTCAGACTGGCAACTTTTTAGCCACCTGAGGAACAAGTGTGTCTCTCAGATACGTAAAGCCTAGGCCTGTCACGATAACAAATTTTGCTGGACGATAATTGTGCTACAAATTATTGCCGATAAACGATATTATTGACACCGTTTTTTAAATTATAGAAAATGATAATATATGGCATAATAATGCGAGTACACCATGCCAAAAGTGATAAACTTCAATTTCCGCTGTCTGTCAGCGCGCACCATTTTGCACTGTTTTGTTTATATTTGCTTTGCTTGCCAAACGCTTCAGTAAACGGTACCTGTCGGGACGATGGCTCTGCAGCACCTCCGGCGGTACTTTTTTTGCTCAGTTGGGAAAAATGGAGGGGATGATTGTGCTTGAGGTGCGCATGCATGTTCGTCGTATTCCCCTTCTTTGTCACCACAATTTTGGGACAAATACAACATATCGGCTCGTCCGTATTTGTGGGCTCACCTTTCATTTGGTTCAAAGCCGAAATATTCCCACACTTGGGCTGTTGCGTTCGGTTTAGACACCAAAGCTGTCGTGTTCATTCTGTTTGCTTGCTTTTCACTCACGACGCTCACTTGCAGCACTGTATCCAAAAGTCTGTGTCTGTGTGCCTGTGCCCCATTACGTGTACCTGTGCGCGCGCCCCCCCCCCGTGACAAAGATACTGAATGACTGACAGGAGGGTTCACTAACTCCGTTCATTCTGCTATAGAGCCAACGCCCCCAGGTGCCGAGAACAATGCTCAGAGTGAGACCTCTTCTCTCATCCAGCGTGTTTGGTAGCGAGAGAGGAGGAAAACAAACGCACGTTAATTATCGAGGCTGGCAAAATGACCGACCTCGTTTTTATTTACCGAGCGATACGGCGATTTATTGATTATCGCGACAGGCCTAGTTAAGCCAAAGCCGATTTTTATCTTAATAAAATTTGTGACAGTGCAAACAACCCTTCTAAATTCTGGAAACTGATTAAATCACTGTCTTCAGGGTCAAAGGATACTGTGCTGCCAAATACATTAAAGTTGAATGATGAGACCATTACAGACAAGAAAAGTATGCTAGATTCTTTGAACCAGCACTTTATATCTTCTGGGTTGTTGTTTGAGCAGGACATACCACAAGTGGTGAGTCAACAGGATCACTCATTGTCCAGGGAAAATCTACCTTTTGATTTTGATCTTGCACCTTTGTCTAGAGATGAGATATATGACTCTCTCTCAAGGTTAAATGCCAAGAAATCCCCCGGTCCTGATGGGTTGGGTCCTTTCTTTTTAAAACTTGCTACTGAGCATATTGAAGTCCCCTTGACTTATGTTTTCAATTGGACTATAGAAACTGGGATAATACCTAGCATTTGGAAGTCAGCATATGTCACTCCTTTACTGAAGGGTGTTGACCGGTCTAATCCCAATAATTATAGGCCGATATCCAAATTACCTATTTTGGCCAAGGTCTTGGAAGGACTTATAAGTGATCAGCTGAAAAATTTCTTGACATCAAATAGCATTTTAAATGAATTACAGTCTGGTTTCCCTAAAAAACACAGCACAGTCACTGCCTGATGAAAGTGTTAAATGATTTCATTTGTTCTATTGACTCTAAAGAACATTGTGTTGCTTTGTTCCTAGATCTGTCAAAGGCTTTTGACACGGTCGACCACTCTGTCTTGTCCCAGAGATTGGAGGATATTGGAATGTCTACTAATACGGTGAAATGGTTTGGTAACTACTTGAGTGGCAGAACACAAAGGGTTCAGGTTGATGGTCTGTGTTCCAACTGCTTGTCTATTCGAAACGGTGTCCCTCAGGGGTCCATACTGGGTCCTATTTTATTTACTATTTATATTAATGCATTATGTCAAAATGTAACTGATGCCAATTTCCACTTCTATGCAGATGACACTGTTTTGTATTGTTCAGCTCCATCATTAGCTCAACTCAACTCAACTCAAATCAAACTTTATTTATAGAGCACTTTAAAAACAACCGAAGCTGACCAAAGTGCTTTACAGGTCAATAAGACACAGCGAAATACATAAAACAAACAGTAAACAATATAATCAAAAACACAGAATACAAGATTAAAATACAGCAAAGTAAAATTGAGGTACAAATACACCATAAATAAAAACAAATATAAAATACATAGGTAGATAAAAAACAAATATAAAATACCAATAAAAAAAAAAATCTCTATCAATTAAGACTTGTACTCAATACTGACAAGACTAAAATGATGTGCTTTTCAAAATCACTGAAATCAGATGACGTCTGTCAGATTGTTACTCTAAATGAGAAATTAGTTGAATGAGTTTCTGTCTACAAATACCTGGGATTTCACTTGGAAGAAAATTTGTCCTTTAGGCACCATATTGAGTGTCTTACAAAGAAACTCTGGGTGAAACTGGGTTTCTTCTATAGAAACAAGGGTTGTTTCTCCTTTGGTGCAAGAAAAAGGCTTATACAGGCAACGTTTTTATCCATACTTGATTATGGGGACTTTTATACATGCATACAAATCTCTCTTTTTTTAAAATACTGGACTCAGTGTATCATGCAGCATGAAGATTTGTAACTGGCTTAGATTTTCATACTCATCACTGCAGCTTATATGAGAGTGTTGGTTGGTCCTCTCTGCAAAATCGTAGATTGGAACATTGGTATATCTTTCTTTACAAGGCCATTCTAGGTGACTTGCCCTCTTACCTATGTTCCCTCTTAACTCCTAAAATCACCAACAGGAGTAATCTCCGGTCTGATGGATAGATCATGTACGCTATTCCTCAGACAAGGACGGTTTTTGGTGAAAGCGCTTTCAAGGCTTTTGCACCCTCCTCCTGGTGTAATTTACAGGGTTATTTTAAATTGGATTATCTGCCAAGTATGGAACATTTTAAAACTAGAATTAAGGAGTTTTTGAGTACTGAATGCACGTCCTCTTAAAGAGTTTTTGAGTACTGAATGCACGTCCTCTTACTAAAACGCTGATTTATTGTTGTGTTTGCATACTGTAACTGTTTTGTTTTTCTGCGTGTTTTTTTTTTTTTTTTTTTTTTAATGTGGAACTTCTTGTGCTGCTATCCTGGCCAGGACTCCCTTGTAAAAGAGATTCTGAATCTCAATGGGTTTATTTCCTGGTTAAATAAAGGTTACTAAGTACAAAACGTGTTTCCGGGACAAATCGGGTGGCCACAACCCTTACAAAATTTTAAAATCTTAGGCCCTCCTCTGTGTAACACAACACCTATGTAATAAATGACACTGAAGGAGTGCATTACTATAAAGTTTGAAAGGTTGAAATAGCACAAAGTGGGAAGATGAAAAAAAGTAGCAAAATTGGCAGAAGAATAAAAACGACCGACAGGAATATATACGACAACTACAAAAATTGCATTTCCTTGCAGAAAATGCATGGAAATGCTGAATGCTGAAACAGCCATGCAGAACTGCTACAAAAGAAGAAAAGCAAAAATGTTTGAACTGTTGAAGAGGTGGAGAACAAGAAGAAATTATGTAGAAATTTTAGAATAGCTGCAGTTAAACATGCATTAAGTTGTAGAAAAGAAGCAGTTGGAGAAGTGTCATATATGCAGACATTTTTGATAACCTTAAGTAAAAAAAAATTGTATGAGTGTTGTAAATAAACAGAGATGAGGATTAGTGCTTTAGTAAAACTAATGCCTATGCAAAACAATGGCCCCGCTCCATGTGTGAATACTCAAAAGATGTTTGCAGTCAGCAGCATGTAACTATACTAATTTTTAATTATGGTATGATAGCACCATCTTGTGGTTGGCCTCAGTGACTGCCCTACATTGAAATGTAGAAAACCGTTAGTGAGGCCTCATTTATCAACCATGTGTACACACAGATGTGTGCGTACTGAATGCATATGAACAATCCCACGCACAGATGTGTGGAATTTATCAACATGTAATTGTGCTAAGGAACATGCGTAAACTCTGACCATGTGTACACATAAAATTTAGTGGTAGAACAGTGAAACTACAAATAGAACCCATTCAAGGAGAAACAGCATTCAGCTATCTCAAAATACACACGTGTTCTCTGTTGCCTCTGTACAAAATTTATCAAATAGTTATTTAGCAGACATTTTGAATGATTGTTGTGACAAGCTATGAAAATCAGCTGTGACAGGACAACCTCAAATTAAGTCTTACAAGTACAAATACAAGTATCACGGCTTATTTTGCACTATTAGAGGACTTGGAGAACGTATGCTCCGCAGGAAGCGCGTTTTTAAAGACCGTGCTGATCCGTTCAGTGAGAAAACAGAGCTGACTCTCAGCAGGTACCGCTTCCCCAAAAACATTTTAATGGATTTACTACCCATGTGGGATAATTTAATGGGATTTACTACCCGTGTTGGAGTGAGAGACAAAACGCTCCAAAGCCATCCCAGTGCACATCCAGTTAATGTCCACCCTGGGATTTTTGGCCACCGGAACAATTCAGCATAAGATTGAAGAAATAAACGACATTTTGCAGCCAACGCTAAGCAGAATCATGCCGGCAGAGTTGGATGCAATAATTTCTCTGGCCTCAACTTATGTCCAGTTCCCATACACACATCACCAACAAGCCGAAATAAAACAAGGATTTCACGCCATTGCTGGATTCCCAAACATAATTGGAGCCATAGATTGCACCCACGTCGCAATAAAAGCATCTTCACAATATAAATTCAGTTATGCTAATAGATAAGGATTTCGTTCAATCAATGCACAAATAATCTGCGATGCACATATGTATCTGTTAAACATTGTTGCCTGGTGGCCTGGAGGAACGCACGACTCATTCATTCTGCAGAACAGCTCTGTGAGTGTGCACCTCCATGATTTTGTCAAGGGGGAAAAAATCCATTCACGCATTTTTAAAGGGATTGTTGATACCATATATGGTCAACTGGAGGCATTTCTGAATGCAAAAGACCCTAACCATGCACAAGCACCATAGTAAAGAACAGGTGGGATTTATCATCACCGATTACTTACATGTATGCGTACGACCGGTGTCCGAATGTTTGATAAATACAGATTTTTTTGTACTTATGCACATTCTAAATTTCATTCCCACATCAGAATTTAGGACCTTTTCTATGCACGGTTGATAAATAAGGCAACATGGCGCAGACGCGGTGTAAGTCAGGTCCGCCGCGCCGACAAGGCGTTCCCAAGCACAATCTGGTATTTTGGTGAGTGTAGCAGCACGGCGCAAGTGTCCCCCTCCCTAACTTAGCTCCTCCCAGCGGAGTAAGAGGTAGGTAGGGAGGGGAGAGGGCGTGGAGTGGGTTTAACACAGCCGAGACCTGTTTTGACCAATAACATAAGCTCCTATCCTCGCCTTTAAATCCGCCACGGGCGAGGCGTATTACAATTTTCGTGAAGTAGTCAAAGACAAAAAGAGATGTGTGAAGACAGCAATGCCACACGATGGCAACAGAAGGCAGCCCCTCAATAAGTGTCGCTGTAAGAGCTGCAGAGGGTGTCCTGCACACTGTCTCATATAAGCAAGGATGGATTTGGTGTGTGTAAGGTTGTACCCACTGGTAAGGCAAACACCCTTTTCCACAAATAAAGACGCTCACATAAAGTTGCATATATTTAAACCTTACGTGACAAAGGTGGGTTGTACGCACAGATCACAACATAAATTCCAATAATGGCATTAAAATCGGAACCATCTGTGCGTAAATGACGCATTGCGCTCCGTGGTCTGTCTCTTTTTTTCATTGATGTTGGCATATAAAATAAATTGGGCTCACAAAACTGACTATTATAATATTAATATGTAGGCTTAAAGTAAATAACTCATCTGATCACTGAAACAAATCATCTGTTCAGCAGCTGCAGCAGGACGGGGAGAGGACATGGAGACATGTCCAGGTCGAACTGCGCGAGAAATAAGAGGACGAGGAAGAAAGAAAAGGAGGGAGACGAATTATATATCTTGTTAACTTCATCATGTGTGTTTACTAGATATTTATTTCAATTTAATTAAATGCTGTTTCAATTGTGTTAATCTGGTTAGGTTGAGTGTCTAAAAGCGTGCCAAAGGCGCTCTTCAGATCAGATAAAGATCAGAATATATAGATCTAAATGTATGTGCTGACTCAGATTTTTTGTTGTTGTTGTTTATCTATTGCACTGAAATGTGCCTGACACTGTGGAAACCTGCCGGTGAGGCATTGGTGACGTATGCCGATACGCTGCCAGTCTACCAAAATACCACTGGACTAGCTGCGCTCCGCCTGCGCTGAAAGCTGACCAGGTTTGATACAGCGAGATTTCAGCGCACTTTACACGCCGGAGGCGAGCACGAAAATGTCACTGCGCCAGCTGATTCTGTCGACACCTCCCCCTGCCACGCCACCACGCCCAGCTTGGCGGACCTTGGTGCGCCTCAGTCCACGAAAATACCAAACTGGCTGTACACCAGGCTCCGCCAGACGAAAATACCACTGCGCGGGGTCCGCCACCCTCCGCCATATTGCCAGCAGACACGAAAATAGAGCCCCTGAAGTTCAAATACTTGTATGAATGTTTAAATGCCAAATTTGTATGTCTTATGTGAATAAACAGAAATAATGTGCCTAGAAATTTATGTATTAAAAACTCCCCATGAAATGTGGAAATATTCAAAAGAGGTTTGCAGTCAGCAGCATGTAACCATAGTTACTGGTAGATGCATAACACTACCCTATAGTGTGCTTCAGGTACTGTCTCATCAAACTGAAGCACACCATTAGATGGCCTCTTGCATGTGGACAGCGTGTTAATAATTCACAAGCACACAACACATAAGAAGTGCTCTAATCATGGATGAAGTGGATACCATCTGAACTTAAGTGGTATCATGAAAATAAGACCATCTTAAGACCATCTTCTTGCACTCTCATGATTATTTCTTATGGTACAGAAAAAGTGAAATATTGCAAAAAGTATAAATGGTATGAAGGTGAAAAGTAATAGTTATCGTGTCCTTAAGGAGTGCATTAATATCAAGTTTTAAATATTGACAAAGTGGGAAGAAGTTGAAAAGTGGCAAAAATTAGCGGAAGAATAAAAATGGTCGACAGGAATATCAACTAAAAATAGAAAAATTGCATTTCCTTGCAGAAAATGCATGGAAATGCTGAATGCTGAAACAGCCACGCAGAACTTCTACAAAAGAAGAAAAGTAAAAATATTAAAACTGTTAGAGGTGGAGAACAAGAAGAACTTGTGTAGAAATTAAGGCTGCACGATATTAGAAAAAATTAACATTGCAATTTTTTTCAACCCTGCGATATATATTGCGATATTAAAAAATACAGGAATTTTTACCAGATGACCTGAATAGCACTTAATGTTATGCTGCACTGCTGAAATCTTGAGGACAGTTAACCTGCTCTGATCTTACCTCTTTTTGTGAATGTTAGAATGGCTTATGTCTGTCTCAGAGATATTTTTAGCTTTTATTGTTCTGGGACGTTATTGTGGCAACAGATGAACACAGAACGTGTTTTGGTCGACATTATCCATCTTGTAACTGAAATAATTCAAGAAAACTGACTTTCCTTTTCTTTTTGGCAACAAATCTTCATCTTCTGTGGTTTTCTCTGTTTTTGTTGCTCAGTTTGCGATCGTTGTTTTTGTTGTCAACGGGGTTGTGCCGAGAAACCCATGTCCTCCGAGAATTGCATGCACCTCACAAAACGCGCACTGCTTATAGTAGAGTGGTCCACGGAAATGTACAATTTAAAACCCATACTTATTTGTTGGGCTAAACAGTGATGAAGAATGTTCCGAAAGTAATTCTCAGCGGACAGGCGTCTCACTCCATGTGCAGAACATGTGCAGGGGTGGGTTTCCTCCTCTCTGATTTTGATTGACAGCTGGCAGGGTAGTCTGATTGGCAACTGAGAACTGAGTCTGATTGGCAACTGAGTAAAGAAAGAAGGTGAATGGTGGATCGCTGCACAGCACATGCAGAGTCACATGCAGTGTGTCTCAGTCGGCTACCCTTGAAATTAACTGAGTTCATTCACCTCCGACATCGCAGGCTCTGCAATGTGACTATCGCACACATGTACATCGCGATGACGATGCTGAAACGATATATCGTGCAGGCCTAGTAGAAATGTTATTATTGGTTGCACCACATGATTGGTGGTCGCGCCAAATGACTTGAAGACCTTGTATCATTAAAAATCAATTCAAAGAGACCTATGAACAATTAATTTCATGCAAATTTTATATTCAAACCAAATTTTATTAACATTTCGAACATGAACACAAACATTTTATTTCCCTTTTTGACATAAAATTAACTCTGTGTGTGTTTGTGTCTGTGGTCCAGAGGCCTGCACTACGAAGCTGGATTAACACAACCAGGATAACTCTGCGACAACTCGATCAATTTCACCAGATCTCCGTAATCCCGATCTGCTGTACTACGAGGCAGGATATCAACTAGCTAACTAAATTCAGTTATGGTCAGTCTAGATCTGTGCGCGCACACGTAAAGGGGGCGGGGTCAGTGCCACCGGACCACTCTCAACAATGGAGAAGGCTGCACGTCATATTTCACAGCCGAGGAACAGAGCATTATTTTACACAAATACGAGGAGTACTGCAACACTATAACAGTGAGGAGCAGGACAGCCGCAGCTGCTAAAAGCCGCAGGGACTGCTGGCAAAAAAATCATCGATTGTGTCAATTACATTTGTATGTTCATAAATTTATGGCCCCCTTATATGTTGTCATGCAGCGTGTGTGATAACCTCCTGTTGACCTCATTATTTCAGATACAACAGTAGTGGGGAAAAGAGTACGTGGGAGCAAATAAAAATAAATCTAAAAACATCCGTCAAAGTGGTTAGCTGGTTTACTGGAAGATGTAATTTGTACACATTTCAACACGTAAACAGTGATTTCCTCACACTGCCTTTTTTTCTTTTTTCTCCATCATCGAATGGTCACATGTCATCTGTAGACACATTTGGGGTTAAGAGGAGTTTTCTAATCTGCTTCAATAAATTCTGAATGATCAGAATCAGAATGCCTTTTATTGTCATTATAAGCAGTACAATGAAATTAAAGCCACCCATATCAGTGCAAGACATTGGAAAAAAGATAGATAAAAATATAGAAAATATGAAACGAGATTAATATGAAGTATGACTGATATGCTGCATGAAATTGGAACTTGGAGCTTGGCAAATGTTAGTGCATTGCTTAGACTTCATGCTACCTATTAGGGCTGTTGCGATTCGCCTATTCCACGATTCAACTTTCTATTCTAAGGTCACGATTCGATTCGATTCTCGATTCGATATGACTTTTTTTTAACCTCCTTTTTTCAGCATTGTGAGCTGTACGACCATTAATTAGGCCACTGTCTTGATTTGTACAGAAAAACACTTTTTCTCAATCAGTCACTTTAATGACAAATGAGAAGAATTCAATGTTTAACATAAACAAACATTATAAAATACACTCACCGGCCACTTTATTAGATACACCATGCTAGTAACGGGTTGGACCCCCTTTTGCCTTCAGAACTGCCTCAATTATTCGTGGCATAGATTCAACAAGATGCTGGAAGCATTCCTCAGAGAGCTTGGTTCATATTGACATGATGGCATCACACAGTTGCCGCAGATTTGTCGGCTGCACATCCATGATGCGAATCTCCCGTTCCACCACATCCCAAAGATGCTCTATTGGATTGAGATCTGGTGACTGTGGAGGCCATTTGAGTACAGTGAACTCATTGTCATGTTCAAGAAACCAGTCTGAGATGATTCCAGCTTTATGAAATGGCGCATTATCCTGCTGAAAGTAGCCATCAGAAGTTGGGTACATTGTGGTCATAAAGGGATGGACATGGTCAGCAACAGTACTCAGGTAGGCTTTGGCGTTGCAACGATGCTCGATTGGTACCAAGGGGCCCAAAGAGTGCCAAGAAAATATTCCCCACACCATGACACCACCACCACCAGCCTGAACCGTTGATACAAGGCAGGATGGATCCATGCTTTCATGTTGTTGACGCCAAATTCTGACCCTACCATCCGAATGTCGCAGCAGAAATCGAGACTCATCAGACCAGGCAACGTTTTTCCAATCTTCTATTGTCCAATTTCGATGAGCTTGTGCAAATTGTAGCCTCAGTTTCCTGTTCTTAGCTGAAAGGAGTGGCACCCGGCGTGGTCTTCTGCTGCTGTAGCCCATCTGCCTCAAAGTTCGACGTACTGTGCGTTCAGAGATGCTCTTCTGCCTACCTTGGTTGTAACGGGTGGTTATTTGAGTCACTGTTGCCTTTCTATCAGCTCGAACCAGTCTGGCCATTCTCCTCTGACCTCTGGCATCAACAAGGCATTTCCGCCCACAGAACTGCCGCTCACTGGATATTTTTTCTTTTTCGGACCATTCTCTGTAAACCCTAGAGATGGTTGTGCGTGAAAATCCCAGTAGATCAGCAGTTTCTGAAATACTCAGACCAGCCCTTCTGGCACCAACAACCATGCCACGTTCAAACTCACTCAAATCACCTTTCTTCCCCATACTGATGCTCGGTTTGAACTGCAGGAGATTGTCTTGACCATGTCTACATGCCTAAATGCACTAAGTTGCCGCCATGTGATTGGCTGATTAGAAATTAAGTGTTAACGAGCAGTTGGACAGGTGTACTTAATAAAGTGGCCGGTGAGTGTACATTATAAACTTAGGGTTTTATGCCCTAACAACTTCCATTTTCAAATTCTTCTTTAAGAAGTTGTAACAGTTAGTTTTCAGGTAACAATCAATCAACCAATAATGTTGAACAACATGTAAGAGAAAAGGACCAACAAACAATGTTATTTGGCTACATTTGGCTCAAATTCAAATTCTTCCACAGTGAGTCCACTAGACCACTACTGTATTATTCACATTATTCTAACAGAGAGCTTTCCTTTTACAAACATGAAATGTGAATAATGCCAAAGCCATTACATTCATTCAAGCTCTATATCTATGTGCAAATTCTTCTTAAGGAAGATGAGCTTGTTCACATTTTCTGGAGAGAGGCAACTCCTCTCAGCTGTTATAAGGTCCCCTGCTGTTCATCATCACAGCAAGTGCGCTGTTTATTTCCTTAGCGCGAGCCGAATTTGGTGCAAACTTTTCTTTTTTCTTAATGGCGTCTTTGATTGAGGGCTGCGTCGGGTTTTGTGGTTCTTTCACATCTTTGTGGTGACGGCTGAGATGCTGTGCCATATTCGTTGTGTTGCTTGTGGAGGGATACGGCACTCACATACAGTGGAGTCGACAAACAGTATGCGTCTTACTTACGACCTGTCGAGAGCCCTCACTCTCATAATGTACAGGGAAGCCAAAATATTTCCACACTTTAGACCTGTATGAAGCGGGAGGGTTTTCCAGCTCTTCTCTGGGGACAGGCTCATCCTCGGTGTCGTTGTTTACAGACGCAGTGGCCATGGTGAATTGAATTCGCTGTGTATCGCTCTGTAATATATATCTGCGGTGACGTTCTGATCGCTTTCGCTCTCATTCATTTCTGTTGTTACTCGAATCGCCTCTCGTTTTTTCTCTCTCCCATGTCGGAAGCACGCCTGCGTCAAGGCAGGGTGTAGTGAGACAGTGGGAGCCCTAACGCAAATACTCCCCTCCCATGTGGCTCGTTCTCGTCCAATGGGACAGGAGTGTTGGTTTGGGATCTGACTGTCTGATGATAGCCTAGCCACAGCCAGCAGCCACACACACCCATAACAAAACCGCATGGCTCGGAGCCTCGGACGTGCGCGGAAGTGCATCGCGACTCACGTTGTGATTTCGATACGTTGAATCGAACGTCTATTACGAGTCATTTCGATTAAAATCGTGAATCGCAACAGGCCTACTACCTATTAAGGCCGTCTGAGGAAAACCTGTAACATTCATAGAGAACGTCATCAGGTAAATCAAACAGATTTGAACGATCTTGAATATATCGTTCTCGGCGAAGCGCTCCTCTCACTATCCGTGCAACGTTTTCTAAGAGATCTGATTGGTCAGTGGGCGGTCTTTTATCCTGAAACATAACCTTCTCCGGAGCGGGTTTGATGTTCCGCGTAAGTTACTGGGGCAACAGACCTGGATAGAAAGAAATCCACCTTCATCGTGCGGTAAACCCAGGAATTATTCTAGAAGTTATCTCGCTAAGATCAAATCCAGCTTTGTAGTACAGGCCTCAGGCGTTTTTAAACTGCCCAATCTTGGCCCAATCGTTGACCAGTCCTTGCATGAACAACATGCTTCAGGGTCAGAGTTGACACGCTGCCTATTGCGAGCACTTTTAACTTAGCTCAACAGTGGCATCTGGTAAACTTAATTAAAATGACTTAAATAGATACATGAAAGTAAATAAATTGCTAACAACGGCATAAATACCGTAAGTGAAATGGCATAGTTTTTTTTCTTATTTTGTACAAAGATGAACTAACCATTATTTCTGAAATATTAGCAAAATGACTTATCAAATAACAAAAAAAATTCAAAATAATACTAAAAATTAAGTTCTTTGTGTTTATCATTCATCAATTGAATATAAAAAGCGTAAATACTGCCAATCTAGGGCATATATTTATGATGGAAAACAATCTGCAGTGGTCGCACCACATGATAATTGGTCACACTGCATGACATTTTCAAGTTCAGTCAAATCTTATTGATACAGGATTAGCCAAATAAACAAAGCCCACTAGCTTCCCATAAAAGGTCACTATGAAATTTATAATTAAAATACATATTTGTGGAAATAACTTAAATTAATTGGGGTTTTTTTGAGGACATACCACATGACATCCAAAAGTGGCAACGCCATTTCAGCAGTTGAAAAGGTCTTTTTTTTTTTTAAAGAAATGAGAGAGCCACCAACCCTCTTTCTGCTTCCATAGCTCTATGACAAAATCGTGAACGATGCAACTTCCTGACCTAGAGTAAATGCTGCTGTACATCTGCCACAAAGGTTAGCTATTTGCAAATGTGCCGCCCACACTTCCGGAACAGACCCCGTCTCGCTGGTAAACGCATTTGCAGATAAAACAGCCAAGGCTCCAGCTGAGGGAGACATCTCAGTCTGCACCTTGGAGTATACTGACGCACTTTCTGGTGACGTTCTTAAAACAATGCAACAACAGAGCCCAAAAACTGAAATTGAACTCTGGGCTAAACAAGACGCACATTTGCAAAATGGCATCTATATATGACCTGAAGGGAAACCTATCCTTCCAAAGAATCTTTTTAAATGGGGAGCAATATTGAGCGATGGTCCCACACATGTCTCAACAGGAGGGATGGTAGGACAGATACAACAACATTTTCCTACTTATGGATTTAACTCTTATTCAAAAATTTTTTGCAGAGCATGTTTAACATGCGCCAAACACAATCCTCAGGGAAATCTCAGAATGAAAACACGTTGTTTCCCTGAACCAAAATATCCCTTCCAGGTCATACACATGGACTTTATCAAACTGAGCCCAAGTGAAGGAAAAAGATACTGTCTTGTGATAACAGATGCATTTTCCAAATGGGTAGAGCTTTTCCCGACTAAAACACCAGATGCATTGACAGTCGCTAAAGCACTTTGTAAAGACATCATACCTCAGTATGGTATCCCAGAAATAATTCGTAGCGACAATGGCACTCATTTTGCGAACCAAATCCTTAAAAAAATAGGACAAATGTTCCATAAACCTTAAACATCATTGTGCATATCACCCTCAAAGTGCAGGCTTAGTAGAACGAATGAATGGAACTTCAAAAAATAGACTAAAAAAATGTATGGAAGAAAGGAACAGACCATGGACACAGTGTCTTGATCTCGTAGAACTTTACATCAATATAACAAGCACTAGTGGATTGACTCCTTATGAGACCTTATTTGGCAGAACATACAGGCTGGTGGATTCAGATGTTTAGAGTCTGGATTAGGCCTGGGCGATTTGGCAAAAAACATGATCACGACTTATTTTGTCATATCGTCCGATCTCGATTAATATCACGATTTTTTTTTAAAGCGCCAGTTTTAAAGTATCTGTACTAAAAACTAAAAAAACTAGAGATTAGTTCAACATTTTATTAACATATAAAGTAAATAACAAAGCAAACTGAATAAGATACACTTAGAAAAATCTAAAAAACATTTTAACTCAACAGTGCTACATGTTCTACATGCTCTCCCGTATGAGGCTCTCTTAACATCTGTGCATGAAATACAGCACTCTTTTATCCGAGGCTGCCCTGAACGCATCACTGTCGCATAGCTCGCGTTTGTTTCTTTTCATTGAAGTGTTCATTTTCCAATAAACACTTCTTTGATATAGTTTCAGGGCTCTCAAGTTTTGAACTAAGCTTAGAGTGAGATTTCTTTGGGGGGGTGTAGAGTGATTGTTGTATTTAAGAGATTATTATACTAATAATTATCATCAGAGTGTGAGGGCCACATTAAGAAAAAAAAAAATTTTAGACAACAAAGTTATTATTTAGGAGAATAAAGTCATTAATTTATAAGAATTAAGTCGTAAAGTTACCTCTGGTGTGGAGGAGAGTTGTTAAAATCAGCACTGTGGAGCATTTAGATGAATTGTACTTTAGTATAGGTTTCACAAACATGGAGATACTTAATCCTTTGGTACATGAGCGTTACACTGTCATGAGTATCAGAACTTTAAAAAAAATATATGAGAAATGCTGCTTTTGTGGAGGGGAAAATGGCTGGAAATGGCTGTACAGAGGCTAAATTCATCAATACAGCTGTCAATAGCAATAGCATAGGGTTTTAGTTTATTATATGAGTTTATATGCCATGAGGTGTTGAGGTCTCTGCATGTGTAGGTTACTGACTTACTGTAATCATCGGGTCTATCTCGTCCTTTTAAAAACCTGCTCTATTTCTACCCGGATACAGACATGCTGCTTTTTGATTGGCTGTTCAGTAGATATACTTTATTTGATTGGCTTGCGCCTGGCACGCAGCTTCTGAACTCTCGGAGAAACTCAGTTGATTTCTACCTGTTCCATTGTTAAAGAGGGGCAACGTGGTGGACATCACCATGTTCATTTAAATGCGTGAGAAATACGATGTGTGGCGTGTGAGCGTGTGAACAGGTGGGAATGCGTGTGTCACACGCTGAATGCGAGAGACTTGAGAGCCCTGTAGTTTACAGCTGAAACAGACCTGAATCGTCCCAAACTGTAAAGTAAAAGTGTCAATCCACTGTCTGTAAGGCTCAGCAGAAACAAAGGACAATCTCCGGTTGTCTGGAAACTTTGAGCAAATATAGTGATCTGATTCATGAATGAATGCGGACCATGCTACGAGAAATTCCCGGGAGAAATGATAATACCGGGAGTGGGCGGGAGATACGTCTGAATAGGCCTGTCGCGATAATCAATAAATCGCCTTATCGCTCGGTAAATAAAAACGAGGTCGGTCATTTTGCCAGCCTCGATAATTGACGTGCGTTTGTTTTCCTCCTCTCTCGCTACCAAACACGCTGGATGAGAGAAGAGGTCTCACTCTGTGCATTGTTCTCGGCACCTGGGGGCGTTGGCTCTATAGCGGAATGAACGGAGTTAGTGAACCCTCCTGTCAGTCATTCAGTGTCTTTGTCACGAGGGGCTGGCGCGCACAGTCAGGCACACAGACACAGACTTTTGGATACAGTGCTGCAAGTGAGCGTCGTGAGTGAAAAGCAAGCAAACAGAATGAACACGACAGCTTTGGTGTCTAAACCGAACGCAACAGCCCAAGTGTGGGAATATTTCGGCTTTAAACCAGTTTTGTTTTCGTCAACCACAAAACTCGTGTGTGTGTGTGTGTGCGCGCGTGTGTGTCTGTGTGTTGGAGGAGCACAGCAGGCTGATGAGAGCTGTCAGAGCGGACTGAAGCTGCTCCTGTATGTTGAGCGTTTAACTGACTGAGTTTTGCAAGTCTGTTTGTCATTTTCGTCTCGTCCCATCAACGTAAACGCACTTTCGTCTCGTCACATTTTAGTCATCTCCGACTTATGTTTAGCTCGTCAACGTTACGTCTTCATCGTGGAAGAAAGGGAAATATTTTAGTCAACGAAAACAACCAGTGTTGTTCTCGTTGACGAAAATATTTACCTTTTTTGACGCTGGCGTTGACGAAAATATTTGACGAAATATGACGAAAACAACACTGCTTTAAACCAAATGAAAGAGGTGACCCCACATATACAGACGAGCCGATATGTCGTATTTGTTCCAAAGTTGTGGTGACAAAGAAGGGGAATACGACGAACATGCATGTGCACCTCAAGCACAATCATCCCCTCCATTTTTCTCAACTGAGCAAAAAAAGTACCACCGGAGGTGCTGCGGAGCCATCGTCCCGACAGGTACCGCTTACTGAAGCGTTTGGTAAGCAAAGCAAATATAAACAAAACAGCGCAAAATGGTGCGCGCTGACAGACAGTGGAAATTAAAGTTTATCACTTTTGACAAGGTGTACTCGCATTATTATGCCATATAATATCATTATGTATAATTTAAAAAACGGTGTCAATAATATCGTTTATCGGCGATAATTTGTAGCACAATTATCGTCCAGCAAAATTTGTTATCGTGACAGGCCTACGTCTGAAATAGGGGAGAGTCCCGGGTGTTGGCAGATATGGATATGACTGATTGCTGCTTTGGTCTGGTGGCTGCACCGCTAGTTGTGTCTAAACTGCTAATGCTACTCGTACCGTCAGCAGTGACAGGCTGTACAGACTCCGCTCGCATTTTCATGCTTCCCGCATAATCACTCGAGGAGAAAAGATTTGTTATGTTGCCAGTTTATCGGCTTAATTGCTCGACATCACTTTGGAGAGACGTTGAATAACTCCTCAACTATAACATGTTCTGAGGATGACCCAAAGTCACAGCTGACATCTGTTTTGCTGCCCTCAGCTCTGCGTTTAGCTCCATGTTCGGTCATTCTGCTCACTTCCGTATTCAAACCCGTATGTATGGGAGCGGACACGGATGAGGGATTTCTGGGGGAGGATCGTTAATGAGGAATTCATGGACAAATTGTGGATTCAAAACTTCAGAAAAATACAAATACAATTCAAAAACTCCGTCTCCTCCCCCGTCCATACACACATTTCGCTTGAAATGAACTGGTCACTTGACCCGCTACGTCACGTCCGGTGACAGAGAATTGCAAGAATAGTGTTTCCATTACACTTTTGCGATATACTTATATATCGACACGTCTGAAAAACCACCTCATGAGAGCGTAAAAACCTTTTAGCGATATTTGAGAGGTTTTTCTGAAATTTAGGTGTTTCCATTACCAGTTTTCTATTGCTATATTTAGGTTTTGCGCAAATCTATGGGTAATGGAAACGCAGTTAATGTATCATTGAAGAATTTATTGTGTGCAAAATAATAATAATTCTTCATGGAACATATAGTGCAATGTCACCATATTGAAACAATGTTTGACTTATTCAAGAAGTCAAAGTGCAAACACTTTATTACAGTTAACCTTAATTATATAACCTCCTTAAAATATTACAAACTAAAACATCACATCCTATTGTAAATCGGTAAACATGAGTCTTCCAGGTTTGGCCTTGCAAAAAACAAACCAAAAGAAAAGACTTACTTCTCTGGAAAGTTGCACCCCCTGTTGGCAAATCCTAAAACTGCCTATGGAACCAGAGAGGACATAATCACACACCCCTCTTTGTTTTACTAAGTACTTGTGTCCAGAGCTGTGTAAAACTGAAAGCCTCGCTGCAGCATAGTGTAGTATAACACGTAACACGCTCTTGTTAACAACCCATAGCTGGTAGTCTGCTGTGTTTTGTAACTTGTCCCATAGCTCAGCTGCCAAGCTGCTGATGTGAGCCTGTGACAGTGTGTTAGGCAGAGAGACGCTGTCAGAAAATTCGGGAAAAGGAGTATCCCATTTTAGTTCATTACGGGACATGTCTTTTTGTTTTCAAATATGGTACGATCCCGTTTTTTACGGTACGGTTGGGAACCCTAGACGGGCCCCCAGGTCCTGAGGTTTTCTTAACTGTTGAGGTTTACAAAAAAACTGATATCTCAGCCTCTGTCGCAAATAGAAACATCATATATATATATATATATATATATATATATATATATATATATATATATATATATATGTGTGTGTGTGTGTGTGTGTGTGTGTGTGTGTGTAAATGCTTTTTTTAGCCACACCGTTACATAAGGGATATATATATATCCCTTATGTAACGGTGTGGCTAAAAAAAGCCACTTGGGGCAAAATTTAGCCACTAATTTCCATGTAACTTTTTTTTTACTGCAGCAAATGGGATGATTTTTTGTGCAGATGCCTATATTGATGGACACTTTGAAAATATGACTTCAAAATTTTCACCAGGTCAAAAATACGGGCTGGGCAATTTTTTTTCACTTACTTTGACTGCTGCAAAAACATATTGGGTTAATATTTTTTTCCATTTTTTTTCATATATCTCTTAATTAACTTCTGCTTTGATCAAAACTAGTAAATGTTTCATCTAAAAACATTTTTTAACCCTTTGAGGGTCCATTCAAAGCATAATGTCACTGATATGGTAGAAAAATACACAAAAATGACCTATTTTCATCATAAAACATAATCCGGAACCGGTGATTTTTCACATGTTGCACAGTCTTGGCCTCGTGAAGGATTAGGAACCTCAGAAACTATGATGCATTTTGTGTAATGTCTAATTTTCATAGAAACTTTCATAAAACACTCATAAAAACACTTGCACTATTCATGTCTTTTCTATACTCACATTCTCTTTCGGTACCAGCTTGGTCGTAATGTGCTGAGGCAGAACTCAGCTCTGTGTGTGTGTGTGTGTGTGTTCAGTGTTTGAAGCAAGACCTGCAGGAGATCACTCTGTGTTCATGCCAGATGTGTTTCACACATAACTCACAGGTTTTGTTAGTTCTTTTTAACACCAAAGCCGTTCCCAGGTCCTCCAGGAAAAGCCTCCTCCTGAATCACTTTCTCCGGTTCCAGGAGAGATCCACATCCCACAGCCAGGCAGTAGATTAGCCCCTCGAACAAAACAGGCCAGACAATGATGATGGATCCTGTGGGGGGTCAGATTCCATCCCATCAGAATCAATGACCATTGCAAGGGCCTCCGTGGTGCTGAAGCTTCTCTTCATGCTTCTCTTGCTCTTCTCATGAGAAAATGGTCATTACAATCTGCAAGTTGTGGATTGCAGGGGTGGAGCCAGGGTTGGGGCCCCCAGTGATCAAAAGGCCAGATAGCAGGTTTATAAACACCTCCAGACATAACAGCTCACTTTTGTTTTTGTTCATTTTTTTCGACCTCTCTGTACTTCTGAGAGCTGAAGAACATAGTTTACTTTTGTGGCCAGGTCAGTGCTGGGTCATGACATGCAGGCTCCTCCCCTCTCTCTCTCACATGCACATGCACATGCACGCATGCACACACGCACGCAAATACACATTTTTTGGGGCTTCCGATTTTGTCTGGCCTGTTTGGAAACACATCTGGCATGAACACAGAGAGATCTCCTGCCGGTCTTGCTTCAAACATTGAACACACACACACACACACACACACACACACACACACACACACTTACATTTTATCTCTCTTTGCTCACTCGATTTCTCACACATTCACTCTCTTAGGCTTCCCAGGTTTCTTTCAATCCTTTCCACCGCTTCACCCTCAAAAGTTAGTCGTTTGTTCTGGTTTCATACTCTGTTGGTGTATATTTGAGGCTTTTGTTTTATTGCATTTTGAGCGATAAAATATGGTTTGGTTCTACTGTTAATATTGGTTACATTTTTTCATTACTTCCACCTGCTGGTACGCAAAGAAAATGCAAGTGTATAAAAGACATGAATAGTGTAAGTGTAATTTTTTTTATGACAGTCAGATGTTACACAAAAATGTATCAAGGTTTCTGAGGTTCCTTATCCTTAACAAGGCCAAGATTATGCAACACATTAAAAATTGCCTATTTCTGATGATAAAATTGGTATTTTTTGTGTATTTTTGTACCATATCAGTGGCGTTATGTTTTGAATGGACTCTCAAAGGCTTAAAAAAATGTTTTTAGATAAAAAATGTACTATTTTCGATCAGGGCAGAAGTTAATTGAGAGATGTGTGAAAAAAAATCTGGAAAAAATATGAATCAAATATGTTTTTACAGCAGTCAATGTCAGTGGCTTTTTTTGCCACTGAGCGTAAACAAAGGATGTTTTTTGGAAATCTGATCCTACAAAAAAAACTTAAAAGGCATCAAAGTCAATGATATTACTAATCCTTTACATATTTAAGACTATAATACCCTGCTAGAGATATCCAGTTTCTGATTATGTTATTATATTTTTGACTTTATGTTTTAAATTGGCCCTTAAAGGGTTAAAATTTTGATTCTTAATGAAACATTTACTAGTTTTGAATAGAGCAGAAGTTAATTTAGAGATATGTCAAAAAAAAAAACTGGAAAAGTATGAATCCAATATGTTTTTACAGCAGTCAATGTCTAAGTGGCTCAGTTGCTAAAAAAAGCCACTGAGCGTAAACAACTGATGTAAATCTAATGGTTACACAAGGGATATATATATATATATATATATATATATATATATACAGTACAGGCCAAAAGTTTGGACACACCTTCTCATTCAATGTCTTTTCTTCATTTTTTTATATGACTATTTACATTGTAGAATATCACTGAAGGCATCAAAACTATGAATGAACACATGTGGAATTTTGTACTGATAAAAAAGTGTGAAATAACTGAAAACATGTTTTATATGCTAGTTTCTTTATAATTAGCCACCCTTTGCTCTTGAGGACAGAAGTACTTAGTGACTGACTCTGTTAGTCATGAAGTAACCTGGACAAGGCACACCTGTGAAGTAAAAACTATTTAATGACAACCTCATGAAGCTCATTGAGAGAACAGCAAAAGTTTGCAGCGCTATCAAAAGAGCAAAGGGTCTCTATTCTGAGGAATCTAAAATATAAAACATGTTTTCAGCTATTTCACACTTTTTTCTTACGCACATGATTCCACATGTGTTCATTCATAGTTTTGATGCCTTCACTGAGAATCTACAATTAAAATAGTAATAAGAATAAAGAAAATGCGTTGAATGAGAAGGTGTGTCCAAACTTTTGGACTGTACTGTAAATATATACATATATATATATATATATATATATATATATATATATATATATATGTTATAAAGCTGGCAAAATAAAATTTCTAGTTTGCTAGTGAAAGAGGCAATCAGCAAAATCTGTTTGTAGAAAAGTAGAGTAGATTAAAACTTAATATAAATTTTTTATAGTGAGACATTACATAAAAGCCAGACTAAAAAGATAGCTTACAGACAATGCTCATTACAATGCTAGAAATCAATAAGTTTTAAGGCGGCATGAAAATGTCCTGAAAAATCCTGGAGAATGATTTCTATAAAAGAGTGGGAACCCTGTATTTGTTCACCCAGTTTCAATTCAGTTCAACTGAAATATCAAATGTAATAAAACTGTTCTGTATTTAAAGCAAATGTTTGTGTTGTTTTCCTTGGCTGATTACTTTGATATGCAGCCTGATTAGTTATAAATGTGGGTCTGCTCCTTACTATTTTTCTGCAGTTGTCTTTGCATGCTCCTTTGCTGTAGCCTAACCTGTTGAGATGCAGGTGGATGTACACGAGTAAGAGTATGCTACTGTCAGTTTCTATATCATAGCATAACATTGAATCTAGGTAGGCTGTGTTTCGGCTATAATACCCTGTTAATAAGTTGGAATACAGTATCCCACCACATTTGTCTTTGTAGATCAACATCGTATGTTTCCTTAATCATTTTCTTAGAAAGCACCAGACTGTTACATCTACCTTTTGATAACGAAAAAAAAAATCTCCCGGGGGAAGATACCCCCGGACCCCCCTACAGGGCTCTGGTATCCAAAACTTCAGCCCCACCTATTATTTTTCTCACCAGCCGCCACTGCTATCACATAAATGCAGACTGATTGAGTTCCCCTCGAGCCGTCATTTCAGCTCTGTACTGATGCTGGATAAAACACTGCTTGATTAAAACAACCGTTAAATTTGATTTGCATCCACATCACTGAATCTAATCATCGAAGCAATACGATCCGTTATGTTCCAAAACAAACCTTGACACTAACACCAAAATTTTACCCTTGAACTCTTGGAACAAATAATATAGCTTGATGTTGCTAACAAAAAATAAACTCCAAATAAACGATTAAACTTACCGAGCAATTGTTTTGTCAAGTTGTGCCTGGCTTTGAGTCCGTCTTCCGAACTCCAACCGCTGCTGCTTAGGTGGAGTGGGTGTGTGCCATAGACTGTATATACTACGGACATCTTGGTTCCGCCTACCGCCTGTATACGGAGTTGAAGCACAGACTGTATATAAGATGGACGCCGTGGTTCCGCCTTCCGCCTGCATACGGATTTGAAGTCAAAAAGCTCTCGGTAATTCTGGGTTCCTTGCAATCAGAGCTGCGCAGTAGCGTTGTACGCAGACGTTTTGGCTGGGCGGGAGACTCGGCGCGATGACGCTCCGCTCAAAAAGTGCCCCCCCAATGTCCTTCCAGCCTTTCATCGGTAACGCTAATAGCTTCCCCGCTCGTCGCGACCAAGAATAAGTAAGTTCCACTTCTCCTGATATAATGTGAAATTTGTGAGCGTACTAACTTTGAAGAACATGAAATACCATCATAACTAATACGAATAAAGATATCATCTATTACTTGATTGGCAAGTAAGTCGTCTCTCTTTGTTGAAAGAAACTGTGTAAATGTAAGCTAAAGTAGCATTGCAATTTAACACTAGCCTTGGTAAATTAAACAGCAAAATACGTGATATTTTTAGTTTATCAGTTGTTAAGATATATGCTATTGTCCTGTGATTAAAAATGAACAAAATTCTGAATGAACAGCAAATATTTATGTTGTTCTCCTTTTTTTTTGACAGAGAGAGAAGAAGCTTCAAAGATGAGCACGACAACATCAGCCACTGTGACCAGACGTAAGGATAAAAATTCATTGAGATGGATGCTGATTTAGTTGGTTATGATTTTAGTGAGACTTTTATTAGGTAATGTTATATATAGTTTTTTTTTTGTGACGTAACAACAGCAAGCTCAAGTTTTCAATTCCAAATTATATCTACTGTAAAAAATATTAAATAGCTTGTGATTCAGCATGATGTGGAATCATGCTGAATCACAAGCCATGCAAGGTTTTGTAGGAAAATAACTTTTTTTTCTTTTATTGTTCAATACATTTACAGAACCACATATATTCATCATCGGGGACAGCTACATTCGTCGTGGGGAAACGAGAGCGAGGCAGACCATCGGGACCGACCTTGGTCTGGATGCCCGTGTCCTGTGGTTTGGAGGAACTTCCTCTCTTTTTTTCATCAGTGCTGTCGGGGAAGAGCTGTGCCAGACGTCCTTTTGATCCATTGTGGCGGGAATGACCTGGGGGTCACCAAGACCATCAAGCTTGTGGCGGGAATCAAGCAGGACCTCCAGGATCTCCATCTGCAGTTCCCCACCATGAGGATCATCTTCTCTGCCATCACCCAGAGGAGCCGATGGAGATACAGCCCCAAGAAAATGGACAAAGCCAGGCGCTATGTGAACAGTGTGATGGCTACTTTTGTTTCATCTGTTGGCGGAAGCATTGTGCATCATCCTCAAATAAAGCACAGAGATCCTGGCCTTTTTTTAAACGATGGAGTTCATTTCACCACTTTGGGTAATGACATTTTTTTAAATAATATTGCCTTGTGTTTGAAAGACCAAATCTAGTAGGGTGGTGCTAGATTTGGGATTTCACCTACAATAGGCAGCAAAAAATGGTCAGGATTTATCTGCTTTATTTGTGATTGATGTGCACATTTTGTTTAATTGTTTACTCGAGCACAATTTTGTGAATTTTTTTTACAAAGGTAACCATCACACTGTTCAATTCTGTCACAGCTCTTCTTCCTCCTTCTCTCTCTCTCTCTCTCCTACAAACTTTCTGCCGTACCCCAGCCATTCCACCCGATGGTCTTCCTCAAGGCGTTTTCCCCACGACGAATGTAGCTGGGGATGTTTTTTATTGTTAGAAAAATTAAATTAATGTTGAAACTTCACATGCTTCTCTGTGATTTGTTGTACCATGATAAAGTTTTCTGATTTACAGCACAGATGAAAAAACACAGTATATGCTTTATTATTCCAGAGTATTTGTCTCAAAATTTTATTTTTCATGTAAAGCTATCAAAAGAAAAAAACATACCACAACGAAGTCAATGCATTTCTTATGTACTCATCATCAAGTGATTAACAAGAAAAGAGCTTAACATCAGTCCTAGTATTCTTGCTTCTGGTGCAATGGTCAGATAAGACAATTCAAAAAGGCTGTAAAGGACTCACACACAGAAAGATGGAAAAGACAAATGTCTCAAAAAAGTTGGATCCATTTTATTCCTAGCAATAAAATGGATCCAACTTTTCAAGACATTTGTCTTTTCCATCTTTCTGTGTGCGAGTCCTCACCATGAAGTGGACAAAGTGTGGTAAAACTGAAAAAACAAACTGACAATATGTGTAGTGAACAGCATGTAATTAATGTAAATCAGATAGCATGACATGGACACTTGTGAGAGGACACTAGCATTTTAGTATTTATTTGTGATTTATAAATACTTAACTCCTTTGCAGAAAACCTGTATGTTTGTTATTTTACCAGGAACTTAAAAAGATATAATCTAGTACTTTGGGAGTTGCATTGGGTGGAAAGGAAACAGGCTGCAGCAGATGAATCCACCATATCATCAGTGGTTGGTGATGAAGTCTGAAAAACACAAATAAAATTCATCAATTAAATTGTGAATACCAGTACTTAAATTCATTAAGACACTTGTGTCTCAAACCAGGTGGTAGCTCAGCATGAAAACTTGAGAGGTTTTGATATACTTGTCCAATTATTTAAAAGGTTTCATTTAGTTAGCATTCTTAGAGACTACTACTTGGCTAGTGCTGTTACCTTTATCTAACAGGGCACATTTGGTCTAAGCATAAGAAGTTGTTCATGTGGTATCACTCAAATTTTTTTTGCAACATGATTCCTGTTTTTTTTACTCCAGGCTGCGCCAACTTAAACTGAAAATGACTGATGACACTAACTAATAATGACCAGTAGATGGTAGCAGACACTACAACTACATGCAAATACCTAAATTTAATGACATTTTAATCTCACTCTTTTCTCATTTCTGTCTTGACTTCACAATCTATTTCCTTACTGTTAAAATACTTTTGTTCTGATCTTGTTTCTGATGTGGCTTTAATACATGTAACACAGAAGGCCCATCTTAGTTGAAAGCCCACTCACCACGACACACCCTAACCACAATCTTTTCAGTGGCCTGACTTTTCTTTTTCAGAGTTTTAGGAGACTTCAGATGGTAGCTGTGATCCTCTCCAATGGGGACAAGTGCTGCATTCATTGGTGCTGATGCTGAATAACTGTGGTCTTCCCTAAATGCATTCACTGTTACAGCAGTGTCAGCCTGACAGATGCCAATGCTTAATGGGTCATTCCCATTTGCATTTTCAGTCAAAGTGGCATTGCTGTAATCGGCAGCAGATGGAAAGCTAATGTTGCCTTGGTCTACGTGTGACTCTTGTATGCTGACCTGAGAAACCTTGGCTGATTTAAGTGACGGCTGCCTTACCTCTGTGTCACTACCTCCCAAAATCCTGCGTTTCACACCTAACACAGAGGACCTTACCTGGTGATCTGGAAACACAGTTGGAACAGCTGTCATCTTGAGGCAACGCTTACCCTAGAGAAAAACATAAAAACAGCAGTAATTTAAAATGGAACCACGATAGTTGTAGTGTTCAGCTGTTGGGAATGTTTAAATAACCGCCATTTTATGATTCAAAGTGTTAGTCAATTTAACAATAAATTGTTGCAAATGTGAACTTCATAAAAATTGCTGTCCATTATAAAAGAAATAATTTAACCTTTGAGTCCACAGTAAAGGCATGCTCTTCAAAATGAGCACTGCAAAGACGTGATGATCCTGTTGGTTTCCAGTCCTGCCGTCTTGTGTTCACCAGCCACTGCTTCAGCCTTGCTTTGTCACCTAAAGGGAAACTTTACAAAAATACAAAAACATTGCTTACTGCCATTTGTCAAGTTTGTAAACAACACAAAGTTAATGTTTTGCGTTCGGTTTAATTCTTGCTTTGTTGCGTAACAGGCTGAAGCCAAAACTCTAAATTCAAAGACAATCACAAAAAATACCTCAAGTGAATGAATATACAAACTGTATATATATTCTAAATCATTTCATCTTGTGGGTGATATGTCTTATGAACATCCTATTAAAATTGAGGGATTTCTTTGCATGTAACAAAAATTTTAATGTCATTGTGATTGATTAAGTATGTCATATGCAGCTGTCTTTCCATAACTAATTACATTACTCATAGTTTTATCTCGATCTCATAAGTAACAGGGCTATCTATCTATCTTGAAAACTTAAATAAGACATGATCTACCATGCTGCTGTAAATGATAATTGTCATTCCACAGAAGTATACTTATGACTTATGTATGTTATTTGATAACATAAAATAAATAACAGTTATGCAACTTGTATTAGTAATTTTTTGAGCATGTCCTTCTATACACTTATAGGGTCTCATTTTCTCGACGTTTTGTCCCATTAAAGACAGTTTCAGAGGTTTATCTTAGACAAATATCGTTATGTCACCAGAAGCTGTAATACTACTGCCGCTGTACGGAGGAGACTGAACCGGCGGTCAATCTTCTACCAGAAAGCTAGGACGGTGCATCCGAAAGATGCATTTTAATTAAACCATACCTGATTTTAGCGCAGGCTGCTCTCGTTGTTACATACCCGAGTAAAACTGGTTGATCCATTACCAAAACTTCGACTCATAACATCATGACTCTCATTATATTCATTTACATGGCCTTGTTCTCATAAAGTGATGCAATATTAGGGGAATGACTTAAATGCGAATTAATTCCTTTAACATTATGACTTCATGCCTCGAGTTTTCATTTCATGCCCTGATACTCTGTGGTAGTATTTGGTTGCTAGTATGAATCTGTGTGATCGGTACGGTTTTTAATTCAAATTCAAAGTCACGTAGTCATAATATTGTTATTAAAAGAAGGCGGATTTAAAGGGGTTTCCTCATTGTTTAACTTCTCATAAAAACGCTTAAATAAGGCACAGAACTTACCGCTTGGTATCTGTAAGTAAACCCCATTAGCTAAATTAAACCAGACCGGTAAATGTTATGTAGCTAGCAAGCTGATGACTTCATAAAAAAAAACATAACTTACCGAAACAACTGCAAAGATCCCGATTTCACATGTCGGTTAACACAGTTTACTGCAGAACAACTCATTTTTCCAATGCAATAAAAGAGAAAAACGATGGAAAAATGTAATCCTCTTCTCCACTAGCAAACCCGATCGGTCTTGACGAACGAAAAAGAGCGACGCACAAGCAGCAAGTGCAAAATGTAGAGAATGACGCAATTTCCTGTTTTTATAACTCCTAATAACTTTTTAAAATGGAGCTGCAGAGAGAAAAAAAGACCTGAACACAAACCAGTCTAATAATAACTACATGTCAACATCGCAGTCGGGGGTGAGAAAAGTGTATTTTCTGTGAAATTAATTTCTTTTTATTAAACATTTAATAGTTAGATATTTTATAGTTCTATTTCATAGATGTATTAAGTATAAAGGGGTAAGTTGACCCACATGATATTTTAAACTTAATCTTAAAACTTTAACAAATAATGTATTTACTGATGAAAAATAATTTTATAAGACATTTCCTTTTTTCAAATAGTCTTAATTATTTTCTTTGGGTTATTAAACAATATAAAACCAATTAAAGCTTGCTTTTCAGAACCTTTTAATATTCGCAATCATTAATATAATATTGAAAACTTCTCTTGAATTAGTGTATTTCTCAAAAAATACAAAAAACAACCCAAAAAATAAAAGATCATTCTGCTAATTTGAGTAGCAAAGACCTAATAAAAATTCCATAAATTGTGATTCATATTCATAACAACTCGTGTATAGTTTTAAAGATCAAGGGGATGGTTCGTTCATCTTACCCGTTTTGCTACATATATTTTAATATAAAAATTCAAATAAACACATTCAGTAACATGAAATAAAGGTTCTTTTATTAAACAGAGGTGAACAATTACAAAACAATTCAACATTCACTCCAAACCAACAGTCACACTTAACCATGCAGCATTCACTCCAAATCAACAGTCACTCACACGGTCGCAACAAAACCAACATATATACAAGTGCACAGACAGTTTGAGCTACTGCCCCTTGAAAAGGACTGTTTTGGTGAGCTTCTGTCTCACATTGTCTTTCTGTAAGCTACGCGTAGTCATTTTAGAAATGTGGTGCAGCCTTAATTTGAAAAACAGGGACACAACTAGAGCTAAATTATGATATTGTTGTGGTAATTCATATAGCCTATGCTTGAATGCCATTATGTAAACTTAAATAACAAGTCAATAACAGTAACATGTTAAAAAAAATGTGAAAAAGAAATATTCAATGATTATTATGTAAACAAATGGTAGAAACATTTCTAAAACGTCAGGGGGAAAATAACTTGTATTTTACAAGTACAAATTTAACTAAGTTAGTAACAATTATCCTAAATATGTCCCTCAAGTCATATCTTATGAATGAAAAGTGATTCCACGGGCTCTTGTTGGAAAAGAACGTTCATTTGAGCATCCATGTGCTGCACAAAAGTCTGGCATCTTGGACTGTAGGGGGTATTTCTGTAAACACAAAGCCAGGCATTTACTGTATCACAATGAATCTAAATTAAGGATATATTTTACTAATGAAGCAGCTTGGAAATCATATTATGTATGTTAAACCAAAGTAGTATGTCTAGGCTACTTTGCAAAAGTCCCAGTGGACCACTATGTCACATTCACAACGTCTTGTTTCTTTGCTAGCTAATAAACACAACTACATCCACACAAATCGTCATTTAGACAAAATATGTGGTTGTCACAATTTCTTATTGGTCTCACGGAAATGTATTTAATAACTGAAACCCCCAGATTGCAGCCTTGCAAATTGGTGTGACAGACACACAACTATACAACAAAATGAAATTGATTTTTGAGTAGAAAAGCTGCCCTTTCAACATGTCCACGTGGCCTGAATCATAGCCAAACCAGTCTTACAATAACTACATGTCAACATCACAAGCAGGGGGGAGAAAAATTTATGTTCTGTGTCATAAATTTCTAAAGTTTGTCCACAGCCCCAAAAGCTTTGCTGGCGGAGGTGGGCTTTATGACCGTTACTGCAGCCCATCAACAGAGGGTGCTGTTCTCGGAGTGTCTTCACCCAGTGAGGAGGCAGACTCTGTCCATTCTAAGGCTGTGTCTCATTTCAGAGACAGCATCGGGATAAGCGCGCCGTTATGTACCCTTCCTGTGTCCCATTTCAGATACCGCAACCGTCGAACGGCGCATCTGAAGCGTGCGTGAGGTCATCACGCAGCACGAACGATGTCCCCGTTTGGCACAAAATACTAAGCGCGCTTCAAATTTGGTCTCAAAACCACACTGCCCCCGCCCCTTTTTCAAGCGTGCATTTATCTAGCTTTCGTGCCGTTGGTATCCCAGAATTCTTTGCGTGCCGCTGCACAGCTGTGCATTTCAGGTGAGAGGCTGGATTCACTTGGAGATGCAGCGCGTCACCAAAGAAAATAAAAGAAATCCAAAAACAGCGGACAGTCAGCTCAGGCTGTATGAGCGCATTATCTCTGAACTCACTAAAATCTGCAAACCAAACATTATAGATTTAGAGACGAACTGATCCGCTCTGCTACAACAATCAAAAACATTAGAAATAAGAAAGCTGACAAAACTACAGCAGAGTATCAGGACAACATTGGGTTTTATTTTCTTTTAAGATTTAGAGATTAAAGTTGTAAATTTAAGAGAATAAAGTCATAAAGTAAATAAAGTCATAAAGCTGCTTTTGTGGAGGGGGAAATGACTGAAGCTGGTCATCTGCAGGGTTATCGGTGGATGAATCAGCGGGTCATTCAGAGAGTTTTTGCGGTTTGTGAAAAAACAATCCAACTGATGATCAACATTTGTGATCCAGAGGGAGTCGAGCTCCAACGAGCACCACGTCTCTGACACCGGCGGAAACCTACACCTGCAGAGACACCAACACCTTATTATGGTATATGGATTCATATCATAAACTGAAGCTCAATGTCATTCACAGATATTTACGGCTGCATAAACGGATATATCCTCAGCATATTCATTTCTGCCTCCACAAAAGCAGTGATTTCCTTCAAGTACACCAGTTTTTTTCGCCATGGAAAAGATGTATTTCTCATATATTCCAAGTCCCTATACTTATGACAATGTAATGCTGATGTGCCAGAGGATGAAGTATCTCCTTGTTTGTGAAACCTATACTGAAGCACAGTTCCTTTAAATGCTTCATGGCCCTAATTTTAACAAGTCTCCTTTGAAATAACAGGTAACCTTACGACTTTATTCTCGTAAATTCACGACTTAAATCTCGAAGTCTTAAAAAATTCTCAATATGGCCCTCATACTCCTTCATACAAAAAAAAAAAAAAAAATGCGCGCATATCATTTCTTAGCATTTCGTGCCAAATGGGACACCGTTCGCGCTGCGTGATGACATCATGCACGCTTCAAATGCGCCGTTCGACGGATGTTAGATATTATTTTTCAAAATAATGTGAACATGCACAATTAAGTCAGCTTTATGTGCGATGAAGTATGTGACGCCAGACGTTGACAAGCTCTAGTATTGGATGTTAAAATATCATGTTATTGTTTAAAAAAAATCAAAGTTAAGAAAAATGAAAATGTTATCGTATTTTACGTTTAAATATCATGGTAAAGTATGATCAAATTTTCAGTATAGAAGAATGAATATAGAACAAAATGAAAAAAATCCAAATAATAGATAAAATCTGGAATACAATGATAAAAATAAAGTATGATATGCAGATAGCATAGTTTAATAAAAATGTCATAGTATGGTATAATAAAAAAACAACAGTTTAGGATGATAAATATATTTTGTTGTGTGGTAAAATGTAAAAGTGTAGTGTAAAATAAAATGCTAATATTGAAACAAATAATATAGCTTGATATCACTAACAAAAAATAAACTCCAAATGAACGATTAAACTTACTGAGCAATTGTTTTATCAAGTTGTGCCTGGCTTTGAGTCCGTCTTCTGAACCCCAACCACTGCTGTTTGGGTGGAGTGGGTGTGTGCTCGGTGCTGCGACCAGATGTAAGATGTTATTTTTCAAAATAATGCAAACAAGCGCAATATAGTCCTCTTTGTAGAGGGAATTCACATGACGTCAATTCCGCTTTCTGGGGATCCCCAGAGAAACCTCATTGGGCTTACATGGACCAATCTCTAGATCCACAATGTGAAATTCTGAAAGGTATAGTAAAGATTGGTTGTACTTACGACTTCGAAATGTGTTCTCTTGCTAATGTTATCTGTGTTTTAAATTTTCCTATTACGAAATTGTATAGATTAGTCAGGAATGAAAGCTAACTCATGCTAATGATGCTAGCGACCTCCCCATCCAGCATCATTTCATTTTGCATTTCTTTTTTATATCAATGTGTAATCATTTACCATACCTCTAACTTCTGGCCAAAGAACTGAATCTAATCTTATGTAATTTAATGAAAGCTAAAATTGAAACTTCAAGGACCACTGGGTTTTATAATGAGTGTTGTTTTAGACGTGTGGTTTCCAAGTAGGCAGTAACTAAGCTAGGAACCTCTGTTGTTATGTGAACGTTACTACTTTGAAACTGTGATGGCCAGTGGTCGTTATCAGCTACAAAGGCTGATTAACCCATAAATTCTTTTGATGTGTCCTTAGATTGATTAAAAGAATGCTAGCAATGTTGTATTTATAAGATACCTTGCTGTGTGTAACAATAACACATGGAGACTTCTTTTTGAATTTCCTTTTTACACCAATATAGACTCCCCCTATTGTGTTAAAGTTATTACCATGGAGATTAAACATTGTTGCTCTTCTTTCTCACAACAGTATGTCACAAGCCTGGGTTAGTGTCGCCTGTTGCTCCAACAGCAAAAAGAAATCCCCTCATTTAAGCTTCCATGACTTCCAGTCCATTAAACTGCACGTGTCAACTGGGTGAGGGCAATCAGGAGAGATGAGGGACCAAGTTGTGTAATCACTCGTGGAAGCACCTATGTGTGTAGTGAACTTTTTAAACCTGAGGATCTGCACAAGCCAACCCAAGCCAGTGGAAAAACTTGCATTGAACACAGAGCTGTGCCTTTAAGATTCCACTGGGATGACTTTAACATTATCAAATAACAATGTTAAACCTAGCCAGTACAGTGGTCTATCTGTCTCTCCAGCTTTTTACTGAACAGAAAATGCATTTTCAGATCGGGATACAACTTTTAACGATTGGTAGACTGAGGAGAGAGAACTCACAAGTTTATAACTAGTTAAGTAATGTTGGAAACAGATCATCGCACCCAGCCTATGAACTGACCCATAGTAACTATTCTTGAGATATTCAGGCTCTATTATTTTGCTATGAAACATATTTCTGAAGGCATGTAAAGCATTTTTGATGTAATATGTCAACTTTTGTCTTTTATTTTTTTAGGGTTCACAAATTACAGATGCCCAGCGTTGGACACCAGTCTTTCAGTTTCTCCCTGCTCGCCATAACATAGGGATCTGGAAGAGGTCCTGACAGAAAAAAGGGAGAAAAGTCAAATGCAGATTGAATTATGACACCTGTTCTTTCAAAATAAAGTGCAACTACCTGTCTATGTTTGTAGAGAAAACAGAGAATACTAAATGTGTACAACTAAATGCATTAGACTTTTTAGTATTTAGTATTTAAGCTGCCCCGCAACCAATCATCAATTCCTAAAGAAATGTATAACTAATATATGTTCTGTTAGAAATGCCTATGACACCTATGACAGATGAGAGCTCAGTCATACTCACCAGTATAAGCCTTGTAAGAATAAGAATAAGAATAACTTTATTAACCCTCAAAGAGAAATTTACTTGTCTGTTGTCTCACAAAATCTCACAAGTATTTATATGATGTCACCACTTCAATGTGCACTCCACAGGAGTTCACTGGCTCAAGAGGGAGTTTGGTTTATGACTATCTCCTTTGTCTTTGAGGTGTTAAGGAGGAGGCAGTTTTTGTGACGCCAGTCACTGAAGGCTCTTATTAGATCTCTGTATTCAGCTTCTCTTCTAGTACAGTCTGCATTTAACACCAGTCCTCTCTTGTTCCGTTGGCACTTGTCTTCACACCTCCATTTTATTAGTGGCCTCTGGTGCAATCCCCTTTTATAAAGATAAAATGAATAATGATTTAGTACGACAATACAAAATATTTAACTTGTTGAACACTGAACAAAAATTAATATATGATTATGTTCTTCTTCAGTTCAGAACTGAAGAAGCTTCTTGGATCAGAGGCTAAACGTCTTCTTAACTCTACACAGTCCTGTTGTCTGCTTTTGGAGTCTTCAAGATAACGATCAGAAGACCTCAAACATAAAAACCAGAATCACAGATTGTATTCGACAATGTTACAATGTCACGCTGTTACAAAGTAACAATGCAGAGGTTAAGCCCCACAGAGTGTCGTCGTTGCTTTCTTCCGCTTCATCCAGGTCTGGGTCGCGGGGGCAGCAGCTTCAGGAGGGAAGCCCAGACAGCCCTCACCCCAGGCGCTCCCGGGCCAGGCAAGAGATGTAACCCCTCCACCTGGTCCTGGGCCGGCCACAAGGTCTCCTCCCGGTGGTACATGTCTGGAACACCTCTAACAGGAGGCGTCCAGAAGGTATCCTAACCAGATGCCCGAGCCACCTCAGCTGACTCCTCTTGACGTGGAGGAGCAGTGGTTCTACTCTGAGTGCCTCCCGAGTGTCCCAGCTCCTTACCCTATTTCTAAGGCTGAGTCCAGCCACCCTGCTAAGGAAACCCATTTCGGCCGCTTGTATCCGCAATCTTGTTCTTTCAGTCATTACCCACAGTTCATGGCCATAGGTGAGAGTCGGCACGAAGATCGACCGGTAAATCGAGAGCTTCGCCTTACGGCTCAGCTCTTCCTTCACCACGACTGATCGGTTAAGCATCCGCATCACTGCTGACGCCGCCCCGATCCGCCTGTCGATCTCCCGTTCCATCCTACCCTCACTAGTTAACAAGATCCCGAGATATTTGAACTCCTCCACTTGAGGCAGGACCACTCCTCCGACCTGGAGAAGGCAATCTAACTTTTTCTTTTTCAATCTAAAAGAGGACCATGGCCTCGGACTTGGAGGTGCTGATTCGCATCCCAGCCGCTTCACATTCGGCCACGAACCGCCACAACAAGAGCTGAAGGTCACTGCTCGACGAAGCTAGAAGCACCACATCATCTGCAAAAAGCAGCAACGCGATCCTCTGCCTGCTGAACTGGACACCCTCCACCCCCCAGCTGCGCCTAGAAATTCTGTCCGTAAAGGTTATGAACAGAACCGGTGACAAAGGGCAGCCCTGGCGGAGTCCAACCCTTACTGGAAACGAGTCCGACTTACACTCCTCAGCCTACCTGGGAAAGCTTATGCCAGGGTATGGAAAAAAAGGTTCCGATCGATAGTTGAACCTCGGATCGAGGAGGAACAATGCGGGTTTCGTCCCGGTCGTGGAACGACGGACCAGCTTTTCACCCTCGCTCGGGTTCTTGAGGGGAGATGGGAGTTTGCCCACAGAGACTCTGAGGATAGTCCAGTTACTCATCATTTCTATCAAATATCTATATTTCTTTTCATTAAACATCTATATTTCATTGGCTTGTCTCTGCATATTTCTCGAGTAGCCCCTAAGAGAACTGTGTTAGATCCTCTTCAGTTTCTGCCTTCATGTTTTGTTACTGTACTGGTTTGTACATGAACATTTGACAGAGTCTTTTATTTTGGGGGGTTCGTTGGGGGTTTGGGCCATCGCTGAGAGAGGAAATGGCAGTGGACACTGCAGATAACAGAGGGACAGAGCGGGGAGATACAAACAGGAAAGGGGGCTAAAAGCTGGAAATCAGCCCTTGCTTCCCATGTCTCTGGGAATGGTTTGAACCACTAAGCCAGCAGTTTCCAGAAGTTCTTTGTGACCATTCTCACCTGTGTTGTCGCTTTGCAGCTTTCGCAGCTATTTCTCACTCTGTCTCAACTCCAGGTCTGAGGGATGACACACAGCGCAAAGTTAAACTGGGTTCATGATGGAGGGCCTCAGGATGCTGTATTGTAAATATTATTACCCGATACCCGTGTTTCTCTATTAAAGTCTTCCAGCTGTTTTAAGTGGGCACTTTTTTTGGTCTCCAGCTCTGAAAGAAAAAAGGTTCAGAGTTAATTTGACAGAGTAAATTTTCCTCAAATTGACAAATTTTACTCTGAAAAAGATAGTATTTGATCCCAGTCTAAATAGAGTGAAAATGACTCTTCCCACTGAGTAAATTTTACAGTTGTTTTTACTCTATTTAATGTTCATATTTTCATCTGCATGATAATAATTTATTCTGCTTTGTATAAAATTAAAGTAACCATACAGTCACCCTCCTCCATTTAGTGATATATTTTACTATAATAGTTTATTCAAAACAGAATGATAATTCACTCAAGAATTAAATTCCACTCAATTTTGATTCGCTCTGTACTCTTTACCAGATTGTATCCTACTTCATGCAGAACAGTATTTCACTCTATACAGAAAAAAATATTTCACCCAAAACAGAATTATAATTCACTCAAAACAGAATTATATGTTTTGAGTGATTTGTCTGGAGTGATGTGTGAAGTTTCTCTGAACTCAACAAATCAGAAACAATTTCGTAAAGCAACTCTGCATATTTGTTAGTCATAAAAGATAGTGTTTTCATCATAAGATTAACATGCAACAGATAATGTAACACATAACATCCAACATGTTACCCTTCAATCCCATCAGATTTGTTTCAACAAGCATCATGCCATACCATCAGAAATCAAGTTGTGGCCTCTGTTAAACAAAAAAATGTATATCATACATTAAAATAAAATACAATATATTTGCATACAAGATGTAAAGAAAACAGAAAAAAATCCAATGGGCCCTACTCACACAACAGTCATATTCTCCTAATGTATTGCTCAGGATGGGAAGCTCAAATTTAGCTGTGGAAAGAGAATGTGACAAAGTGTTTCACTCCTTTCCAAATGATCAGCAACTGAAAAGGGAGTGGATTGTAAAAATCCAGAATAACATCGAGCCATACTTACAGATAAAACACTACATTTCATGTCTTGCTGGTGTTGCAAGGCAGAATTAACTGATGTATGTTATACAATTATCAAATATTTAGTTTGCACTTTGAAATGTAGTCTCATTGTCTCTGAAGATTTTCACTATCCACTCCCTTTTCATTTGTTGATCATTTAGAAATTAGTTCAATGGCCATCTCTTCCTTTAAGAGACTTTTAATCTAAAACAGCAGCATGACACAGGGTGGGAAGCTAAAATGTAGCTGTTCAAAGGACTGAGCGTGATGTTAGCAGAAAAAGCCGTGAGTGTGAATAGGTTCCATACCACTATCACACACATCTAGGTTTTAAGTGCTTATTGTGCACATTTACATTCACAGAAAATAGTATAGGACATTAAACAGATCTGAATTATCACTACTTTATGAAGAAGAAGAACATTATTGATCCCCGAAGGGAAATTCAATTGTCTGTTGTCTCACGTAATATGTCTATAAAAGTTATCTATCATTTACATAAGAGTTATAAAGCCTGATGGCTGTTGGTACAAAAGATCTTCTGAATCCTTCTGTCCTGCAGTGAAGAGAGAGGAGCCGTACACCACCATTTGCCCTTTGGTCCATCAAGGTGTTGTGAAGTGGGTGATCCATGTTCTTGAGAAGTCTCCACCTTCCTCAATGTGGATCTCTCCATCACATCCTCCACTGAGTCCAGCTTGAGTCCTACCACTGAGCCAGCCTTTTTCACCAGTTTGTTAAGACGTCTTGCATCTTTGTGTTTGATGTTCCCCCCCAGCAGACTGCAGCGTAGAACAGCACACTTGCCCCCAGATGTGTAGTCTATATTCTAAACCAGTCCAACTTATTATCCAGATGTACACCTAGGTATTTATATGATGTCACCACTTCGATGTCCACTCCACAGGTGTTCACTGGCTGAAGAGGGGGTCTGGATCTACAGAAGTCTATGACCATCTCCTTTGTCTTTGAGGTGTTGAGGAGGAGGCAGTTTTTGTGACTCCAGTCACTGAAGGCTTTTATTACATCTCTGTATCCCTTCCGGAACCTTTAGATTTTCCTCCCTCTAAAGTCCCTCGTGGCTGTTAAAAGCCACTTTTTCTGTCGGCTTTTTACCCTTTAAGGGCCAATTTAAGACATAAAGTCACTTAAAAAGCAAAAAAATGGAAGGAAAATGAAGGAAAATGACCCATTTTTTTAATAAAACATGATCAAAAACTGGTAATCTCTTGCAGGGTATTAAAGTCTTGAATATGTCAGAGATTAGTAATATAATTTACTTATATGCATTTTCAGTTTTTCTGTAGCATCAGATTTAATGAAAAACTGCCTTTGGCGCCTCCGAGTGGCCAAAGCTACTTTGTCTGCTGTAAAATCATATTGGATTAATATTTTTTTCAGATTTTTTTTCATACATTTCTTATTTTACTTCTGCCCTGTTCGAAACTAGCAAATGTTTCATTAAAAACAATTTTTTTAACCCTTTAAGTGCCAATTTAAGACATAAAGTCTCTTATGAAGCAAAAAAATGGAAGGAAAATGGAAGTAAAATGACCTCTTTGCTTCATAAGAGACTTTATGTCTTAAATTGGCCCTTAAAGGGTTAAATTTTTTATTTTCAAAGAAACATTTGCTAGTTTTGAACAGGGTAGAAGTAAAATAAGAGATGTATGAAAAAAAATCTGAAAAAAATATCAATCCAATATGATTTTACAGCAGAAAAAGTAGTTTTTGCCACTGGGAGGCGCCAAAGGCAGTTTTTCATTAAATCTGATGCTACAGAAAAACTTAAAATGCATTGAATTCAATTATATCACTAATCTCTGACATATTCAAGACTATTATACCCTGCAAGAGATTACCAGTTTCTGATCATGTTTTATAAAAAAAATGGGTCATTTTCCTTAAATTTTTCCTTCCATTTTTTTTTTATTTTTAAGTGACTTTATGTCTTAAATTGGCCCTTTAAGGGTTTAAATTTTTATTTTCAATGAAACATTTGCTAGTTTTGAACAGGGCAGAAGTAAAATAAGAAATTTATGAAAAAAAATCTGAAAAAAATATTAATCCAATATGATTTTACAGCAGACAAAGTAGCTTTGGCCACTGGGAGGCGCCAAAGGCAGTTTTTCATTAAATCTGATGCTACACAAAAACTGAAAATGCATATAAGTAAATTATATTACTAATCTCTGACATATTCAAGACTTTAATACCCTGCAAGAGATTACCAGTTTCTGATCATGTTTTATAAAAAAATGGGTCATTTTCCTTCAATTTTTGCTGAATTTGTGACTTTTTGTCTTAAATTGGCACTTAAAGGGTTAAAAAAATTGTTTTTAATGAAACATTTGCTAGTTTCGAACAGGGCAGAAGTAAAATAAGAGATTTGTGAAAAAAAATCAGAAAAAAATATTAATCCAATATGATTTTACAGCCGACAAAACAAGTGGCTTTCAACAGCCACGAGGGACTTTAAAGGGAGTTTTTCTGTCCTGGCTTTATTATTGACCTGGTGAAAATTTTGAATTCATGTTTTCAAATAAAATGTCAAATAAAGCTTAGAAAAAAAAATTCATCACATTTGCTGCAGTAAAAAAAAGTTATATCCAAATTAGTCTCTAGTTTTATCATAAATTGGCTGTTAAAAGCCCAAAGGTTCCAGAATGTGTAGTCTATATTCTAAACCAGTCCAACTTGTTATCCAGATGTACACCTAGGTATTTATATGATGTCACCACTTCGATGTCCACTCCACAGGTGTTCACTGGCTGAAGAGGGGGTCTGGATCTACAGAAGTCTATGACCATCTCCTTTGTCTTTGAGGTGTTGAGGAGGAGGCAGTTTTTGTGACTCCAGTCACTGAAGGCTTTTATTACATCTCTGTATCCCTTCCGGAACCTTTAGATTTTCCTCCCTCTAAAGTCCCTCGTGGCTGTTAAAAGCCACTTTTTCTGTCGGCTTTTTACCCTTTAAGGGCCAATTTAAGACATAAAGTCACTTAAAAAGCAAAAAAATGGAAGGAAAATGAAGGAAAATGACCCATTTTTTTAATAAAACATGATCAAAAACTGGTAATCTCTTGCAGGGTATTAAAGTCTTGAATATGTCAGAGATTAGTAATATAATTTACTTATATGCATTTTCAGTTTTTCTGTAGCATCAGATTTAATGAAAAACTGCCTTTGGCGCCTCCAGTGGCCAAAGCTACTTTGTCTGCTGTAAAATCATATTGGATTAATATTTTTTTCAGATTTTTTTTCATACATTTCTTATTTTACTTCTGCCCTGTTCAAACTAGCAAATGTTTCATTAAAAACAATTTTAACCCTTTAAGGGCCAATTTAAGACATAAAGTCTCTTATGAAGCAAAAAATGGAAGGAAAATGGAAGTAAAATGACCTCTTTGCTTCATAAGAGACTTTATGTCTTAAATTGGCCCTTAAAGGGTTAAATTTTTTATTTTCAAAGAAACATTTGCTAGTTTTGAACAGGGTAGAAGTAAAATAAGAGATGTATGAAAAAAATCTGAAAAAAATATCAATCCAATATGATTTTACAGCAGAAAAAGTAGTTTTTGCCACTGGGAGGCGCCAAAGGCAGTTTTTCATTAAATCTGATGCTACAGAAAAACTTAAAATGCATTGAATTCAATTATATCACTAATCTCTGACATATTCAAGACTATTATACCCTGCAAGAGATTACCAGTTTCTGATCATGTTTTATAAAAAAAATGGGTCATTTTCCTTAAATTTTTCCTTCCATTTTTTTTTTATTTTTAAGTGACTTTATGTCTTAAATTGGCCCTTTAAGGGTTTAAATTTTTATTTTCAATGAAACATTTGCTAGTTTTCGAACAGGGCAGAAGTAAAATAAGAAATTTATGAAAAAAAATCTGAAAAAAATATTAATCCAATATGATTTTACAGCAGACAAAGTAGCTTTGGCCACTGGGAGGCGCCAAAGGCAGTTTTTCATTAAATCTGATGCTACAGAAAAACTGAAAATGCATATAAGTAAATTATATTACTAATCTCTGACATATTCAAGACTTTAATACCCTGCAAGAGATTACCAGTTTCTGATCATGTTTTATAAAAAAATGGGTCATTTTCCTTCAATTTTTGCTGAATTTGTGACTTTTTGTCTTAAATTGGCACTTAAAGGGTTAAAAAAATTGTTTTTAATGAAACATTTGCTAGTTTCGAACAGGGCAGAAGTAAAATAAGAGATTTGTGAAAAAAAATCAGAAAAAAATATTAATCCAATATGATTTTACAGCCGACAAAACAAGTGGCTTTCAACAGCCACGAGGGACTTTAAAGGGAGTTTTTCTGTCCTGGCTTTATTATTGACCTGGTGAAAATTTTGAATTCATGTTTTCAAATAAAATGTCAAATAAAGCTTAGAAAAAAAAATTCATCACATTTGCTGCAGTAAAAAAAAAGTTATATCCAAATTAGTCTCTAGTTTTATCATAAATTGGCTGTTAAAAGCCCAAAGGTTCCAGAATGTGTAGTCTATATTCTAAACCAGTCCAACTTGTTATCCAGATGTACACCTAGGTATTTATATGATGTCACCACTTCGATGTCCACTCCACAGGTGTTCACTGGCTGAAGAGGGGGTCTGGATCTACAGAAGTCTATGACCATCTCCTTTGTCTTTGAGGTGTTGAGGAGGAGGCAGTTTTTGTGACTCCAGTCACTGAAGGCTTTTATTACATCTCTGTATCCCTTCCGGAACCTTTAGATTTTCCTCCCTCTAAAGTCCCTTGTGGCTGTTAAAAGCCACTTTTTCTGTCGGCTTTTTACCCTTTAAGGGCCAATTTAAGACATAAAGTCACTTAAAAAGCAAAAAAATGGAAGGAAAATGAAGGAAAATGACCCATTTTTTTAATAAAACATGATCAAAAACTGGTAATCTCTTGCAGGGTATTAAAGTCTTGAATATGTCAGAGATTAGTAATATAATTTACTTATATGCATTTTCAGTTTTTCTGTAGCATCAGATTTAATGAAAAACTGCCTTTGGCGCCTCCGAGTGGCCAAAGCTACTTTGTCTGCTGTAAAATCATATTGGATTAATATTTTTTTCAGATTTTTTTTCATACATTTCTTATTTTACTTCTGCCCTGTTCGAAACTAGCAAATGTTTCATTAAAAACAATTTTTTTAACCCTTTAAGTGCCAATTTAAGACATAAAGTCTCTTATGAAGCAAAAAAATGGAAGGAAAATGGAAGTAAAATGACCTCTTTGCTTCATAAGAGACTTTATGTCTTAAATTGGCCCTTAAAGGGTTAAATTTTTTATTTTCAAAGAAACATTTGCTAGTTTTGAACAGGGTAGAAGTAAAATAAGAGATGTATGAAAAAAAATCTGAAAAAAATATCAATCCAATATGATTTTACAGCAGAAAAAGTAGTTTTTGCCACTGGGAGGCGCCAAAGGCAGTTTTTCATTAAATCTGATGCTACAGAAAAACTTAAAATGCATTGAATTCAATTATATCACTAATCTCTGACATATTCAAGACTATTATACCCTGCAAGAGATTACCAGTTTCTGATCATGTTTTATAAAAAATGGGTCATTTTCCTTAAATTTTTCCTTCCATTTTTTTTTTATTTTTAAGTGACTTTATGTCTTAAATTGGCCCTTTAAGGGTTTAAATTTTTATTTTCAATGAAACATTTGCTAGTTTTCGAACAGGGCAGAAGTAAAATAAGAAATTTATGAAAAAAAATCTGAAAAAAATATTAATCCAATATGATTTTACAGCAGACAAAGTAGCTTTGGCCACTGGGAGGCGCCAAAGGCAGTTTTTCATTAAATCTGATGCTACAGAAAAACTGAAAATGCATATAAGTAAATTATATTACTAATCTCTGACATATTCAAGACTTTAATACCCTGCAAGAGATTACCAGTTTCTGATCATGTTTTATAAAAAAATGGGTCATTTTCCTTCAATTTTTGCTGAATTTGTGACTTTTTGTCTTAAATTGGCACTTAAAGGGTTAAAAAAATTGTTTTTAATGAAACATTTGCTAGTTTCGAACAGGGCAGAAGTAAAATAAGAGATTTGTGAAAAAAAATCAGAAAAAAATATTAATCCAATATGATTTTACAGCCGACAAAACAAGTGGCTTTCAACAGCCACGAGGGACTTTAAAGGGAGTTTTTCTGTCCTGGCTTTATTATTGACCTGGTGAAAATTTTGAATTCATGTTTTCAAATAAAATGTCAAATTAAGCTTAAAAAAAATTCATCCCATTTGCTGCAGTAAAAAAAAAAGTTATATCCAAATTAGTCTCTAGTTTTATCATAAATTGGCTGTTAAAAGCCCAAAGGTTCCAGAATGTGTAGTCTATATTCTAAACCAGTCCAACTTGTTATCCAGATGTACACCTAGGTATTTATATGATGTCACCACTTCGATGTCCACTCCACAGGTGTTCACTGGCTGAAGAGGGGGTCTGGATCTACAGAAGTCTATGACCATCTCCTTTGTCTTTGAGGTGTTGAGGAGGAGGCAGTTTTTGTGACTCCAGTCACTGAAGGCTTTTATTACATCTCTGTATCCCTTCCGGAACCTTTAGATTTTCCTCCCTCTAAAGTCCCTTGTGGCTGTTAAAAGCCACTTTTTCTGTCGGCTTTTTACCCTTTAAGGGCCAATTTAAGACATAAAGTCACTTAAAAAGCAAAAAAAAATGGAAGGAAAATGAAGGAAAATGACCCATTTTTTTAATAAAACATAATCAGAAACTGGTAATCCCTTGCAGGGTATCAAAGTCTTGAATATGTCAGAGATTAGTAATATAATTTACTTATATGCATTTTCAGTTTTTCTGTAGCATCAGATTTAATGAAAAACTGCCTTTGGCGCCTCCCAGTGGCAAAAACTACTTTGTCTGCTGTAAAATCATATTGGATTGATATTTTTTTCAGATTTTTTTTCATACATCTCTTATTTTACTTCTACCCTGTTCAAAACTAGCAAATGTTTCTTTGAAAATAAAAAATTTAACCCTTTAAGGGCCAATTTAAGACATAAAGTCTCTTATGAAGCAAAGAGGTCATTTTCCTTCCATTTTCCTTCCATTTTTTTGCTTCATAAGAGACTTTATGTCTTAAATTGGTCCTTAAAGGGTTAAAATTTTTATTTTCAATGAAACATTGGCTAGTTTTGAACAGGGCAGAAGTAAAATAAGAAATTTATGAAAAAAATCTGAAAAAAATATTAATCCAATATGATTTTACAGCAGAAAAAGTAGTTTTGGCCACTGGGAGGCGCCAAAGGCAGTTTTTCATTAAATCTGATGCTACAGAAAAACTTAAAATGCATTGAATTCAATTATATCACTAATCTCTGACATATTCAAGACTATTATACCCTGCAAGAGATTACCAGTTTCTGATCATGTTTTATAAAAAAAATGGGTCATTTTCCTTAAATTTTTCCTTCCATTTTTTTTTTTATTTTTAAGTGACTTTATGTCTTAAATTGGCCCTTAAAGGGTTTAAATTTTTATTTTCAATGAAACATTTGCTAGTTTTGAACAGGGCAGAAGTAAAATAAGAAATTTATGAAAAAAAATCTGAAAAAAATATTAATCCAATATGATTTTACAGCCGACAAAACAAGTGGCTTTCAACAGCCACGAGGGACTTTAAAGGGAGTTTTTCTGTCCTGGCTTTATTATTGACCTGGTGAAAATTTTGAATTCATGTTTTCAAATAAAATGTCAAATTAAGCTTAGAAAAAAAATTCATCACATTTGCTGCAGTAAAAAAAAAGTTATATCCAAATTAGTCTCTAGTTTTATCATAAATTGGCTGTTAAAAGCCCGAAGGTTCCGGAATGTGTAGTCTATATTCTAAACCAGTCCAACTTATTATCCAGATGTACACCTAGGTATTTATATGATGTCACCACTTCGATGTCCACTCCACAGGTGTTCACTGGCTGAAGAGGGGGTCTGGATCTACAGAAGTCTATGACCATCTCCTTTGTCTTTGAGGTGTTGAGGAGGAGGCAGTTTTTGTGACTCCAGTCACTGAAGGCTTTTATTACATCTCTGTATACAGCTCCTTGTCAATTTCTGATACATGCCACAATAGCGGTGTCATCTGAGTATTTCTGGATGTGGCAGGACTCAGTACTGTATTTGAAGTCTGATGTGTACAGTGTGAACAGGAATGGCGCCAGCACTGTCCCTTGTGGAGCCCCTGTACTACTCATTAATGTCCCAGAAACACAGTTCACCAGCCTGACAAACTGTGGCCTCCCTGTCAGGTAATCTGCGATCCAGGAAACACAGGAAGGATCCACTCCCATCTCTGTGAGCTTGTCTTTAAGTATGGTAGGTTAAAAGGTGTTGAATCCACTTGAAAAGTCAAAGAACATGATCCTCACATAAAGCCCAGGTTCCTCCAGATGAGACAGGGCACGGTGAAGCATGTAGAGGACAGCATCATCCACTCCAATGTGTTCTTTGTATGCAAACTGCAGGGAATCCAGTTTGTCTTTGACCTCAGACCTCAGAAGGCGTAGAATCAGCCGCTCCAGGGTTTTCATGATGTGTGAAGTGAGGGCCACTGGTCTGTAGTCATTTATTTCAGCATGACATTTTGTTTTTGGTACTGGCATAATGCAGGAAGTTTCCCCAGAGGAGGTACTTGCCCCAGCGGTAGACTCAGGTTGAAGATCTTGTGGAGAGGTTGACGCAGTTCTGCAGCACAGTCTCTAAGCAGCCTTGGACACACACCATCTGGACTAGCTGCCTTCCCAGGACAAAGTCTTCCAATCTCCATCCTAACCCCTGTTTCGGTGACAGACAAGGACTGGTGTTCTAGGAGGGAGGCAGTTTAAGTGGTTGAGACATTTGAACAAGATGGAGGAGGAAGGGGAGAAGTTGTAGTGGAGATTTTTTGTGTAGAGGAAGGTGGAGTAGCAGTGGAAGTGGGAGTGACAGCAGTGTCCAATCTGTTGAAGAACAGGATGAGTTCATCAGCTCTTTTCACATCACCCACCACTGGCTGTCTTTTCTTTTGACTGCTGTGTCCAGAGATGGTACTGATTCCTCTCCACACTTAACGGATGTTGCTGTGTTGTGGATTATTCTCTATCTTCTTTTTGTACTCCAGCTTTGCCATCTTCAGTCTCCTCGTCAACTCTTGTTGCACTTGTTTGAGCTGTTCTTTGTCACCATCTTTAAAAGCTTTCTTTCTGAAGTCTGTATATCAAATGCTTTATGACATAAAAGCTCTCTGACATCAACTACACGAGGTCCAACTTTTGTGCACACGACTTTAAAAGCATTGAAATGCTCTTCAAGGCATGTTGTTTGTAAGGCAAAAGTTACTAAAAGCAACTTCCCATCTTTGACAACAACATGGTGGATTCTTTGAAAAACTGGCATCTCACAATAAACTCTCACACAAACAACTAAACCTGAACAATATACAATTCCATTGTGTTTGGCCCATCTAACGTTTAATACTTAGGTTTCAACTGGTACCTGAAGAGTCTCTGCCATCTCATAGCCCCAGTCCATCACTTGTAAAGACAACATTTTACCAGGGCCAATAGTCACTCTGCTGGGGTCAAATGTCTGCACCTTTTATGCCATTTGACTCTGGTGTTTCTTTGCCAATGTTTTAGTTATATTTTTGGAGCTATTAACTCGTTTAAAAAATATATATATATGTTTCGCTTCATAGCGCATACACCAGGTATGTAAAAGAGGCCCAATTTCCAAAATACATGTAGGGTAATGCACCATGAAATGATGCTTTGGTATCAGCCTCTTGTTTGGATACAAATGTTTGAATAACCTGCGGTGTTCTGCGATCAAGTGTTTCAAAATTTAGCAATACCTTTTGATAACAGTGGGGAAAATACAATGTTTACCATTTGGAGTAAAAGCAAAATTAAATACCAGTGTTGGTCATTTGGACAGACTAAATCTCCAGAAACGAGTGGTAGATTACGAAGTAAACTCCAAGATTGGATGGCATTCAGCTCCACATCATTTGTTTTCTGTACCAACTTCACTTCAGGCGGTTTGTTGGCTTTCTCCACATAGCCATAGTTAAAATTCTTTATTCTTGTGTGTATTTCCTCCATTGTTGTGTAATTGTCTATCAAATGTTGTAAAAGCAGCTTCATCTCATATTGCACAACCCCGTCCAAGACATCATGCATAATGTCAACAGAGAAATTATCACACTTATTGAAATACTGCAAGGAATTTAGGATGCAAGACTGTTTAACACCCATCACATAGGGAAGCCTGGGATTTGTCTCTATTTGTTGGCAGTGTTCCTCATGAAGTGCTTGAGTTTGCAAAATTATCTTGAATCCTCATCAAATTCTGTCTGAAAGTCTTCTTTCTCAGCAAGACAAAAGTGGCAACAATATCTGGCACTGAATGACTCAACAAAACCAAACAAACAGTGAAGACCGAGGTTATCACCTGTAACTTGGACATACACTGGCTGATCACACAGGGGAACCTTAAAGGGGCCATGGCATGAAAAACTGACTTTGTTAGGGGGGCGGGGGGGGGGGTGCATATCAGGGAAGGAAAACTGCTACAATCCCCCCCAAGTTCGAAAAAATTCCATCCAGTCGTTTTTTAGTTATCTCCGTATTTAGGAACTGTGTGCTCAGAGCCGGCCATTCTGAAAACTCCACTGACATGACGTCATGTCAGTGCTGGCGGGTTGATGGTACTGCCCATGGAGCCGCCCACTGCCCTGCCCAAAAAATGATCAAAACAGCGCCATTATTCCCGGCCGCTCGCTCGCATTGCTCCGGTTAGAACCATGGCAAAAGTACGATCTGAATAAGAGGCAGCGTTTGCACTGTTGTTGGCTGCACAAATGAGCACAAAACTCTTTTGAAAACTCCCTCATCGGAGGATTTGAGGACTCAATGAGTGGATCTGTACATATGTGCGCACCATTTCACTTCGGACTGTTTTATCAACGAGGGACAGTTAGATGTCTTTAGATAAAGAATAGATCCGTACCAACTTTCCATGATCCTACAACAAACGTGGCATCTGTTAGTATGAACGTTTTATTTTGACTTACTGTTTAGCCTAAATTCCCCCCGGTGCCTCAGCACGCTTTGATAAACACACCGGATCCGTGCCGGTTTACCGGAACCTCTCGTATTTTAGCCACTCGCTTCTTCCCCGACAACTCCGCCAGCGGGGGACAAAATCCCCCTCCGGAGCAGCATGTAGCTTTAGCATTTACCCGTGCGGCGACGCGCCTCTTTTCGCTCAAATACGGGACATCCTGGCTAATGCTGGACGGTCGGCCGTCCTATTAATTAGCAAAGGCTTCGGAGAAGTTCATGAGCACCAAAATCTTACATTGTAGCAGAGCTCTGGTTGTAATTTTTTCTACATTCATATCTTCCTCCTTAAGCGTGACCCTCCTGGTGGCTTTGAATAATACATAGGATGTGTCGACTAGGTCGCTTCAAGTCGCGTTTGGTCTGAACGTGGCTAAGAGTTTCTTCTGGAGCCTCTCCCTCTGGGTCAGACTCTGGCTCAAACTGGTAGGGTTGTATGAGCGATCCTCTTGCAGCCATGACCGAGCCAGTGTAAACATTAGCACATGGCTATTGGAGCACAGCCACAGCCCCTTCCAGAGAGATGGGTGTAAAGTGGACGTGGCTTAGGTGCAGCTCATTTCATTAAAGAGACATGGCCCAAAACGGAGGAATTTGACCGGAGCTGTTTTTAGCTGATAAAAAGAGACCTAAAATAATTGATCCAAATGGAATTTTGACCGAAGGACGTCACAGACATGCTTTTAACACACCAGGGGACCATTTTAAGTTGTGTGAAATTGGCATGCCATGGGACCTTTAATGCCATGCCTCTCCAGTGTTTTAATATCCTGCACAATTGGATCTAGTATTTTAGAAAAGCCATATGTTTTTGATATCTTGGGCATGAAATAAAGCAACCAAATGAATATTGCTTAAACTTGATTTGTATTTTGGAGGAAAATTCCACAAGGTGAAATAGATTGCTCCTACTTTATTTATTCCACGTTTGGACCCTGAAGGATTTAAGGTTTCAAAATCATAATAGAATAGCTGAATCTGAATGGCATTATTGTGTTTTGAAAACAAAGGATGACTCTTGAAGAGTTCTCCATCACAAAAGTCCTTGAGACCAGCATCTTCTGGACTGGAATCAGCCTGCACCATCTCCTTTATATTAGGGTGACTGTAAATGAACTGCAGTGTTTTCAAAATTGGAATGTACATAAATTAGTTTGTAACCACCGCCTGATCATAGCCTCCACTAGCCTGATTGCGCAGAGTATCAAATCTTGTCCCAAGACCATATTCAACTGGTTCTACACTTTCCCACCTCTCTTTGAAATACTTTGCTCTCTTATTTTCAGAGTTCAACATACAAAAGGATGTGGTGAGACGCCTCCTCATCCTGTTTTATTTTGGCTGGACTTCCTGTTTTTCCCTGTTTGCCTGGTCTGGCTGTACTCTTTTCCAGAGCTTCCTCCCCTCCCCCGGCGCTGAGGCTGAGTGAGACGACACACCTGCTCCTCATCTCCAATTAAGGGACTTTAAGAAGCCTGCAGCCCTCAGTCTCAGCGCCTGAGTATTGTCTACCCTTCCTAGCGGTACAGACGCGTCTCCTGGCCTTCCTCGTGGTATAACTTTGAGAACTTTGCTCCTAGTGACTCTTTTTCATGTTCTCTAACTCCTGTCTCCTCTGGTTTCTCCTGCAGTGTCTCCAGCCCACATGACAGCCAGCCAACCAGCCAACCACCCGGACTTCCTTTGTTTCCTTAGCTATCCCTTTCTGTTTTGGACATTAAATTCGCTTTACGTTGATCCCTGTCTCAGTGTCTGCTTCTGGGTCCTCACTACGAGCCTGCCTCACAACAGAATACTCAGGCCAGGAAAATGGACCCAGCAGACCTAGACAGAGTTCAGCTAGCCGTCCAGAAGCTCGGCACGCGGCTTGGC